AATAGCTAGATCGATTCTCCTTTTAATGCTGATCAAGAATATATATGATTTATGGGATCGGAAATGACTCCTTCACTGATTTTTAAGCTTCCGATTGGAAAGGTATAAAAAGTGTTTGAAATGTCCTAAAAAGTGATCCGAAAAAGTATGCTTTAAAATTGTTTTGTAAGCTAAGTAATATCCTTGAATAAAATAAATCGACTAATTTCGAATATTACCAACTATCTTATCGAATTGGATTCGCTTTCCTGACCTACTTTTGGAGTCAATCCAAGGAAGCTTATCCCGCGATGCAGTGGAGCCAGAACCATGGGCCAGAGCTCCTTCTCCCTCCTCCTTCTCCTCGATGTTTGGCAAGTGGGGCGGGCATTAATACGCGTCTATGGTTACCGGCAAGGAAACCTAATAGAATAATGTAAAGTACACGACGATGGCAGTGCCAGAACAACCGAGATGCGGATACCCAGGCCCAGGCCCAGTCCCACTCCCAGTTCCAGTTCCAGTCCCAGACCCAGGCCCAGACTGGGACGGGGTGGACAGGCAACGGACACCCAATACGCTTATAATAACTCACCCTGAACCCAGTAAACCGAGCTGAGACTAAGGCGAACTAAAGCCGAGCTGCAACGGAGCACCCAGTGCTGGTGTCCGGACCGAACCCAATCCCTGGTTCCACTTCCAAGTCCCCAGCAGCACCGCCACCGCCAGCGCCACCCCAAAAAAGGAAATACTATATACTTTATATACACACATATACATATATAGCGAGTGTTGTCGTCCAATGGCAACAAATTCTAGAATTACGCTAGTTTTCTCAGACATACATATGGGGGTTTGAGTTTGAGTGTGCGAGTCTCGAGAGCACAAAGTCAGTCGGTTTTTAGTTTGCTGTAATCGAATATCGATAGCTCAGGATTGAATGACGCGCGTCCTTCTTTTGAATTCTTACATGACATACTTGGCCTTTGGCGCTCTATCTCTCTCTCTCTCTCTCTATCTTGGTCACGAAATATTCTATTTCATTCTAATGTACATCGGATATGGCTGGTACATTGTTCAGTCAGAAATATTCTATGTATAAAAGAAAGCAAATAAAACTTTTAAGGGGTTAAATAACTAAGAGTTAGTTGGGCTTCAAATACTACCAAAGTGTAGCTCAAATTTTAAGCTATATTTATTATAAAGCGTTTTATTCAAGCCTTAATTTATATAAATCGAAAAATAACTAAACAAATTTAAATACCCCGCAAATAAGATCCACAAAATCTATTTGATATGATCTATATTCCAGCCATTTGAATATCCATCACTTTGCCTGCTGGCAGTGTCAATGGAGGACCTTCATCCCCATCCATCCATTCATCCTTACTCCTGGCCAACCTCCTCCACATAGCCTTTTGGCCACTCTCGGATTCGCTTTCGTAATGCTGGGCCATCAGCAGTGGCTCGAATTAATTTAACGCTATTTTAATTTGAGCTCCTGTGGGGCGGCGGATTGGTAGCACGTTGCATGCTGTTTGGACCTCCGTTGTGGGGGTGGGAGGATGCCATGCCACCTGCCGGTGGCAGGTAGGTAGAGCTCACAGGGTGCCTCATGTTACCTGGGCTCCTTGTTGTGCATTACACAGGCCCTGTCCCTGTCACACCTTTGAGCTCTCCCTCTCTCTCTCTCTCCATCTCTCTGTGGGGTTCTCTGGTGTTTTGTGTAGAATTTATCATATTCTATTTTGTTTGTAACCCAATCGTTGGCGCTGTTATTAAAGTTCTGCTGCTGCGGCGACATTTGAGCTAAGCTCTTGCACCCCTATGCCAACTTTTAGAGCCCCTTCACACCCAGACCCCCCTCTGTGGCCCTGAGTGGCTGCCTGGCAGGCCAAAACGCTGTCATTGTGTCATATGGCCCCTCGCAGTCTCCCCCGACCTATGTTTATATATTATATGTATTTATGTATATATTGCCAACCGAGTGTGTGAGTGTAATCTAATCCGGAGTGCTCGGAACCCTGGCCATGTTCGTTAGAGTCTGCCATCACTTAAGACCGCTGGCGCGTTGAATATTAGGTGACTCTGCATCAATGGCCAAGGGGTTGGCCCAGAAGGTGTAATAAGTGTAGGGTATAGATGCATTTAATCGGAAATTAGTTAAGGTGATAACTTATAGAACAAATAAAGCTTGAATTTGATTAGATTTAATATTTCAATTACTAATTTCGAAGTGTAAAATTCTAGATACTGATTAAAAACTTCGTTAAGTTAGCACTTAAAAAACAATATATCAAATGCATTATAAAATGTATAAATATGCCTTATTTAATTTGCATTATTATTTATTTTTTAAGAAAAATGTAAATGGGAAATATTTGTATTAAGGGTACACCAAGTATAAAAAGTATTTTAATTTCAGCAAATTTGCAACACAGAAAGTGAAGGAGTCATTTCCGACCCCATAAATCATATATATTCTTTCTTTCTTTGGTTTCTGATATAAATATTGATTCAAACAATGCGAACATGATAAGCTTAGTTATGATCAATTTTCGACATGATCCTTTAACTTAATTTCAAACTGCAATTGCAACTTGGGTTAACCAATGTTATTTTACCTTCTTCTTTGCTTTTAAGTTATCTATAAACACCTATTTTATAATAATTCCTATTCAATTTCATACCAAAAACACCTCAAGAACCTACTACTACACATTGTTTACACATGTTGTTCTTCACACACACACACACCGCCTACACACAGAGTTATTGATTTCAGTTATTGATGATATGGCCTTCCGCACAGTGGTTCACCTCATCCAGCTCTTCAGCCAGATCCTTTCCCGCTCCCGTCTTGGTCCCCTTTCTATCAATTTTCCCAGGATAATGCCCACAATGTAGTGTGTGCCTCAAAGGCAGACATACTTCGCGTATATATGTTTCAGGCACTGGGCCCAGCCTCAGCTTTTGGCTTGACATCGGTCGTTGCAAAGCGGAAAACCTTGAAGGATATCGCCTTACCACAGTCCTATCATATTGCACCCATGGAGAAGAGCTCCTGTTCCCGCTCCCCTTCCTTCTCTCTTATTTTTGTTGTTGTTTAATTACGCTGTGTGTTTTTCGGCTTGCCTTTCGGGGCCATTAAATATAAAAATTTGTCCTGTCTTTTGGGTGTCTGCTCCTGTCTCTTCCTCTGCAGTAAATGCAGCTTGTAATTATGGATAAAAATTATATATATATATACTTTTATATAAACTGAAAAATGAGCCCGAAACTGGGTGAGGTAAGCGTAAGCGAAAAAAACGAAGGTATGAATTACAATGTTTTTAATTGATATTTTTAGTCGGCAAAAGTGTTGCATACTCAAAGGAGGTTGGGCGTTATGGATAGCCTTAATGAAGGAGGTGCTAGGCAAGAGAAGAAAGTAGGTTCGCAAAAGGGATAGTCAGGAATTAATTAAATAAAAAATAAATATTGCATTGAATAGAAATTCATTTACTAAAAGTGAAACAAAATTAACATGGCAAAGGGCATATGAAAATGTAGCTAAGCAAATGTTGCCAGGAACATGTTGAGTGGAATGTTGCCACAAGATACCAAACCTAAACTCCTTAATGACTCCTTGATTTTTTATTTGATTTACTTATTTTGTTTATTTATTTAACATTATATGCATAACCCTTTTTTAAAAAATATTTGTACTAGTTAACCGCTGCCCTCGCATTACAAACTTGCAATCACATTACAAATAGCTCACGACAGACATAAATAACCGTGTACAGATGTTCATATATAATCCCACGTTTAGCTAGAAAACCAGTCGACAACCTCAGCGGATACTCGGTTCCCAAGACCCCTTGTCCCACCCAACAAGCTCTCTCATTCATTATTATAATTTTTGGTTTTTGCAGTCGCCTTTGTTTTTGTTTCCACCACCACCGACAATAAGTATCATTGCGCTCAACTGCAAGTCAACGGCTATAATTTCAATTCCCCGATCGGGTTACACGTGCTGCAAAAATGTTGCTGTGGACAATTTATCTGCATGCCGACATCCCTCCGCCTCTTTGGTGGCATTAAATTAATTTCTGCTCATTTGGCGGATCAGGAAAGGAGAGCGAATCGGATTCGCTCACTCGTTAAAATGATTATAAAAATGTATCAATATAAAATTACCGCCAACTTGCCAAGTTGCTCGCTCCACTTACAAACCGAATCCGAATCGGAATTGGAATTGGCAGCGGAATATCCTCAGCAGCGGATTCCGGATCCGTGGAAACAAAGTTGCCCGGAATTTTTGTTTCATCCAGCACTTTGCGGGGGAGGTATGTATGTTGGTGGAAGCTGTTGCATAAACATTTTCCAAACTAAACTGCAAAAGGGCAAAGCTGCAGAACTGCAAGTTGAAACCTCTTTCGGTTCAGAAGCAGCAGCAGCAAGCAGACATTTCGAATCCGATTCTCTGATTTCAATGCTTAGTTGGAAATGCGCGGTTTTGGCTTGTAAATGGAAACTAATTATGTGCAACATGCGATTCCTGAAATATTTATGTACATATTTCCACGGGGGTTCGTTAAAGACGAAATCGAATAATACAATTTTAGTTTGCATTACCATTTCGGTCAGCAGGATGCAGGTTCAACGTGAAAGTGATATTTTGCTGGGCATATTAACTACTGCTACTTAACTTGGTAAATTCTTGATTGGATATCATTATATTTTACCGCTGACTAGAAATATAATATATTTTTCAAGTGGGTGTTATTCACCTTTTCCTCCTCATATTCTAAACAAGCAAAACAAATAATAATAACTCAACGTATACTTATAAGCAATTTCGCAGCAGCAAAAGTATTTTTGCAAAGAGCGAATATTTTGCTTATTTATAATGCTTAATACTTTGTCTACATCCTTGTTATTGAATACTCGTCGAAATAATATGCAGACAGGGGGTAATTAATTATAAAGACTCAAGAGTGTGAGTGTGTTTTCATTCAAAAGAATCTCGCACTCACCTTTATCTCATCGCTGGGCAGTTCCTTTTTGATCTGAACGGAGGCGGGCACCACACTGGAAGCTCCCATGTTGGCATCTCGCGAGCTTGAAGGTGACGTCTTGGCGGACATTTTGGCTGGTTTTTTGGAGAGGGTTTATTTTCCTCTTTTTTGTGCGTGTGGAAAAATCTGTAACACAAATTGGTAAAATAGAATTACAAGGGTAAAATGGTGTCCTGTCAGGGACATTATAATTCCAGTCAGAAGCTTCGAAACCAGTGAAGGACTCATTTTCGACCCCATAAATCATATATATTCTTGATCAGCATTAACAGCCGAGTCGATCTAGCTATATTTTAAAGAAAAACAAAATGATCGATTTTTTCAAAAAACCATAAGGGGTTACATCGTTAAAATTTTCAAAATTTGACAAAATGTAGAATTTTTTAAATTTTAAATTGAATATGTAGATTTGTTAACCTAATAAAAACTAGCAAAGAACAGTTTTCCGATTGGAAATGAATGTATTTTTGCCTTAGTTATATAAAACAAAAGGTATAGAAATTTCGGGTCACCGAAATTAGCTTCCTTGTTTTAAGCAATTTTGTTTAAAGTTTTATAAATCAATGAGCTTGTTTTTGGAGGAACAAAGACCTAAATATAAATTTGAATCATTTTATTTATTGTTGCGTAAATATATTATATATTTATCTAATAAAATACACTAGATATATGAAAATTTAAATAAGCCAAAACTTAGACCTTATTCAGAAGATTCTTTTAAGTAATTTCAGTTTAAAGAACATTGAACTTTTCATATAAATAGAGAAGGTACAAATATATTTCAACAAGTATATAGTTCATATACTTTATATCTTAAGGTTTCCAATAAAACCATTTAAGAAAACTGACTTAAAAGCCTTATAAACCTGGTATAATTGTTTTTTAGGCCACTTCCTGGCTCCCCTTATCTTTAGTTTCTCATTGTATCCAACAGATACTTTTCTAAGTAGCTCGGTGCTTGTTTTTTTTTTCGACTCTATATATAGCTAACCAAGTCATTGATCTTGCAACTGTAAACAAACTAAACTTTGGCTATATCAATCACTGGATTTTCGGTGGCTTCCACCGAATAATTAATTACAACAGATCACGATTTTCGATACTTTATACGATTTTTTCTGGTTCTCTGTCTTTAGATTCTTCTCTTCTTTGCTGGCTGTTTCGCATCCATTGGATATGCGGATACGCATGCGAGGAGAAGGAGGAAGAGGAGGAGGATGAGGAGGAGGAGCAGCACGGCGGAGGCGATATATTTATACACCTCGGACCTCGCCTGAGTATCTGTGCTCGCTGCGAGCGTGTTCAGTTTGCTTGGCGCGCACTTTGGTGTCTTGTAATTCAATACCCCCGCCGCCCCGAGAGCTACCACTAGCACCTAACATATCGCATAACACCAGAGTACAAATTCGAATTCAGATAGCTATATACACAAAATAAAATGTTTTATAAAGAACACGGAAAGAAACAACCAGTTTTTAAGTGTTCTCTTGTTGAAAAGAGAAGTTATCAAAGTTCTCAAAAGGTATTTCCGCAAAAACTATATTAAAACTATATTATTTTCGAAATCTAGAACCACTCAATCATCACAAAAACCATTCAAGATCATTTTAAGTAGCGCCATTGTTCACATTTAATGCGTTCATTCCTCGTTCCATATCATTCGGGCCATATATCTACGGCCCGATCTTCATCATCATCTCTGATTGCCCATTAAAAACATTTCACTTGGCTTGTTCTTTTGCCTTGATTCCGTTTCGTTTTTCTTTTATACACTTTCTCATTTCATTATGCCTTTGTTTTGTTTGCTGTTTCTCTTTTTTTTTAAATACAAAATTTCGAAAAACATTTCAATTTCCATTTCAAAAACGAACTGCAACTCAAAAGCAATATATGAAATTTTAGCATTATCATTTCTCGAGGCTTTTCTCGTATGAGGTACAAAATTTTCCAATGCAACGTGTGGGAAAACAAATATATATTATCCAAAAATAGCCAGATATTTTCAACATTATAAGTATATTTTTTACGAGTGTGTGTGTGTGTGTGTTCTCTCACTCACAATATTGGCCTTTCTGCTTTTGCACGCTCTTTCAGCCTCGATTTCTTGCTGCGCTGTGTATTTTCTTTGGATGGATTTTCAGGGAAACTCATGCACCGTGCTCATTTTCATTCTTTATTGCATTTCGTTTTCACTTTCACACATGCACAGATGCACCGCACACAGCACAGGTTCGAAATAATCCCGATTCGGATTCGGATTCACAGATATTTTTCAAAACACTCGCCGGCGCTGAGCGAAGCAACGGAAAACGACGTCCACACGCGTCCGCGTTTCATGAACATTTGAGGCCCAAGTCCGCTGGCATGTGGATTTTACTCGCTTTTCAGCTTGCTTGCTTCGGTGCTCTGCTGCTGTTGCTGCTGCTGTTGCTGCTGTGTTGCCTTCGGTCGTCGTCATCGTTGTGGCGCAGCTGTGGGTCTGATGTCGATGACGTAGTGCCACCACCCCCTCCATACCAACCCAGACATTGCCCACTCGAAGAAAAATTGAGTTTACATTGTAGATGGAACCGTATAATGTTGTAAATGGAATATTATTTTAGGTTTCACCCTTTTTAAAGTTTGTTGAAATTTTAAAAGAACCCTATAGATTATAAATCTCTTTGAAATATGTCAAAAAGTGTTCTAAAAATATTTGTATAAAGCTATTTGGAAAATTTTGAATTTAGTGTTACTAAATCCAAAAAAAATTTCAATTCGGATATATACAAAAATTAATTTTAGTATAATTAAATTTAATATTTTTCCAGCTCTTAGGAAATACTTGTTTTCAGACACTTATGAAGTCATTAATGATCATTTAAAATAACAAGGGAAATATATATTTTTTTTATAAAAAGATCTATATTATTTTTATAGATTTCAAAGAAACCATTTTTGTAAAACTTGGCAGTTTTCAATCCATCATAACTAAGCCAAAAAGGCATTAATTTTAATTCGGAAAGCTGCCCCATGTTAGTTTTTATCAGGTTAAGAAATCTGCATACATAGTTCAAAAACTAAAATTTTTGGAAATTGTTTCCAATTTTAACGATGTAACCCCTTATCGTTTTTGGAAAAAATTTAAAAAAAATTCATTTCTTTAAAATATAGCTAGATCGATTTGACTTTTAATGCTGATTAAGAATATATATGATTTATGGGGTCGGAAATGACTCCTCACAGTATTACAAGCTTCTGACTGAAATTAGAATACACTGCAAGGGTACTTGGCTTTGGTTTCGTTTCAGTAAATTGTGAAACAAATTATGCACAACTAAACACTACAAGAGTTTAATGATTAAGAAAACCTTTTGAACAGCTCTAAGTAATGTAAAAAATATATTAAAAATATAATAAAAGACTTGTATCATTTCTCCCAGTGCAATGACTCAAGAGAGTGGCGCAGACGCTGGCATCTTCTCTGGCGAATGAAAACGAAATCGAAATTGCATTCGACTGCAACGCGCGCGCGATTCTTTTGCATAATTTAAGAAAATATAAAATAAAAAGTACGAGCATTGGCCAGTTAAAAATAAATAAAACCGTTTCACCTGCCTTCGTTTTGGGTTGCTCCCTCTGCCGCCTCGATATTAATGTTATGTCCAATTTTTGTTTTAATTTGCACAAAATACTGTGCCGGCGGAGACAAACGCACTTGGGCCGAGATCAGAGAGACTGCTCGGCGTAATTAATGGGGGGCAACTTAAGTAATGCGAGGAGAAAATGCATTCTGACAGCCAGAAAGGTCGCTTTCTGTGTATATATATTGCAAATAGGGGGAAAATATATTTTCCACATTGATTATCGTATCCTATTAAATGGATTCTGTCGGCGACATTTTAATATCTTGTTTCGAAAAGCATGACCAATAATACAAAAAATATGAAGGAATACTTTGGGATATATACATATATAGAAGGTAAGAAAACTCTTTGTGAGGAATATATGAGATTTGTCTTAGCTGATTGTTTTATATTGAAGGTTTATTAAATTGTTGTAAGATAGCTTTTATAATCCACTTGAATGTAGATTTATATATAATTATTATTTTATATTATAGAATGTTGTTAAGTAGGGTTTATTCCTACAACAATGTATCTTAATTGACAGATTGATTGATATATAACAATTTCAATTGATTTTAAGCAGATATATTATTATACCCTTGCAGGGTATTATAATTTCAGTCAGAAGTTTGCAACGCAGTGAAGGAGGCACCTCCGACTATATAAAGTATATATATTCTTGATCAGGATCAACAGCCGAGTCGATCTAGCCATGTCCGTCTGTCCGTCTGTCCGTCTGTCCGTCTGTCCGTTTCTACGCAAACTAGTCTCTCAGTTTTGAAGCTATCTAAATGAAACTTTGCAGTTAGTCTTCTATATACTCTCACTCGTATATATGTCGGAACGGGCCGGATCGGACGACTATATCATGTAGCTGCCATAGGAATGATCGGAAAAGTTTTACAAAAAAAATTATAAAATGTTTAGTTTTCAACAGAATTTGACCAAATTTGAGATATAGCCATTTCATATTATTCTACAATTTTGTGTAAAATTTTATGAAAATCGGACGACTATATCATATAGCTCCCATAGGAACGATCGAGAAATTAATTCAATTAATAAGTATAACATTTTCAGTTTTCAACAGATTTTCATCAAATTTGAGATATAGCCGTTTCATATTATTCTACAATTTTGTGTAAAATTTTATGAAAATCGGACTAATATATCATATAGCTCCCATAGGAACGATCGAGAAATTTGAGAGGAATGAGAATGGCGGTGGCTGTTGTCGGAAGACTGACAATCGCGGTGGCGATAACATTTTTAGTTTTCAACAGAATTTAATCAAATTTAAAACTTTGCAGTTAGTCTTCTATATACTCTCACTCGTATATATGTCGGAACGGGCCGGATCGGACGACTATATCATATAGCTGCCATAGGAATGATCGGAAAAGTTTTACAAAAAAAATTATAAAATGTTTAGTTTTCAACAGAATTTGACCAAATTTGAGATATAGCCATTTTATATTATTCTAAAATTTTGTGTAAAATTTTATGAAAATCGGATTACTATATCATATAGCTCCCATAGGAACGATCGAGAAATTAATACAATTAAATTTATAACTTTTTTAGTTTTCAGCTGATTTTCATCAAATTTGAGGTATAGCCATTTTATATAAGTCTTAAATTTTGTGGCAAATTTCATAAAAATCGGACGACTATATCATATAGGTGCCATACAAACGATCGTTTGATGTAGAGGAAAAATGCAAATCTGTGGATGTAAAACTGCAAATATAATATGTATAGGTGAATGAAATGAAAGCAGGTATTACTTCATTGTTTTTTAACACAAATATATATAACTTATATTGTATGGATTCCTATTCATAGAAGTTCTATCTGCAAGGGTATATAAACTTCGGCGTGCCGAAGTTAGCTTCCTTTCTTGTTTTTAAATTGAATTAAAATCACTCTCTGATATTTTTTTAATTCCCTAATTTTTTCTAAAGATATTACTGCAGATATATCTTCCCTGAGAACTTCCTCTTCTTCACCTCAACTGCATTAATGTCTTAACCAATTGAATCACACTTTTTAGGGCCCAACTGTTGGCCAACACAATTATGGGCTACTGGATGAGACCAAAACACTGGCACTGCCATTGGCACCCTCTACCACTCGGGAAAAACAGTTGGCAATCGACGGAGACTTAAAGATATAGACGTTTATCAAATAATACCCGGTACTTGGGGGAGAACTTACCACTAGTTGACGCCGAGTACCAGCAGCAGCTATCAGTAGTTAGTGCCAGTCCCTTCTGCACGTAAATCTAACCTGGGAAATCGCGAAATGGCCGAGAAACAATTGAGTCGCCTAAGTGGAACCTCATAATGACCAGGGGCGATGGCGAGGAGAAGCAGCTGGCGTGTCAATCAAAGCCAAGAGAGGAGGGGGCTGCGGATAAACAAACAATGTACTCATATAGATAAATGTAGCATTTAATGCCCACGAATTTTAATTTAAATTGAACCAGAGCCAGATAAAGATTTAGTGTTGGATGTCAGTCCGTTCGTTCCTTCGTTCCCGCGCGTCTGCATCGGGCGTAGAGAGACCCAGAGAAACATGAGTTTGGTTAAGACATTCGGTACAATTCATTTATTTTATTTGTAAAACTGACTCATTAGTGACAGTTGATGAAAAATGCAATTTAAACATTAATTGCCGTTGACTTTCGGCATCCACTTCCCCGCTCAAAATGCTGTATTCTAAGATCATTTATCTATTATCTCTCGCAAGATCAGAAAAAACTATTTACAATATTCTAATCATTGTGGTTTCATCAAGAAAGTTAATGAGCTTCTTGAAAATATTCTAGGTCGTTAAAAATAGATTTTTTAAACGAAGACAATGTAGTAAGGTGACGTCGGGGACATTTATTATTTCAAATACTGTAATGAAATTTTATATAATTTACTATTTTTAAATCTCGCAAGTGTCTCTTTATAATGCAGAATAAATAATAAAAGTTTATCTTTTTGTTTTGGAACTATACAATTTCTACAAATTCCTATTTGTAAAATATAACAAGGGCTTCTATATTTTGCACTCGTTTTAGAACTCTGTTATTTAAAATTGATCAACAACTTAAAAAGGATTTAGAAATCTATATTTAACCCATTTAAAATATCTTTAGAAAAGTATCGTTTTTAAAAAGTAACCGATTTCCTTATCAATCTGTCGCTACCATGAATATCGTCACTAGAAAAATGTGCTCCTCACTAAAAGCTCAACCGCTGGCGAACAGCTGTTCTTGTTTTGGTTTCATTGATTACAAGTCTATTGGAAATGTAAAGAAAACTTTAATAACAGTGTATTTAATTAATATTATTATAATTTAATAAGCCTAATTAATTTATGGAAAGCTAAGATGTCCAAATTACCAAAGGCAGCTCTTAGCTTAAAGCAGGTAAGTGGACATAAGGAGTTTCTCTTTATAAATTTTATGTCTGCTAAAAAATTATAAAAATTATTATATTTATATGTACATACTCAGTTCATGCTGCGCCAGGAAGTCCTGAAGCTCTACCGGGAGATCTTCCGCACGATTCGTCAGGTGCCCGACAAGAACAGCCAGGCTGAGCTCCGTTCCTGGGCTCGCCATGATTTCCAAACGAATCGCAACCAAAGCGACGAGGTGGCCATCAAGATGCTCATCCAGCATGGAAGACGCAGCCTCACCGAGCTCCGAACCAGCCTCCAGCTAAGCGGGGTGAGCGAGGAAAAGTAGAGAGAGATCAACTCCACGTTTAGCTTAATTTTTGATATTATTTTTGAGCTCGACAACCGGTACGAAAAAATAAATACATACGAGTTAAGACTAACGGCTAATCTTTGACTTTGAGGTGCTACAATTCGCTGTGTGTTTTGTGTTTTTTTGGAGGTGAAATAGCAGTCTAGCATCTTAGCAGGGAGTTGGACTCCCATCCTTCCATCCATCAATCAATCTAAAGCAGCGGTCGCAGAAAGCTAAGCCAGGCCACCTTGAGCAGCGCCAGTCCAAAGAGCAGCGTGCCCACGCTGGTGATGATCACTGAGATGAGGTCCCTTTTCGCATGCTGATCCACACGTCCCACCAGAAAGCTGTGTATCACGTTGCTGGTAATGTGGGCGCCATCGAAGCCAAAGCAGGGAATGGCATTGATCAGAGCCAGTCCGATGCTGAAGACCACATTGTACTTGAGCAGCAGAAGCCAGGCATCCGGCCATGCGGCCTTTAGGAAGGAGTGGCGCGGCACAAAGGCCGAGATGCCCACCGTGCGGGTGACATCCCAGGGATGGCCCACATAGATCACAGGCGGCAGCTTCTCGCCGTTAAAGTTCTGACGCTTGAACGTCATTATGGCAGTTATATTCCGCATCAGCGGACGCAGGCAAAAGCCCTCAGTGCAGACACCCGAGGAGCAGTGTTCCGTGACCTCCTCCAGGGTACGACGAACATTTAGGCAGACGTGTTGGGGCAGCTCCACGGGCACATCGCCATTGGCATCCTCCACCACCTCGAAGCAGCTGACATTCGGATTAAGCTCGTCGCAGCATTGCAGCTGACCGTCGATACTGTGATGCGAAATGGCACTGCTCTCATCGTTGAGCTGCACAAAGTCTGCACTGACACAGTAGCCTGGTTTGAGCTTCAATGTATTCTGGAGGCAGGCAACCCAGCTTTCCTCGCTCTTTACTGTACAGCCATTTACCTGGGTTATCTGGTCATCCACCTGCAGTCCACGTTCGCCTCGCAATGGCGACTTCCTCGTCAGCTCCGTGACCACGACATGCTCGTTGTAGGCGTACAAAGGTGACATGGTGATGCCCACCGTTGAGATGAGTAGGTAGCACACGCCGGCGAAGACAAAGTTGTGCCAGATGCCAGCGCAGAGGACGCGAAGCTTGCGGAACCAGCGCAGGCCATTCAAGTGGTCATTGGAGAGCTCCGTATAGGCCAAGGGCAGGCAAAAGAAGAACTGGAATGGACAAGTAGAGGTCATTAAAGATTATAGTTACCACCCCTTTATTCTTTACCTTAATGCCAAACCCTGTAACGGGCACATCCTCCAATACGGCGGCCAGGGCATGGCCCATTTCGTGAACCACTAAGCACAGCACTAGCGTGGTAATGTAATATCCAATCTCCTCCAGGGGCAGATTAACGCCTGGCAGCAGAATCTCCAGTTGCACAGGAACACCGCCACCCGAGGGCGAGGACACGCCTGTGCCATCCGCCTCGCCACTGCTGAAGATGGTCACGATGAGCAGGATGAGGCCGATGGGCAGCAGCGAGAAGGTCACCAGCACACCCACATTGAAGCTGGTGAGCATGACGCGGCGGGTGCAGCTATTCCCCGCCGATCCCCACCTGAGCAAGGTCCGATTAAAGGCGCTGGTGTGCCAGTGAAGGCTCATGAAGTTGACGCTCAGCCCGGTGTTCTTGAGGAAGGCATCGTACGGGTAGTGCATGCAGCTCTGCAAGATCAAACCGAATATTATTTTGCGTATATGTGTATGTAAATAAAGATTGCACCCACCTTGAAGAAGCGATCGAAAAAGTACAGAATGCCATAGAACGATGACAACACGACGAAAAACACAACGGGATCCATGCTGGGGTTATGCGATGTTTGGTCTTTACGAGTTCATTGGAGGTACATAGGTTAATCCGGCGTTTTGCTCAGATCCTGATGCTAAATCCCGGCTGCTAAATATTTGGCCGAATTCCGTATTTACTTTTTTGGACGCCTTCCAGCAGCCTAAAGCTTTGGCTTTGACGTTTGCCAGCACTGTTAGCACCGTTTACCAACCTTGCCATCGGCTTATCGATAAGTTGCCGCTCAAGCAATCGATATTCAAAATATAAACTAAAGACAGCTTGCCAAGGTAAAATTGTTATACATATTCCACATATATATGTATATAGAAAAGACGGAAAAGTTAATGCTTATTAATGAAACTCCCACATGGCGGATGCCCAGGAATTCAGATACAAGCGCCTGCTGCCCTCGTGCAATGTGGTGGTCACCATTATGGCATGCCTTTCCTTTATGTCGGGACTCCTTGCCGCCTACCTTTTCATGACCATCAAAAAGAAAGTTTCGGAAACAGTGATGATCGTTTGGGCCACCTTAGCGGGGATCTATTCCCTAGTTTCTCTGTTGCTTATTATCGGCGTGTGGAAGGTAGAATCATGTGCTTCTCCTCACGAGGCCTAACCTCCTCCTCCATGCTCCTCCTTGCAGCTCGTCAAGGCCCTGGTGTACCTGTACATGTGCATGCTTATCGTTTCCATTGCCGTTTATACGGAAATCCTTACGTGGCTGTGGAAAAGTCTGGCGGCAGCCGTCTTCGCCGCGGTAGTCATTAGCTTCATATTCCTGGGCCTGGCGCTGAACATATCCAAGAGTATTTCAGAAAAACGGAGGCAGATGGCCCGGGATCGTGGAGATGATTAGATAAGCATATTATCAGAAATTTTAAGTGTATAAACTCTCATATAAACCGATATATTATGGAAGATTTTCTCATAACTACTTTGATTTAGAAACCATAATAAAGCCACATGATTTTCTTAATTCTCACCACCGAAAAAAGGTTCATTCATCAGCTGTTTCACCGGGAGAATGGGGAGAAGGTGCTCCTTGTGAAGGCAACAAGCGGCCAAAAATGCTTAGCAAAACAAAACTAATGAAAGCATTCAAAACAGCAGGGAAAAGCGAACCTCTTTCGCTGGCCTTTCCTGACCCCCAGTTCCGAGGAAAAAACTCACCTCTACCACGGCTCGGGTCGTCGTGTTGGTATTTCCCCCTCAACAAACGAAAGGATATAAAAATCGGCAATTCAGTCGAGAGCCTGAGCAGCAGCTGAACAGACGCCACCGCCAAAAGAAAATCAGGAAAAATATAGTGAAAATTCCTTACGGAAAAAAGGCTTTTGCAGAAAGGGTTTTCCCCCACAACACAAAGACGCCGCTAAGCCAGACATACGTCATAATATCAGCAAGTCCTTAAAGCTTATCAAAGGATCCATAGGCCACGTGGTGTTCGCAATTCCAGATACAAGAGACTTCAGCCAGGATCTCGCCAGTATCGATTTGTTCCAAAAACTGCATATTTCCACACACACACACACACACACTCGCGGACTGACAGTGCGCTTGTGCTGCGAACGGAAAGGGAAACAAAGGACGAGACAAGCGGAAGCGGAAGCGGAAACAGCTGCTGCCTAAACAAAGGGGAACAAAAGACAAAAAGGAAGCCAAAAAGCTGAACTATTATCAATGGGCATCATGACGCCACAACAGCAACAGCAGCCAGGATCTCACCCTTGAGCAAAAGCCCCACAAGTTCACAGCAGCTCCAGCAGCATCCTCATCCCTTCTCGCGAGTGCAAAAAAAGGAGCTGCGAATTTAAACAAAGACAAACCCCACTTTTTGAAAAGGGTTTCTAGTGCCAAGTGGAGAAGCGGCTGAGCCGCAGAATTGCTAGGAAAACTGGGCCAACCGGTGAGGGCCCGCGTTCGTCAGCTCTTCAGGATTTCCAGGAGCCAAACCAGAGGCAACCCAATGCATTTGGGTGCTCAACAACAACGCCCCAAGCAACAACAACAACAGCGCGAGCAACAAGAGAAACATCAGAGGCGTTTCACGTTCAGTAAAGGACGCCAATGTCGTCCCTACAGCGTGACTGGCATTTACAGGTGAGTAGAGCCTAGGAGTGCGTAGAGCATCCTCCATTAGGCATCCTTCGGGAAGGTCAAGAAACGCTCTCATACCCCACACTTCTGAGCAGATGATGCTCGCACTTTTTGGGGGGCGGAGTGGGCCAATGGCAAACTTATTGAGGCAGTTTGAGGTCCTCTGCCTTCCATTTATGGTGAGCATGCGCAGTGCTTGCTTTAATCAGAGTTACGAGTAGGTAAACATCGTGAAAGCCATACAAGAATGGGTCAACGTCACACACTGCACATATGGCTGCAACGGCATCATCCATCACAGTCCTTATCAAAAGGCGGATGGGGAAAAGTAAACAAAGACGAAGGCTAACCCTGAATTAATACAGTTTATGTTTATTTAAAAAGAGGGGAGAAACAGAAGAAAAGGTCACTGCCTTGTCAAGAGAAGGAAATTAAATGATTTTTAAACTTATTTAAGTAATTTTGTATTGTTTTAGCCTTTAAAGAAGTCTGTCTTTTTAATTACCATTTATTTTATCTTCTAAATTTGAAGTTTTCCTAATGAATTAGTAAAACGTATAGTGAAGAATGCGTGTTCGAGAGGACAAATTAAATCTAGGGATATAATATGTGATATGATATATCATGCAAATTATATTTTATAACTTTCCCCACAAATATCGATATAACAATATATATATACATATATACAATTTATATTAATTTTTAAATGCTTTCTTTATATTTTAAATAAAGTAACAATCTCTTCCCTTTTCCTGCAACATCCTTAGACATTATTCAATGTCCTGTTGATTACATAAAATTCCACGGCCTACTTTCAGGCGCTGCACACTCGCACACACGCACACACACAATGGCAATGCATGGGCTCTCTCGCCTGCAAGTACTATCTAGTATATATGTACATATATCCTTTTGCTCAACAAGTTGCGAGCCTTGCCACCTCTCACCTTGACCGCTTATCGTTCAGGCTCAGAGCCATGCGACTCCACGAGGCACTAACTCGGCTCCATTTGGCACAGGGACGAAGCGACGGACTTGGGGGACAGGTTTTCCGTTTCATTAAGCTGCCACGAAGGCCTTGAAATGCTTGGGGGGGAAATTGAAAACAAACAGCGATTGAAAAGCTACCCTGCGCTTGCTGACAATTTAAGCCGGATCCCGGCTGACAGCAGGATGCCAGGATATGGCGCAATTACAATGCCTGGCGGCTTGGGACTCTCTTTGGGGCTCTTTGACATTCGACAAGGTCACAAAGGCTTTAGTTTTTTCCTCGTGGGAGGGAGGCTGATGCTCTGACTCACGGTCCCGGGTGGGAGTGGAGGAGGTATTAGGAGTATATATGATGCCAAATGCCAAGAGTTTTGGCCAAATTCTCATTAGCTCTGTCAGAGATTTCACTCCCCGCTGATGACGAGGGTGATGATGATGCAGTTGCCTTTGAATGTTTGTTGCATGCCTATTATTTGTCATTCTTCACGGTTATATTCCGCCATCAATATGGGCTGGGAGTCCATTAGCGGCACGTTCACAGAATTCGATACACGCCATAATACACGACACTGAGAGAAATATTATAAAAATCGAAGATTCTTTTATATTTATCCATAGAAAAATTAAATAAATATTTTTCGCTTTTATTTCGAGAATATATATTTATTGGATTTTTTAGAACTTACCATTATTTTGTTCCCAGTGTACTTCTTATTGGGAGAAAGGGGAAGTTCGAGGGCTAAAAAAAGGGGGCTTGGATTAAGGCACGTCACCTGTGCACGTATAAAAAGTGTATTTGAACCCGGGACTCCCCTTTCCATTTCACATATTGGTTCACGCGTCGTATACTTGATGTGTGCTGTTTAGCGGTATATCATATTACGTATACGACGGGGTGGGCAAATACTAAGAAAAAAGGTGGTGTTAGATAAGAAAACAAAGTTAGAAAATGGAAAGCCATTAGGAAATGAGTTAGGGTTAATTTTTATTTATGTAGGTGGGGTCAGTTTACCGTGGAAATTACTTAGTTATACTTAGTAAGATGCAAGTTAGGAAGGTGGCTTTAAAATGAAGATAATATCTGGTAATCATCATCAAAGTTTATACAAAGAAAGCTCTCTTTTGTATCTTATGTAAACCTACTAAATTCTTTCCCCTTAAGTCCTTCCCAATTTTGGACATTTTTCAAGGGCTTAGCCAAGTCTACGGGCTTCGCAAAAACGAGAAAACCTTATCACTCGAAATGCTTCCTGCCATCAGCCCTGAGCTCGAACATTGCATTAGCCTTGAGGGCTTCAGCAAATACCCTTCCTTATCGCCAACCAAATCGAATCCCTCCCTTGTCAATATCCGGAAAAAAACAGAGAGTCACCGCAGGGCCCGAACAACACCCACCTTGCACTTGACCCTGAACTGGAAGGAAGTGGAGCGGATCCCGCAGACAAATGGAAATGAAAATGAAAATGAAAATGGAAAATTCCCAGACGTCATGCCAACCCCGAAAAGCACAGCATGCACCTGCAGCTCGGCATCGATTTAACAAAATACACATTATAATGGCGGAGGAAATCCGCTGGGTCCGCAGGGAGGTGGATTATGTACTGGATGTTGTTAACTCAATTAAACAAAACGTATAAACGTAATGCATATATTAAGAGCTTAAGCACTGCAACGACATCGTCCTTATTGCGAATCAAAATCGCGTGCGCTCCTCGCATTCGCTTAGCAAGGCAAATTAGGCTAAATTGTTGCTTCCTTGACCCGCCTCCAGTCGATTTGTCAACAGCAGGCAGGCACGGGGCCCGGATTTATGGAAAGTTAACCCATTTTTAATGGCTCCTCCACTGAGGGAGTTTTCTTTTTTTGTGTCGAAGCACGGCAGTAACTTATAATAATTGCCGGTTGACAAATTCTTTGGCAATTAAAGTTTTTTGCCAGGCGGATGGGAATTATTATTTGGGGTTCCATAACAAATCAAGTGGTAAGGAAGGAAATATTTGTATAATATACTTAGTAGAATAACAATGTTTTAAAGGTTTTAAAAGTTATATAACTTGGCAAGGCTTTTGTTAGGTAGATAAGACATTTAAGGGGACTTTATCATTTTCTGAGTAATGTTAAGATCTTGAATACTTAAAGACTATAAATATTTCCTAAACCAGAAGGGAAACTAACTTCGGAAAGACAAAGTTTATGAACCCTTGCAGTTTGACTTAAATCGGTAATCAATCATTCGCATTCTTTGAATCAATATTTAATGATATTTGTATATGACTAATTTTTTGCTATAAATCGAAGTTAAAAAAAAACTCATAACTCAGCCAAAAAAGCACTAATTTTTAATCGGAAAGCTGTCCCATGTTAGTTTTTAGCAGGTTAACAAATCTGCATATTCAATAAAAAATGTAAGAAAATTCAAATTTTTTAAATTTTTTTCACGATTTTAACGATGAAAAAATTGAAAAAAATTTGAAAAATTGTTTTCCTTTAAAATATAGCTAAATCTACTCGCCTTGTAATGCTGATCAAGAATATATATTACTTATGTGGTCGGAAATGATTCCTTCACTGCATTTCAAGCTTCTGACTGAAATTGGAATACCATTATTTGAGCAGATATATTTATCAATATATTTTTTATGACAATTTATTTCTACAAATCAAATTTTAAAAATCTCATAACTAAGCCAAAAATGCATTAATTTTAATTCGGTAAGCTTTCCTAAGTTAGTTTTTAATAGGTTAACAAATCTGCATACTCAGTTTAAAAACTTTATTTTTTTGAAATTTTGAGATATTCAACGATGTATCGTCAAAAAAAATCAACAAAAAATTTGTTTCTTTAAAATTTAGCTAGATTGGCTCGCCTTTCAATGCTGATCAAGAATATATATGATTTATGGGGTCGGAACTGACTTCTTCACTGCATTTCAAGCTTCTTTCTGAAACTATAATACCCTGCAAATAATATACATAATAAGTATTTTTATTACAGGGTTCCCGGGGATCGGTTTACTGCGCGAGTGAACCGGACCCAGCTGGTGGAGTCCAGTACGAGTCGGGAGGGTTCCTTCTCGACACAAAGCCAACAGCGCCCGGCGCCGGCGGTGGGGGTGGCGTGGGCGTGGGCGTGGGCGGTGGCAATGGCGGCGGCCTCGAATGCGGCTCCCTGTTCTCAGTGGTCTCCGCTCCGCCGGCTCCACTGCCCGACATCGTTGAGCCGCAGCCGCTGTCCGAGCTGGATGTCAAGCAAATGGAAGCGCTGTGCCTGCCCTCTCCATCCCGATCCCGCTGCTGCTCGCCCTCGCCCTCGCCGATCCGCCGACCCGCCACCCTCAGCCTGGACACGCCCTGCTGCCCGAGGACGCTGCACGCCAGCCTGCTGGAGCACCAGATCTCGGAGCTGGAGGAGGACGACAATGAGAACCTGCTGACCGTGTCCAGCATCACGGCGCGTCCGCTGATCGCCAAATCGCACGAGCTGCGTAGCAGCCGGAAGTCAAGTTCCGGTACCGGTTTGAATACGGCCCGGAGCAGGTGCGTCCGCCGGGCCAAGGAGCGTGAACGAGAGCGGGATCGTGTGCCTTCCGCCAGTGCGAAGCGTAGCAAGCAGCTGCCCAAGGATCGTGACTCCTCGACGACCACAACGGAAAGCGGTGGCGGCAATGTGGAGCCACCGGACGGTGGCTACGGTTGGTTCATTGTCTTTGGAGCATTTTCCGTGCAGTTTTGGGTGGCGGGATTGGTCAAATCCTATGGCGTGCTGTACGTGGAGATAATGGAAACATTTCCAAGCTCAACCGCCACGGTGGCATCTTGGATACCCGCAATTCTCTCGGCCCTGTGCCTGGTCCTGGCCCCTCTGTCGAGTGCTCTATGTCAGCGATTCTCCTGCCGGGCGGTGGTCTTTGTGGGCGGAATCTTTTGTGCCATGGGCATGATACTCAGCTACTTTGCCACCAGTCTGTTGCACTTGCTCTTCACCTTTGGCATACTCACAGGTGAGTTTGAATTGTAAAGTGATTAAACTGAGACTGATATATTATTTGCGATTTAAAGGAATCGGCGGCGGTCTCTCCACCACACCGGGCATCGTCATTGTCTCCCAATACTTTGATAAGCATCGTGCTCTGGCCAATGGAATCTGTGTTTCCGGCACCGCTGCCGGCAGCTTCATTCTCCCGGTGCTGATAAAGCATCTGGTGGAGAGCTGGGGCTTCCATGGCACCATCCTCATCCTGGGCGGTTGCATGCTGCACGTTTGCGTCTCCGCCACTTTATATCGTCCCATTAGTGCTTATATGGATCAAGATCAGGATCAGGAGCAGGGACAGGAGGAGGAGACAGCGAAACCCCTGAATGAGGATATTAATCCCAGCACCACGGGCATCCTGACCACCTCCACTTACTTGGACACCTGCGAGCTGGGCAGAGGCAATGAGCTTAGCGACAAGTTCATCGAGCATCTGTTCCTGGAAGAGTCCAAGAATCATCTCAATTACTATTCCAGCAAGCCAGGTGAGTTGAGCTCAAGGGAAGGTGTTTCTTGAGGAAGTCCACTTGATTATTCTCTATAGCTCAGGACAAATCAGCTCAGGAGAGCGATGACGAGGTGAAGGACATTATCGGGGAGACAACCTTCATCAAGCCGATGAAGAAGGTGCGCAGCTCCGGCCTGTTGCACTCTGTCGAGGATCTGAGCACGGATTCCACCTGGGTGTACCGCAAGCACTCTGGCACCGACTCCAATCGAGGTAGTCGCCGGCGTCGCAATGTCTTTGCCAATGACGAGGTAATCTCCAAGATCCAGGCCCACCTGGAGAAGCCCCTTTCGCCGCCAAGTGTGGTCAGTCGTGGTCTGAGCAAAAGCATGGAGATTCCCACGCCGGTTAGCAATCTCAGTGAACTGAAGCAACAGCCGCTGGAGCAGGCGGAGCACAGTGTCCTCACCGATTCCCAGTTGGTGGAGTCTTTGGATGGTGATTGTCGCCGAGGAACTGCTGCCGATGAGGACGATGACGATGATGATGACGAGGAGCAGGGACCACGAACCTGCTGTGAGCGGATCGAGATGTATCTGGACATCAGTCTGCTACAGGAGCCAAGCTTTATCCTGATGTGCCTATCGGTCACCCTGATGTCCGTTGGATGTCCCTACATGCTGTACTACCTGCCCGCCCATGTCATCTCCATAGGTGAGGGGGAGTTGTCCTGTAAATATCAATTATATCAATGATATTTAATATATTCTTACTCCCACTAGGCTACAATAAAAGCGAGGCGGGCTACCTGGTGGCCATCAGCGCTGTCCTGGACTTGTGTGGCCGCCTGGGTCTCGGCTGGCTATCCGATCTCCAACTATTCGACCGAAAAAAGACGTACACACTGTGGTAGGTACTCCTCCTCCTCCTCCTTATATATTGGCATATAACTTGAGAGATTCTATATTGCTGTGACAGCATTTTGGGAGCCGGCCTGGCCGTGCTCACGATTCCCTTTGCCAAGACCCTCATCCTGGTGGGACTCTCTGCGGCCGTCTATGGCCTGTGCCTGGGTAGCTGGTATGTCCTGATGCCCGTGCTGCTGGCGGATGTCTTTGGAACGGATCGGATCAGCTCTAGCTATGGCCTGGTGCGCATGTTCCAGAGTATTGGGGCCATCTCGGTGCCACCACTGGCGGGTCTGATGAGGGATCTGTCTGGAGACTACGAGATCTGTTTCTACTGCATGGGATCCTGCATGGTCCTGGGCTGTACGCCGCTGATTGTGTGGTCCATCCTGGAGGCACGTAACCATCGGCTATTCGTCCAGCGCGAGGACGAGGACGAGGAGGAGGACTGCGAGGTGGCCTAGGAATTGGATATATAGTTGGTTGCCCCCATAAAATTTAATCGTGTTTTAGTAGCAATCAATTACTAGTTGAGTTCCTGAGTTTGCAGAGTTCGAATGCCTCACCGATATTGCTGATTCTACCAAATACTATCTATCTACGAATACTATCTGTACGTTCTCATTGGACCCTCACTCATCACTCGCACCCACCACACACACACACTCGCTGTCTAACTATCCTGTATCCTGTAGCTTGTTATCCTTGCGTTCTACCGAGCATATATAAGGATTTGTGAGAAGAAGAAACCAAACAACAACAAACCAACAACTGAGCACCACAAGTTGCGCAAAAAGAACTGAGTTTAAAAAGACATGAACTACAAAAAATACCCGTATATAACTTTATAATATAATAGTTACGATCGTGCTACATAGTATTTCCATGCCCGACTAGCATATACATTATGCATATATGCAGACTATATAGTTGTAGGTTCGCATGCCCATATCAAAATCCAAAATAATCGGAATCGGAGGCTTGTCTTCAGAACATTGCATTACATTAATCTAGACGTAAATTAGTTGTTGTGAGACATTTACCCAAAAAGCGAATTACGAAATAAACACCAAATTAAAAGAAGAAGGGGAGAGTTTTTCAATAAATAAAATGGGAAAATTTAACGAGGTGTTAACTTTGCTGGATAAGTGAATATTACTACATTTTCGGCTCGTATATTAACGCTATGAATGATTCTATTTTTTAAAGTAAAACTTGGATTTCAAATAAGTTTATTTGAAAATTTTGTATTCTTTACAACACTGTTTATTGGCGACTGTCAAAGAGTTATCGATAGTTTGCACTCGTTGCTTTTGACAGTGTCATTGCTATTAGAAAAATTTATTTTCTTTCGAGTCCTTGAAGTGGTCAGAACTTTTAGATCTTTCCAAATAAAATGGGTGATTTTTCCATGCAATCGATGAGCCTTAAACGCCGCCTCAACGTGGAGCCTGAGGATGCCGGAGGTGACACTAAGCGTGAGAAATTGGCAAGCATCCAGAAACCAGGTGAGAGCTGTATTCAGGATGGGTTCCAAGTACCTAATCTCTTGCTCCCACAGATGAAGATTCGATCGAGGAGACTCCAGACGGCGATTACAAACTGGTCTTGCATTTGGATAGGTAGGGTCTTTGGGATATTGCTAAAATCCCATTTTAACCATTATCCTGGCAGGACTTTCTTCGGCGGACTAGTGGGACCTAGGGGACGCACAAAGCGTTACATGGAAACGTTAACCGATACGGAAATATGCATTCCCCAAAAGAAACAGAAATCCAATGAGGTGGTTATCATGGCCAAGAAACAGGTCCAGGTGTGCCTTGCCCTACGAGAGGTACGCAAGCGAATTGCCATTATGCGCAGGAAGCTGAGTCCCACACATTTTCTAGCCGTGGCTCTTAATACGGGCGAAGTTTTGGAACGCTTTTTAGAACTAAAGGTAAGCGGCACTAGTTGTGACAGTTTTCAATCAACTTAATCCTTTTGCAGAAAAACATTTTGGAGGCTAAGTTGCCCGGCATTGATAAGGAGCTCTTCGTTCAGGAGAGCACCATACACCTTACGCTGGGTATCTATGCGCTCATCAACGAGAAGGAGCGCCAGATGGCTCTCAAAGAGCTGGAGGTCTGTCGCTCCTTTTTGACGAACTTAAAAACTCCATTTGATATTAAAGTCAAGGGTCTGGCGATCATGAACGACAATCCTAATTTCACACGCATTCTCTTCGCCAAAATCGAATCTCCGGAGCTGCAAAAGTTCGCTGATCAGTGCCTGGCCCACTTTCAGACCACCGGACTGTGCGCCAGGGACAATAACGACATTAAGTCTATAAAGTTACATATGACAGTCATGAACATTCGCTATCACACGGAATTTATGATGAAGCACTCAAAAAGCTTCGATGCCCGGGAAATCCTGAAGCGCTTTGGCGACTTTGACTTCGGATCAGCCCAATGCAATGTCGTGCACTTGTGCGCCATGCAGTATGAGAACGGTTTCTACAGAATCGACGGGAGTCTAAAGTTCGAGAATGAAGAATCGAAGACTTTAGAAACATCTTTGACTTTGCAAGATTCAAAGACTTCAGAAGAATCAAAAACTTCAGAAGAATTGAAGACTTCAAAACAATCAAAGGCTTCAGAGGAATCAAAGGTTTCAAAGGAATCAAAGAATTCAAAAGAATCAAAGGCTTCAAAAGGATCGAAGACAAAAGAATCAAAGGCTTCAGAGGAATCAAAGAATTCACAAAAATCAAAGACTTCAAAAGGATCGAAGACAGAAGAATCAAAGGCTTCAAAGAAATCAAAGAATTGACAAGATTCAAAGGATTCAGAGGAATCAAAGACTTAAATGCGTTGTACAATCAAAACATTGTTAAATACCTTACTTTTAAAAATGCAAACTAGTTTTGTAAAACAATAAAACAAAAAATACCATATAATAAACAATTTCATCAATAAGTGTTATTAATGATGAAAAATAAGAACATTTTAATTATGATGTGTAAATAAATGTTACTATTTTTATACCTCTGCACGGTATTATAATTTTAGTAAGAAGCTTGTAATTCAGTAAAGGAATCATTTCCGACCCCATAAACCTTATATATTCTTGATCAGCAACGATAGCCAAGTTGATCCAGCTATATCTTAAAGAATTTTTTTTTCGATTTTTTTCATTTAAAAAAACGTCATCGTTAAAATTTTCAAAATTTGAATTTTTTAACATTTTAAATTGAGTATTGTTAACCTGCTAAGAACTGACATGAAACAGCTTTCCGATTTAAAATTAATGATTTTTTTGGCAGAGTTATGAGTTTTTTAATCTTTGGTTTATAGCAAAAAATTGTCATATAAATATAAAGATAAATATTGATTCAAAGAATCTGAATATTTTAATCTTAGATATGATCGGTTTCCAATTCGATCCCATAATTCAATTACAATCTTCTACAATTTTCTTGTTTAATTTATCTTGAATAAACTAATTATTATTTAAATTTAAAATAAGCTCTTTGGAGCATTTTAAATATTTGACAACACTGTTTCGTGGAATGGTCACCATATCATCGATGAAAATTTTCGATAGTGGCAAACATCGATGTGCCATCGCTTAAAAGAAACGCGAAATCTGTTTGTAAGCTCACTATATTCTGGGATTTCCCCTTGAATTGACCAGAGCCTTCAGATTTTTCCGCTTAAGATGAGCCGCGAAGTACTAGATCCTCCCATACAAGCGATGAGCAACAGTCGCCGCTACCGCGTTAACGTGGTGCACGAGGATTTCGGAGGCGCAAAGTGGAATGGCCAAAATAAAGGCGGAAAGCCGGCAAACAATGCCTACGAGGAACCAGGTGAGTGCTTCGCTTAGGATGTGACCTGGAGTAGCTTCAATCATTCTCCCCCAAGATCTCTATGGCGAAGACGATGAGGAAGACGATCCGGCCGCCTGTAACATTGAGCAGACTCCAAATGGAGACTTCAAGCTGGCTCTGCCCGTGCCCAAGTGAGTAAGATCCGGGAAAATGATTTAAATCACACCTAATCACTGTACACGCAGGTCCTTCTATGGCGGATTGATTGGATTCAAGGGTGCAACGAAGCGCCGCATTGAGGAGGAGACTAAAACGGAGATATATATTCCGCGCCAGAACGAGAATTCCAGCTTCGTACTGATTAAGGGCAAGCAACGTGACCGGGTTTGCGCTGCTCTGCGACAAATCCGTCACCTCATTGGTTCCCTGCGCAAGAAGATGAAGCCCACGCACTTTCTAGCCGTGGCTCTGAACTCGGGACAGGTCCAGGAACGCTTCGTAGAGCTAAAGGTAAGTAGACATAGACATGAAGGACAATGAGGATGGTAATTCTCTAATTTCTTTATCAGAAATGCATTTTAGAGGCCCAGCTGCCCGGCATCGATGAGGAGCTGTTCATCTCAGAACGTTCCATTCACCTCACGCTGGGCGTCTACGTGCTCCTCGACGACGATGAGCGTCAAAAGGCTCTCAACGAGCTGGAGGCATGTCGTTCCCTGCTGGCAGGCCTAAAGACACCATTTGACTTGACAGTCAAGGGGCTGGAGATAATGAACGATGATCCCAGCTCCACGCGCATTCTCTACGCCCACATCGAGTCATTGGAGCTGCAGAAGTTCGCCGATCAGTGCCTGGCCCACTTCCAGACCACCGGATTGTGCGCCAGGGATAATAACGAGCGTGAGTCCATCAAGCTCCACATGACTGTGATGAACAACCGGTATCGCAAGGAGGTAATGAAGTGCTCCGATAGCTTCGATGCCCGGGAAATCCTGAAGCGCTTTGGTGACTTTGACTTTGGCTTAGCCCAGTGCCAGGCCGTGCACTTGTGCGTCCTGAATTCCCGCGGGGAGGATGACTTCTACAAGATCACCGGCAGTCTGAACTTTGAGAATGGAGAATCGAAGACTGTACAGAAATAACTATTTTGTATTCCCTAATTTACTACAAGATTGGAGGGCCTCCTCATCTCTTTGTAAATAAATTGAGAGAAAACTAAAGGTACACATATATATATACGATTTATTTGTCGAATATCAATGCCCAAATCGGTTTTTGTATATATCATTTGGATGCAATTGGACTGCATAACACCAAAGTGTGTCTTGTTGTGCCTGTCGCGGCGAAACAAATGTGCGCTGGCTGAAATATCGCTTTTGCGATTACAGTGGTTCTGTTCTGCTTTTGTTCTCATATTACAATAAATATAAAAATATATATATGTATATAGTTCCATATTGGATGAGGATTTGTGGCAAAATCGTTTATTATAGGTTCTAACAAAGAGGAGGGGGGTTATATAAAGTGAGTGCTTAAGATCTACGGAGTAGGAGGAAGCCACAAGTGGAGGACACCGACATTTACAAAAGAACAAAGAAATCAAAAAAAATTAAAAATTAAAAATGGGGAAGGGTATGCACACATGTAGAGTATATAGTGGAAGCAAGCTGGACAGACACTCTCTCTGTTCCATACAAAATTGGAAATAAATTGAATATCAAAAAACAACACTCGACGGCTTACTAACTAACTTGAACTACACACGATTTGCTTTGCTTTTGCTTATTACTTTTTTGTCAATAGCTTCAGTCTAACGTTAAGATTTGGTTGACTTTTTATATTTCTTTGTTTTGTTTTCCGCGTTTTTAGCTTGAAGAGGATTTCATTGGTTCTACTTGTCATCGTTCCGTTTTGGGCGGGATTTCAACTACAATAGATAGTAAAGATGCTGGAAAATTGAGTTTAGTTCGCACATAGACTATATGATAAACATTTTAACATATATTCATATATACACATACATATATGCGTGGATGAGTTCTCAATTAAAAGGCGCGAGGAAAACAGAACGTTCCAAAGCTTTATCGGCCAAGTTCTTGGTCTGTTACTGGAGATATATGTATATAAGTTGTATAAAATCATTCACTTCATTTTAGGGATGTACAATCATATATAGCTCTCGAAAAAGTTGTATAGTTTAATACATATATCGAAATGTAAAAGTAAGGTAAGATATTATCCAAAAGAAATATCGAAAATGTATTATTTTGTATATCTACCTGATATATATCAAACAACGTTATAAAAAACATTTTTGACAAGCTCTTTTTATGTGTATCCTCAAAAAAAAAAAAAAAGTAGTTGGAATTAAGTTTACACTTTTCTTTGGCAGAGATTTGATAAATCAAATAACGATTTATCTCACATATACTATAGATTTTGGACATATATGTATAGTTTCTGTTTGCCATCCCTAATCTCTCAGTGTTAAAACAGGATATGTATGCCAGATAGCTTTGGAACGCTCTATTCAGGCCTCAAGCCGCGGGGTTTTAACAAACAAACATCTACAAAACGTACATATACATACATATAGTTGATTTCTTTTCTTTTTTGTTTTTGGGTAACAACAATTAGAGTTTCGGTGCACATTTAGTTAAATTTGAACATAGGTTGGTATTGGCTGCTGACTGTTGTGTGTCGATTACTTATTTATTATTTGGCTAATTCATGTTATTAGACAATTACCTCAGTTACAGTGTACTTCAGGACTAACTACTAGAACCACTTCTCAATTAAAAAAATTTCGTCTGCATCCTAGATTGTGTGTCTGCGTGTGCTTTCTATTGTGCTTTATAAATCTCTCTCAGTTCAAACTGTAAATCAATCGATCAGGTGTGCCCCCATTCCCTGCCGTGGCATCTGCATCATTATCATCGTTGTTGTTGTTGTTGTTCTTGTTGGTATTAATATTTCTGTTGCTTATCAGTTGCCCCACACTTGCTGCTAATCGCTTCTACTATTTGGCATGACCATTGCTTAGCACCGCCGGCAGAACATTGGCCTGCTGCACCACCGCATTGATAACATCGATCTCCTTCTTCAAAAATGGAGCGGCGCCGTTCTCCTCGAGCTCGGCGGTGGCGGATGAAGCATTCCCGGTTGCATCTGTGCCATTGTCATGGCCAGAGGATATGATGATGTTGCGTTTGCGTAGACCTCCTCCCGATACGGCAGAGTCCAGGGTAGCGCCGATGCCGCCAGCGTTGCTGCCGGGCAACTTCAGCTTTGGGAACTCAATATCGCGCATTAGATCGTTCTTAAACTCCACAATGCCGCTTACGGTCTCGGTTACAGTCTTGTCAATAAATTCCTCAATGTTTTTGGTCTCCGCCTCGAACTTCTCCTTCAGTTTGCTGGACAATTGATCCATCTCGCACTGGTCATGTGGCACGCTGACGGCGTCGCGGGCACTCGTTGGCTTTGACTTCAGCATCGGCATCTTCTCCTGATGTGACTGCTGCTGCTGTGGGTGGCGTTGTCGAAGATTTACATTGTTCGATTGCTCGGTTGGCTGTTGTTGTAGTTGTTGTTCATTTGTTTTTGTGATGTTGTGTGATGAAGCAGCAGCAGCCGCAGCAGCAGCAGCAGCTGGCTGCTGATGTGTTGGCGTGTTGACTTTACATTGATGAGCATGCTTATCCTCCTCCTCCAACTCCTCATCCTTGTTGAGATCATTGCCAGCGGTCAAGGTTGTAGCTGATGCAATTGAGGCCGTTACGCAACTGGAACTTTCACTTGCCGCCAGGTGTACGGTGGCACCTCCGTTGGCCGCTCCAGCACGAGACCGGCGTTCGCCGCGAATAAACTTGGGTAAAATAAATATGGTCACTAGTGAAATGATGTGAAGGCACAAATAAAATCTCAGGTACAATTTGATGCTGCCCTGTAAAGCGAAAAAGAAGATGAAATCGGTTAAACATTGTTGATCTTTGTGGTGGAAAGTAAAGTAAGATATATCCTGCATTCTCACCATAAATTCAAGCAGAACGAATGGGAATGTGGCGTAGCCCAGGACGACGCGTGTGATCAGGCAGGTGAGAATGTCGTAGAACATCCTGGTGACCTGCGTGCTCTGGAAGCGATGACGGAAGAGTCGCCGTCCGGTGCGCGCCGCTGTCACAACGACGGCCCCAGTGGCGAAGGTTAGGTAGTACCCCGGATAAAAGCCGTGCCAGACGGCGCTAAGGGCAAAGGTGAGAAGTGTGCCATACTTAAGGGGCACTCGCTCATAGACGAGCGTACGCAGCCAGCGATTGGTGCCGCAGTTCCAGTTGTTAATGGCATCGCGCATGTTTGTTGAAAACTGTAACAAAGAGCAAAACCTTTAGCATCACAAAGTTTATAATAATTATCATTAGATACCTCAAACGACAACACATTAATGTTGGATATCAGGTCCCATTTGGGGTTGCCATCCTTATCGTAACCGGTGAAACCTAAACCTGAGTTGTTGCATATGGCATCCGCTAGGAGCCAGGCATGATAATACTTAAAGCGTATACAGGTGGTAGCCATCATGGCGTACCAGTACTTGTAGACCATGCTGGTATTGTTCAGGAAGTCATCCTCTTTCATGTCTTTCACGGGATATAGTTTGACGAACTTCATGAATATGAAGGCGCACACCAGACTGCCGACAACTTTACGTATCACCGCTTTCGTAGGTGAAGGTTCCAGGACCACTTCCTTCTTGCTATTATCCAGATTGCCCTGGGAAAAAAAAGAGATTTTTCAAGTCAGTAATCAAAGAGGAAGAAAGAAAATTAAGGCATTTAAAGACGAGCTCTTATAATAATACAAATTACTTTTCAACTTTATTTATGGGACTTTAAAAAGGGTTTTAAGAATCCTTAATAAAAGTCTACCCATAAAAACGTTGAACGTTGAACTTTGCATCAACCTTTCCCTTTACAATCCTTCTTTAATTACTTTGTGAAATTATTATTTACAAGTGTCATAACCCAAATATGGTAATGGGCGAACTGCAGTGCACCTTGGCTAATGAAATTACTGCAGTGACCATAAACTTACGTTGCCTGGTGGACTGCTCAACAAATTGTAGCCCTCCACAAAGTCAATGTAGTCCTTGTAAAACACAAGAGGACCGGCCAGGATGCTAGGGAAGTGCCACACATAGGAGAAATATTCCAGGGCAGTGGGCATTTTACGAATGGCATGGTACTGCTGCGCCTTGGTGAGGTCCTGTAAAAAAGAAATGTTAGAACTGGAATATGAAAAAGTGAATCAATGAAATACTCACCTCATCCCGTCGCACAAAGCCATCGTGGATGCTAAAGGCCAAGCTGGTCACCTTCTGTGTAATGATCATTAGAGGCCCGGTGATGTCCAGGGCATAGGATCCATAGTCATAAAGCTGACGCATCAGATGCACGCACAGCAGATAGCTCATGGCCACCAGCAAAACGGCTCTGCGGCAAAAGGTCAGGACAATTAGCGAGTACTCCTTACATAGTCTAGCGTAATTACCTTTGAACGATGCGTGGATCCTGAGTGCGAATGACAATGTAACATATCGCCGGCAATCCGGCGATGTGAATGGCCTGCTGGCCAAAGCAAAAGTAGCCAAAGGCCAGGCCAATCGATAGGGCAAAGATGTGCCTCAAATTGCTGGACACCTTCGAGGGATGCAGCACGGACCGGAAGAGCGAGGCCAGGAAGAGAGCCGATATTTGGCAGAGTAAAAAGTTTACCTAACAGATGAGAATAGGTATAAGAATATATATTAAGTTGCTTTAGTTATAGTTGATTGTGAATGAAACAAAGGAACAATAGAAATAAGTATGCATTTAAAACGTGTTATTGATTAAAGTCATTGACTCTAGCTGCACACATGTACACTTGTTGGCAATCAAATCGTTAATTAATGAACATGATTACGTATAGCAGATTAAGTGGCCGATTTGATTTTTCGCTGTGCGCTGTGCCAAGTGCTTTATTTTAATAATAGAACAATTTGGTTCAGCAAACAGCTCGTAATTGTGTCGAGTCGGCCTGATAGTCGATGATAAGAGTGACTCGAACCCGCAAGCCTTGGCATCTGCTTGGCTTTCAAAGTGTTTGGGTATCCGCTGGGCAGTGCCAAGTATAGGTGTGGTCCGACTTCTTATCGGCCCCTTATCGGGGACAGTGCTAAATGCGTTTTAAAGAAAGCGTCAAAGCAATTGATATCAATTAACTGCCTGATATCATGCCCTCTAATTTGGGGCCCCATCATGGTATATTCATTGGCAAGGCGCACTCGTTCGTTCGCTCGTGCGAAAAAGGCAAATGAGTGTGGCATAAATTAGCCATTTCACCAATTACCATTCCCATTGCTCTAGTTCTAGCTTCAATGGCAAACAGTGACAGCCGGCAAAGGGCAGGCATGCATGCATATATAATATATTATATATATCGACCGATATTCGCCAAGATCTTCGACTATAACCCGGCATCGCAATAGAAGCCAAGGCCATGCGGGGGTCAGCGTGGCGCACATTGATCACAACGCGTGATCGTGATCACCGATTGCCCATGATCAAGTGCATTGCTCGACAAGCACTTGTGGCCCCGTTTCTCTGAGGGGGATGCTGCTGCTGTTCCCTCAAATTACAATTGCAAATCTAGAGTGACACGTGCCGGCTGCATGTGCTTCGGTTTGGGTCCAAAGATCTAATTGCGAGGTGCTTACACTTACGCAAGATTTAGATATATTCCATAAACAGAAACAGAATGAAATTTAAAATGACTTTTTCTTTTAAATAATATATAGTTGGTAAGAGGAAATAAATTTCTTAATCGAGAATATATGTAACACGCAGAAGGAGGCATCTCTGACCCCATAAATTATATATATTCTAAATCATCACCAGTCGAGTCGATATAGCAATTTCCTTTTGTTCCTCCATGCTTCTCAACATGTTCCTAGCAATATTTGTGTTTCTATAAGAGTAGTGAAACATGTTCCTAGCAATATTTGTGTTTATATGGGTGTGGCGCAACATGTTCCTGTCAACAATTGTCTTTGATTTTCAACATTTTCAACTGCCATCTGCCTTGTTTAATTAAAGGTTTTTATTAATTTAAGTATGTTCCCTTTAATTTTACCGAGAATGTATCTCCCAATGGGTCTCACTATATGGTAGTTTTCTATTTTTTTAATTATTATTAATATTACTAACTTTAATGGCAGATGCTCTAATTATTTACATATTTCTTCTTCTGTAGCTATCTTTGTATAATGTATTTGACATCTTACAAGTTCCTGCGGCTGTCGAATTTAATAATGGGGAATAATGGGAACACTTCACTAGTAAGTCGATAACACGTACTCGCTTTATAGATATACCCGCGTACATTATCTGCCTTTGTGTATCGGGAAATAGCACCCACAAGCGCTCTCACACAAAGGGGCCACGTATCACGCCATAGGTCAGAAATAAAGGCGGCCCTGGAACGATGTGTGATAACCAGAGATAAGTCGAGCCAAAACAATGAGGTCCCGGCGATATACAAGGCTCTCACTCTCCACCAATTTTAAGATTAAAGACTTGGAGGGTGGGGAAATCAAGCTGATTACAAGGTGAATCACTTATTGATGGCCAAAAGAATAGCCATCGAAAGAGCAGTTTTCCCATTCGGACGCATGTTGTAATCATCATTGGAATACTGAAGACCGACCGAATACCTCATGCGCAATAAGTTGCTGCTGTTGGAAACCGGTTATAGCTTGCCTTAGCCAACATCTATATATGGCTAAAATCCAAGCAAAGAGCACAGAGCCAAACGAAAGGAAAATCTTGCTCAAGAATTATGCTTTCAAGTATGGAACAGAGGGGAACTTAACACAAGAAGGGCAACAAGTGGACGAACATGAGCAACTTGTTGGCAATTGGAGTTAAAGAAAAACCTCACTTGCTGAAAATGTTTATTACAAAAAAGTGAATAGGTGTTGAGATATTACCCATAACTTTTCTAAATACTAATTATTTACGGTCTTAAACAACGCTTTGATAGCATAAACTTTTTAAAGTACCTATTATTATGTTTAAATGCTTTGTTCTCAAACTTTTTATTCTAAATTATACTCTTTTAGCTTTAATACAAATATTTATTCCAGTGCAGGACATCTTCATGATGCGAGTCGAGTATGCGGAAGAAGGGGAAGTCATCTTCCAAGCTTGAGGGCATGGCTGAGGCCTTTGTCTCAAGTCTGAGGCGTGGCAAGGGGTAGGGGCGAATCACATAATAAGTACACAGACATCATACCGAGGGCCTCCGGTGGGGCCTCGAACACACGGCTCATGTGTCCGCGCCCCAAGGTGAAATAATTAAATCGAGCATGAATTCAGGTGCACGACCAATCGAATTTCAGGGCACGCAAAACGATTTTAAAGCCACAATGTGAATTCCAATTATGAAATGCTTCCTTGCCCACATCCTGCAGGGCAACACATACATAACACTACTTGTAGTTCCAAGAAACTACTGCAAACATTGTCTATTGGCAGAGCAAACAGTTTAAAGTCAAATGTGGGGATTCCCCAGCCTTGCACTCTCCTCCTGGTGCATTGTGTACGGAAGCTATGTAAGTTATTATGAAGAGATAGCACTGGATGCCAAAGATAAGATGTTGCCATGGTTCCGTTTCCAGCCCGGCAACAATGCAATATGACTTGCATGTGCCGTGCCAGCAATTTGCGTGGGCTCATCTGCCATTGTTCACAGGGATTCCATTCCTTAGCCACCGAGCTGGTCTTAAGTTGTGCGTCTTAGTCCCTATTCGCATGCCAACTTTGCGGTTATTTACCACAAAATGAACTTGTGGAACAATTATATATATAGCATTTCATTATTCATTATTAATACTAGCTACAAGGTATTGTTATACCTTTAACCTTGATAGGGTATTATAATTATAATATATAATAATATATAAAAGCTTAAAAAGCAATGATGGAATTATTTCCGACCCTATAAATCATATATCAGTAACTATGAGCAGTAAGTAACTCTGAAGAGTAATTATCTATGAGCAGTAAGTAACTATGAGCAGTAAGGAACTCTGAACATTAAGTATCTATGAGCAGTAATTAACTCTGAACAGTAAGTATTTATGACTAATAAGAAACTATGATCAGTAAATATCTATGACCAGTAAGTAACTATGATCGGTAAGTATCTATGACTAGTGAGTATGTATAATCAGTTACTAACTTTGAACACTAATAAACAATGACTTGCAAATTTTGTAACAACACATTCCTGAGACTTGGCCGGCAGAAGTCACTTTGCTCCGGGGATGTTAGAACCAGTTGGGAATCATATGTACAGAGAAAGATTTGTTTTGGAACAAATTTTAGAGCAAGCTATTTGAATGAACCTATGGAGTTATTCTTTATATAATTTACTAGTATATAAGTCGGATCGTAGCGGATCGGTGGACTATATATATACATATATATAACTGCCATAGGAACGATCGGACGATATTTAAAACTATAATCATGAATTAACCATGTTCAGTTATTATCTATGACCAGTAAGTAACTCTGAACAGTAAGTAACTCTGAACACTAAGTATGTATAAAAAGTAAGTATCTATGACCAATAAATAACTATGATCAGTAAATATCTATGACCAGTAAGTAATTCTGAAGAGTAATTATCTATGGCCAGTAAGTAAATATGATGAGCTAGTAACTATGATCACCAATTAGCTATGACCAGTAAAAAACTATGATCAGTAAATATCAACAAACAATAAGAAACTATGATCAGTAAGTAACTATGATCAGTAAGTAACTATGACCAGTAAGTATCTAAAGTATCTAAAAATATCAGAAAGTTTCTGAGTATGTAAAGGGGACCAAAGCAGTAAGAGAGTAAGGAGGATATAGTCTAGACCTAGGTCTGATACCACCAATAGCTTCTTACCGCAGAAAAGGACACGTCATTGTTTATTCCTTTCAGTGTAGTGACCAAGATTGGGTGACTTCATCCAAAGTAGGCTTCTTCCTAGTCATCCAGATGTGTTTCATTGGCCACGTCATATTTTTAAAGTCGAAGGTTGATCACTTGCACTATCACTATTGATGTTAACACTAGGTACCCCTAGGACAGACTGAGGCGCGCGCGACCTCAGCGCCTCTATTTATAGTCCCCGAGCAGAGCAGAGAAGAGCAGAGAAAATGAGAGTGAGTGCGTGGGAGAGAAGCAGTTGCCTCTAGAGATTAACATAGAGCGATTAACATAGAGTGAGAGGGGGAGAGGCAGAGAGGAGCAGCGAGCTGATATTTAATTTAACTATAAACAATAAGTAACTATGAGCAGTAAGTAACTCTGATCAGTAAGTATCAATGAACATTAAGTAACTCTGACCAGTAAGTATCAATAAACATTAAGTAACTAAGATCACTAAGTATCTATGACCAGTAAGTATGTATGATCAGTTACTAACTTTGAACACTAATAAACAATGACTTGCAACTTTTGTAACACAACACATTCCTGAGACTTGGCCGGCAGAAGTCACTTCTTTCCGGGGATGTTTAAACCAGTTGAGAATCATATTCACAGGGAGAGATTTGTTTCAGAACAAATTTAAGACTAGGCTATTTGAATGAACCTATGGAGTTATTCTTCTATATAATTTACAAGTACATAAGTCGGATCATAGCATCATAGCATCATCATCGGTGGACTATATATATACATACATATATATAGCTGCTATAGGAACGATCCGACAATTTTAATAAAAATTATAACTTTTCCAGTTTTTAATAGATTTTCATCAAATTTAATATATATCCATTATATATTAATTTAGAATTTTGCGTACAATTTTAAGAAAATCGGACTACTATATCATATAGCTGCCATACAAAGAATTGTTGAAAATAGAGGAAAATGCAGAACGGAGAATGTAAAACTGTAAAAATAAAATAAATAGATGAATGAAATGAAAGCAGTCATTACTTTATTGTTTTTTAACAAAAAAATTATAAAATTAATATACAAATTATTGATAAAATATATTTGCAAAGAAATATCAAAGTAAAATTTGAAGTTTTGAATTCCTTATTAATTTGAATACCTTAAATATGCATATCTAGAAAATATTTGCACTCAAATCTAAGGTAAATAATTTGATTTAGAATACTATAACTAATATTATTTTGTATATATTTTTATAGTTGAGTGAATATATAGGACTAATTGCATTTTAATAATACTTAAAGCAAGTGATGCATGAAATGAACCCCCGCAAAGTTACAATCAAAAAACAATCTGTAAAATACATTAGCTTATCATTAAATTGTTGCATTTCCTCTAAATATAGTACCTACGGATAGATATCCGATATGTCAAGACCCATCAATCAACTAGGATGTAGGAAATGCAAACAAACATGCGACAATCACAAACATACACATACTATAATATATATTGGCAATGGAATCAAACCATAAATCATTTGATTAAAGCGCAGCACCCTCCCTCTATTGCCAAATATTGTGCGAAAAAATAAAATAAATAAATATACAAAGAGAGGGGAAAGGCGAAATGGGGGTGGCAATGCGCGTACCAAAAGGTGGCGTGATCACTAAAAATAAAACAGTAAAAGAGCCGGCAAGAGAAATACCCAGCAAAAGGCGAACGAACATACGATAAAAAGCAAAAGTTATAACTGAAAACAACAAAACAAGAACATGGCAGACAAAGGAGCATTGCGAAATGAGTTAAGAATGCAGAGATATGGAAAATGGTTTCAGAAACAGCCAAGCAAAACAAACCAACCGAAACGAGACGAAAACTAAAAAACGAAAGTAATTAAACTAGTTTTGTCTCGCTGATGATTAATCCAACAATAAATCATAGCAAATTTAAAACTAAAATGCTGCAAAAACAAAAAACAGAAGTGAAGGGTATGAAAACAACCGTTAGATGGGCGCCAAACAGCTGTCAAAAGCAGATGAGAAAAAAAAACATAAAGCCGAATGGCAAAGCAGACGACATAAACAACAACAAAAAAAAAAGCAACGGGTTCAAGCAACTGCGACACCCCAAAGCTCAAGGTCACAGAAGCAATGATATCGTTATAATAATCTATGCACACCTATTATATTGCACACCGAGCGTGAGAAAGGGAGAGCGCAACAACTGGATTTTGTTATTGCTGTTTTTCTCTCTCTCTATCTCTTTGTCTATAATTCTCAACTGATATTTAATTCCAATCGTATTGCTTCGATCCGGTTAAAAGACTTCTACGAACATTGAGAAATACGTAGTATTATTATTAAATGTATACACAAGTACAACAGGCACAACAGCGATGAGTTGTTTATTGATGTTTATTAATAAAATACCCGGAGAAAAAAGCACAAGTGTGGTGGAAATACTAGGAGCGAGGTTACTTCGAATTGTATTTAAACAATAAACAAATGGATCTTTACACCCACTTCATGATATTTAATCTGAAAAATATCTGGTTCTAAAAGATATCTTGGAAAGTGAAATATTATATCAATCAATATTATTAAAGATATAATATTTAGTATCAATAATTTAACATTTTGAAAGGCTTTTGATGTAGTTAAAGAAAAAGTAAGATAGTTATTTACTTTTTTTCAGCCATACGAAGCCCGTAAGAAGTCATTTAAACCCCACTTTTAACCCTTTAAAAACATGCTACTATAGTAAACTATATATTTTCCACCCAAGTGTTATTAATTTTTTGACCCCCATTATGTCAAGAAAGTAAAGGAGAAGCTTGGCGTGGGATGAATAGTTCAGATAGCAAAATGAACTAATGAGAATGAACCGCAACCGTCTGATCATTAACGCCACTCGAAAGGCTGCTGCACTCTCTCCCAGATCCCCTGCACAGAGATCACTATGATAAATACAATATAGATTCAAGTACTATATAGTAGATGCCTTGAACATGAGGCAATTCCACGGAACAATCACCCAATTCACCGGCATTTTGCGCAGTTGCGTGCTACGGCCTTCGTAGCGAATTACCGTAAAAAAAAAATAAAAATAAAAAAGCGAATAAAATATCGGGCTCTGCGGTTTTTACAAATAAAGAAAACAGTGTCGTCGCCCACCCAAACAAATAAAACACCTTTTGGAATAAGAGCCACAAAGAGTGTATACTCTTTACATAAATATTTTAAAATCGGAATTAAAACAGGCTCAATTTGCTTTGGATTTTAAATAGGGAAACTATCTTAAAGATTAGAGATTGAAGGAATAAAACTGTTATATGATATGGATCAAAATAATAAAATAGATGATGAAATTAAGCTGTGTTTACCCCTTAAAAATATTATTTAAGCAAAGTCTTTAACAACTCCCTTTCCCACTTTTGTCCCCCATATCGAGGAAGACCTGTTTTTGGCAACTGACTCATTGGACAGCTATCAGCTGAGAGAAAAACAACAAAAAAACAGTGCTCACACTCGCACAGTAGAGCTGTTGCTGCTGATATTTGTTTGCAAACAAAAGAAGCGCTAAAAATTCAATTATCTTTCAGGGAGGGAGCCAGGCAACAGATATTTAGATGAAGAAAAGTCAAATTGGATTTCGAGCAGCTTTTTGATAAGGACAATTGCCCGATAGCAGCTGGAATTAAGGTGAGTTTTCTTGCGGTGTCTCTCTGGCGCTGAGTGTGTGGGTTTTGCGGCTGCCTTACATCGGATGTTAGTATTAGGTCATCGGAATTGAAAAATATGACTAGTGTGCGCCGCGGTGATTACGTGTGTGTGTGGTGTGTGTGTTTGTCACTTGATTTGGGCCAGAAAATGCCTCCTCTCCGAGTGAATCACAATTCTATCCGGCACCGTCAGCTGCAGTTATGCAAATCACATTGCGGCAAGCTAATGGCTGCATGAGAGGGTCTTTAATATACATATGGCCAAAAGGAGGGGTTATGCGATGTGGCTAAAAGCCAGCTAAGTAACTATGTCCGTGTCCTTCTATTAAATGATGCAAAACATTTTTAATTCAACGAAATCAACGATGCGTTGGACCGTCATTTCAAAATTTAACGCTAGAAAAAGCATGCGGCATGGAAAATTCCACTATTTATTCGCATTTGTTCTTGCCAAACTGATAAGCTCTCTTCACATAATTCAAGTTGTCTAAATTTAATTACTATGATGAAACCGCAACTACAACAACGTAAGGGGGGGGACAAAGAAAGGCGAGTGCCAAATTCGATTAGCTGCCAAATGTGGCGAAAAAATAACATAAAACACACACAAACAAATTATTACAAATTTCACGGATAAATGTGTTTACTCTATTAAAATAAACAAATAATAAGCACCAAGGTTATATCCAGAGTTTCAGATTATTTTAAACAAACCCGTGATATTCATATTTTCTTAATAATTTTACTATAAGTTTTAAATATTTGAGTACCGTAATTTTGAGAAAATCAACAATGCAATTATTCAGCCAAAACCTTGCCAGGTATAACTAGTTTTGCATTCAACAATTGGGACAAGAATCCTTTGTTTTCATTTTACCTGGAGGAAACCCGGATTCCCTTCTTTTCAAAGTAAAATCCAGATTTCTACAGCCACACACACACATATACACAAGTATATACACAGCACGCACACGTGCACACACCCGTTCCGGTGCAAAGGAGTCGGGCGGAGTTTGGGGAGGTAAAAGAACAAGGGAGTCTTTGAAATAGTATTGCTTACCAAATCTACGGAAAGCCCCACCATGTCCGCCAGCCAGGTGAAGGTCCGGCTGCCGCCGTACATATCATTCTCGATGAATTTCGGCGGCTCTAGCATTTTGCCTTCTGTTTTCTTTTTCCGTTCTTTTCCGTTGATACTGCGTTGCTGTTGTTGTTGTTGTAGCTGCTGCTGCTGTTGCTCCTTTTATTTAGCGCTTCATTTGAGAAACTTCACGGCTCACGGTCACTACTATATCTGGATCGCCACCGATCGAGGTCCCGCTCTGCAAGCGGAGAGGGGCGCGCGCGGGCGTTCACTAATAATTTTTTAATTTTGCAATAATTTCGGAAGTTTTGTCGCCTGTCTCGCTCGCGTGCTTGTCATATAACTAGTGATGGGGCCGTGCTGTTCGAACTTAATCGATAGCAATACATCGATATCATCCAGAGCTGCAAGTGGTTCTCGTACCTTTATCGGAGCATAATAGTAATCGATTTATCGATACTATCGCAAGGGCTGAAGTAATTTCATCAACTACCATCTCTATTCTGCGCACCTCAGCGAACTTCTGCTTTTCTGGAATTATTTATCAAATAAATCAAATTGCAAAATGTTGGGCCGCAGCAGTGTGATTGTACGCAACTTCTCCCAGTCGATGGTCCGCTTCAGCGGTCATGGCGGTGTTCCCGGCGAGGTGAGTGGGCAGATATCTTAATTTTCCACGGGTTACATAATTCCGTGACCACATAATCCTGGCGGAAAATCAATCAACTCATTGGAAATCCTTGTTTTTCGTGCAGAACCTGCCCTTTGGTCTGTCCAACAAGTACAGGATCACCGCCCTGTTCACCGCCGGCTGTGTTTTGGGCTTCGGAGCGCCCTTCCTGATCGTGAGGCACCAGCTGCTGAAGAAGTAAGGCGATAATAACAACAACAACAAATGTAAGGTTAGTTATTTAGAATATCCTCTATAAGCTATTAATTACACTAATTGTTCTTGTTTACAGATGTAGCCTTGCTTGCGAAGGCCATTGCAATGTGTTACAGCTTAAATTTAAGTGGAAAGTGGAAACGAAATAAAGTTACCCCATAACCGTAGAACCCGAAAAGATGGGATATGTTTTTTTGGACGGGCATAAGCAACGGTATTAGTCAGGAGGAACAGATGTTTAAAGAGCTATAAAGGACCTTTACCTAAGGGTATAATAACATTCTTCATGGATATTTTTAAAGAATACTAAAAGAACATAGCGCGAAGGTTCTTAAAACAAGGAAGGCGATTAGATTTTCTTATTATGATATTCAGATATTTAAACTATGGTCTAGCTTTAATATAAACAGTAGGCTATACTTCAATCTTAATAGATTGTCAAAAAGTGAAATACAATATTCAATGACTTCCCATTTTGTCAGCAAGCAAGTAACAATTCCTGTCTCAAGCAAATATTACAAATTTAATTATGTGGCCTGCAGTGCGCAATCCGATTCGTAAGGTTTCCGGACCATTAACTCGCCAGGGACATGGGTACTCAGGCGGTTGTCCTGGAAATGTAAGTACTATTAGCATATAGAGGAGTATTATTTAATCTGTTGACTCACAGAATTTGCCTTTTGGCTTGGACACTCCAATGCGCTTTACATTGTTTTACACGATTGCGGGAATAGTGGGCTTTGGGGCTCCCTTTTTAGTGGTTCGCCACCAGATGCTGCGCAATGTGACTGATGACGAGCCGTGAGTAATAACAAGTGCTTAATCTAGTCTAGTTTAAATACTTTTCTATTACAGCAAGCCAGAATGATTCTTGTAACGATTAAAATTAACATGGCAATAAAATCTTAAATGGAGGGCATTGCACATCAAATTTATTGTCGTATCTAATTGTTAACAATCGGCTTTTGTGGGGTTTTTCTGTTCTTTTAGTAATTTTAGCTAAACATTACTCAGTACGACGATCAGCACTGGCGGTGGCGATCAAGGAAATTCGTTAATTAGACTAGGCTAAGCCTCTGGGCTTCGCTACAGCTCATCCTTTTCATCGAAGTTGTACTCCTCCTGGATGGGCGACTCGTTGCAGTATTTGGCCTGCTCTGAGCAGATCTTAATGTCCAGATCGTTGCCCAGCTCCTCGGCCTGGAAAGCCTTAATGAAGGCTTCATCATTGTCCTCCAGCACCTCATTACAAAAGTGGCCCAGGCTCTTATTGAGGTCGCCGTCTTGGACAAAGTCCACCAACGAAGAGTCTGGATTCATCTGTCCATTGACGATCATCTTGAGCAGCGTGAATTTGCCATTGCTCTTGTAGGTAGCCTTCAGGTAGTCGTCCATTTTTTCGCCTAAAAAGAGGGGGAGATTTAGTATCAATAGGAAGTTCAAGCAAATCTTATCTAACTTCAGAGGTGATAACGAATTGAAGTAAATCATAAATAATATCAAGAATAACAACAAGTTATGCTACTCACATATCTTCTCCATCAGTTCCGTGAGGAACATCTCCGACTTGATGAGGCGCACACGCTTGCTAATCGAATTCCCCTGGGAATCCAGTCGGAAGCCACTTACATCGGCCATCTTATGGGGATCCTCCTTGGCTATCGCCTCCTCCATTTCCCCTACAGTGGCCTTGCACACTGCAAAAGAAGATAGCCTTTAGCTAACAGAGCCAACAAGTGGAACAGCCGCCTGTTGCTGGCAGTAAATTGATTCACTTACCGTGACACTTTACCTCCCGCGAGGTGAAGCTGTAACCCTGGGCCAAGGCCAGTAGACCCAACAGGATTAGAGTCTTTGCCAGCATCGTTTCTATTGATTAATTAACAAATCTAAACTGAACACTAATTAACAATTGCAACCACGTCAGCAACACAGCGCGTTCGGTTTGAAAATGCGGCGTTGATAATGCCGTGAGTTTGTATTTACGGCGACTTAAGAGCGACGTGGTTTTTGTTGCCCGCTCCAGAGCGATAAGTATTATTCTAGTTAATTTATTCCGTCGACGGGGTGGCGGCGGGAGAACGGTGGGTCGGGGTCACTTGTCTTCGCAGAAATCCCCAAGAAATTTTAGTAAATAAATTCTACGGAGCCGTAGCTAGTTATTATCGGTCTATCGATAGCTGTCACCTCTGTGGCAGAAATATTTTTGAAGTGACCATCTTTCAATATTTAAATTTTGATTTTAAATTTGATGGATTTTTAATACTTTCAGGAACAAAAAAATATGAATATTATAGTCTTAGTTACTAGTCCTTAAAAGCTATACTTTTTATTTCAATATATTTAATTATATCTGTTAATATCACCCATCTATTCGATTCACCAAAAAATCGATACCTATCGGCGCGCGAAGTTTAAAATTCGTTAGAGCAGAAGAAAGTAAAACTAGAAGAGTTTTCCGTGTGTGTGTAATTCGCACTATATTCTCTGCAGCATTTCTCTGTTTGCTCTTTCTCATTTTTTATTTAGAGATTATGCTATATAGCTTGCTGATAAGCGAAGACTCAGTGCAAGCGGAGAATTGCTTGTGAGCGGTCTGTTCTTCGCTCGCAATGTGAATGCAATCGAATCGTGTAATTAACCGGCAAAACGCTCGTAAATTGACACAAGCCCACAACTCGGTCGCGTTCGGCGATAATTTCCACATACTCTTATTAACCATTGTAATTGGCGTTAATTAAGTGTCTCGTGTATATATCACTCACTCTCTGACTGTGTATTTCCTCCTTCTAGACGTCTGTGTTTGCTCAGTTAATTGATAAGACTTTGCATTATTTGTATAGCAAAAAGCTATAGAAATCGGAAATGCAGCGGAAATAGTTGCTATAGGTATAGTTATTTAGTGTCCCCTTTGTTGACCCCGACAAACTTCGAGATTAGAGATAACAAATCATTCATTGAGCAGTGTCTGAATGAGATTTTATGTAAATTAACGGATTCTGGGATAGATTCTAAGCAAGTTTTGTTTTAAGAAATGCTTAAAATATACAAGACCACCATTTATTTAATTATAATCGATATGGATGTAGTTTGAATCTTAACAATTTTTAAAGATATATGCAAATTTTCAATAGCATTTGCATCGCCCTTTACGGCAAACAGCATCCTTTCCCCTTGTGCCACAATTAGCAGAGCACCGATCGATTGAACAATTGGCACGCTTCCGGCGTCCTAGCTCCTGGAAGGCATGCCCAGTATCCGGTTCCTGTTTCAGGACATGCTCCTGTGCATCCACTTCGTGAAGTGACTCCGCCTGAGTCAGATAGACCGCAGCCAGAGCTAGAGCCAGGATAAGTGTCATCTTCATGTTGGCAAATCAAAGTAAACACTAATCTATTTGTTCGCGTTGACAGTCGTCTTTTATAGTTAATCGATCGGATACCGGTTTATGATAATCTATCTATATACGATATAAGAGTTGGAGATATTCCTGTTTTGATATATTGTTTTATTTTTAAAGAATTACGGGAAATAAACTATGCAATTGTGGTTTCCGCAAAGTGCATAAATAGACACTGACAGGTTGTTATGTGACTTTGTGGGAGAAAGATTTAAAGTTCTAGTTTGTGGTTGGTTTTTAAATGTTATGGAAATGTGCTTTAGAATCTTTACTTTTTAAAGATTTTTCTTTGTCTTAAAGTTAGTTCGTTTTGACTGTTTAAATGTTAATTTAAAGTATAAAGAGCAACAAATAAACATCTTGCTTTGCCAACTAAGATTGTTAAAGGTTTTTGTTTATTTTTAACATATAATTTCCCATTAAAATCATATAGTTTATATCCTCATCTGATCCAAATCAATTTCGGCACACGCAGACGGCTTTGTCATTGCAATATCCACCCTTGTTTCCTCTGGCCACGCAGTGGGCAGCGCAGGCTGTATGGTTCCAGTTCCACTTGGACAGGAGATCACAGGTGGCACGCTTCTGGCGACTGTGCTCTGCCACCGCCTGGTCAGCAGGCTCCTCCGCCTCGACCAGGAGATGCTCGGGAAGAGCCTCCTCCTTAACGGGCTGAGCCTGAACCAAGCAAGCCACCAAGGCGAGGGTAAGAGCCAGGAAGACGATGAACTTCATGATGGAATCTCAGTGGAAATACTGTTGTGACTTGTGGTAGCCTCGCTGGGCTTATATAGCGATCTCGTTGGCAGATCGATTCGCCAAGGGACTCCCCAATTTGTGGATGACTTATTGTCACTATTGTCTTTAATATTCAGGAGCACACACACGTCTCGGGGATTTTATTTTAACCGCACCCCAGACAATGGGAAGAAATCCCCTGTCTAGGGTACTATTTCATTTTGTATTGCGATAAGAGGAAACATTTATTTTAAAGATCGATATTTGCTCAACTCTGTCTTAATTTACAGACTGAGACTGATGGATGGGCAATAAGAAAACTACGTTGCAGTATTTTCTTTTATATATATTTATATATAATCGAACCTTCAAACATTTTGGCAGATTTTTAAATGGATTTCAAATCTATCATGATTTCTTTTTGGCTATGGAGTACGCATTTTTCAAACTTCAGCTTTATTTATCTTTGTAATTGGTACTTATTGTTTTTAGCTATCATTTTTAAGGTTTTCCGGGAAATAAACTATGCATAATGCATTCTAAGAAAATGTATTCAAAATAACTATGTTCATTCTAGATTTTAAAGCTCTGATAACACCTCCTTTTATCTGAAGAAATAGCTAAAGCTTAAATTAAAAGCCCCAACAGTACTAGGAAAAGAAAACCTAGACAAAAATTCATATAAACAAATAAGAATATTTTATAGCCGGATATTTTTTATTGACTCCTCCGAAACAATTAGAATTTGCTGATCTGATCAGATCTGGTAATCGTTTCGATTTCTAGCTAACTATTTAATTGTGCCAACAGTTGAAGGGCTGCACACACGCATCGGTTTCTCAGTTACCCAAAGTTACTCAAAGATACTCGGATACAGATACAGATACAGCCAGATACATAAACATCTACACAGGCGACAATAAATAATTTCCACCGAAAAGTCTCTTCATAAAGCCGGACAAATAAACAAACAAGAATCACACAATGATTAGTTGGGCATCGGAGGCGGGTGTACTTGGTGTATGCCCCCCGCATCTGTGCTGTATCTGCGTCAGCCGGCGTATGTGTATCTATATCTATATATCTGTATCTGCATCTGGCCCGGGCCCAGTTGAGCGCTGCAATCCCGATCGGATAGGATCCCACGACCGTGGCTTTTCAGTTGCTCCTTCGCTGGTTACCCCGTTGCACGTTGCCCGTTGCCCGTTGCCTGTTTACCTTTGTTATCGACCAGGTCTTGTCTTGTCTTGCATTTTGGCGTCATACTGTCTGCCAGTCCACTCCACTTGAGTCCAGAACCCCGCCTCCTGGCACCTCAAGAGCTCAAGAGTGTTCCTCGGACAACCATTTATACAGGGAGAAAAATGTGACTACATTTTTAATGAAGCTGAAGTTTGTTTAACCTTCCAGTTAGCCAAAGCATAGTGGAAATCATTGGCTCTTTTGGCCTTCCTATACTTATAAGAAAACCTTAAATATGTGTATTCTAGATAATATTAAATCGATATTTTTATATGGTAATTTTTGGGGAAAATCAAGGTCTTCAAAAATCATAACTAAGCTAAAAATGCCTTAATTTAAAATCGGGAAGCTTTCCTGTGCTAGTTTTTATATAGTTAACAAATCTGCATATTGAGTTTTCATATATAAAAAATATAATTTTTTGACAAATTTTTAACATTTAAAAAATGTAAGAAATTGTATAAAATTTGAAAAAATGTATTTTCCTCCAAAGATGGCTAGATCGATTTGTCGTTTAATGCTGATCAAGAATATATATGATTTATGGGGTCGGAAATGATTCCTTCACTGCGTTTTAATCATCTGACTGAAATTATAATACTATTTTTAGATACGATATTTATCTATATTTTAATGACAATTTTTTGTCAAAATTAAAGTTTAAATTACTCATAACTAAGTCAAAAATGAATTAATTTTAAGTTTGAAAGTTGTTCTGTGTTAGTTTTTATCAGGCTAATAAATCTGCATACTGAATTTGACATTTTAAAAAATTCAAATTTTTGCCAATTTTTTTTGTTTTAATTTTAACGATTTAACCCCTTAAAAAAGTTGAAAAAATTACAACATATTTTTTTTCTTCCTAAGATGGCTAGATAGATTCGCCTGATGATGCTGATCAAGAATATATATGATTTATAGGGTCGGAAATGATTCCTTCACTGCGTTTTAAGCTTCCAACTGTTATCACAATACCCTGCAAGGGTATAAATATATTTATAATATATTTATAATATATTATATATTATATTGTATATTATATATATAAAAATCTCTTTAAAAATCTAAACAAATCCCAATTTTTTCCCCAGTGCACATCCAATCGTTGAAGAACACCACAAAACTGAGTGTGGCACAGCCGAAAACAAAAGCAGAACCAGGGGCGGTTGGTTCAAGAGGTTGGGAAGGGGGTGGGGGGATCTTGCTATAAGGTACCAGGAGTGATCAGGAGCGGTAGGGAGGGGGTGAGGGGTCAGTGGCAGTTATCGCTGCCGTCAGACTGTCTGGCAGGTTTCACACCGAAAACATCGGAGGCAACCGGCAAGGCAACCTCCTACCTCCTACCTCCCTCTCCCTCTCTCTCTCTCTCTCTCTCTCTCTCTCGCTCTCTCTCTCTGTCTCTCTTCGACCGCCACCAGGTGAACCTGGGACGCGGGACTCCTTGGTGAGTTGCGGCGGGTCTATAAATCACAGGAGCGAGCGGGGTCTGGGCCCTCGACGGTTCACGTTTTCCCCTGGTTTCCCCTGGTTTTGCCTGCTTCCTCGATTCCCGCTGGCTGGGCCAGCAGCAGCTGGTGCAACTGTTGGCCGCTTTGTTTTAGATGATTTTTTGTTGCTTTTGTTGTTGTTGGTGAGGCAACCTCTTGAGATGCACAAAGGAAGATAAATTTCACACGCACACACAAGTGCTCTCCACACACCGTCTGCGATCGTTTTTATGCTGACTACAGTGGGTAGTCCCTAAGGAGGAACGTTAACTTTGTTATTGTACCAGAGAGTTTACTAAAAAGTACTTGGTTTTCTGTATATCTTAGGGAGTAAAGTGAATACTTAAGTAGTTATCATAACTTCAGGCTTAGATTAACCTTAACTTCTGTTTGTTACTATTACCAGTTGGGAATTATAAATTATTTTCTAATTTTATAAGTGGGGATTAGTTATCCCATTTATGTCTTATTTTTGCCATGGAATACCGAAGAACCCCCATCTAGGGTTTATCACAAATAATTCTCTTTAAATTAAATCAATTATAATATCTGGATACTTTTGATATAATATTTCTGTGATAAACTTTAAAATGATCTTCAAATTAAATTATTTATAATACCCTGATACTCTTAATATATCATTTCTGTGATAAACTTTAAAATGATCTTTAAATTAAATGAATTATAATACCCTGATACTCTTAATATATCATTTTTGTGATAAACTTTAAAATGATCTTCAAATTAAATTAATTATAATACCCTGATACTTTTCATATAATATTTCCGTGATAAATTTTAAAATGAACTAAGAAAAAAATGAGATTTTAATAAATAATTTTTAGTTTTTTTGCCTTAACCACCTTAGCTAGTCTCCACTGTAGTGGCTGTCCGGTCTCTCGGAGTCGGAGTCGCAAAGATAAGATATTGGAAGCGACACGCCAGACACTCTGGCGACAGCGGGATCCCGCTTTCTCCGTCGCCGCCGCCACTGCCCTCCGATCTTCGAAGAGAAAAAGAGTGAGAGATAGAGAGAGAGGGAGGCAGAGAGAGAGAGAGAGAGAAGCCCGATTCTCTCTAACCCGCTTCGATCGTGATCTCTCACGGCACGGTGGCACTCGGTTTGGGCCACTGCCACTCCACTCCACACCATATCCAGATCCCAGGCAAGGCGCGGCAACCGCTGGGCGGCCCAGTCGTGTGTGGAACTCGGCGTCGATCGGTTGGACATTTTGCAGTTGGCTCCGGAGCTACATATGTACATACACCCAGAGTGATCCTCGCTTGCTCTTTTTCGAAACGAATCGAAAGAAACCGAAACGAAACTGCGGCAAAATCGCACACATAAAGACACACCGCACCACACACAACACACATATTATATAAACAGAAGATCTACCCAGAACACACCTTACCTTAATGCACACACAAACACCGCCTCACTATAAATAGCCCGCGGAAATCGGTAAATAAATAAAAATCGGAAAATCGGAAAGCGGCAAAGTAAAAGTTCTACGGGGGAAATCTAATTGCGACTTTGCGAAAAAGTTTCATAGTTGCTGCACAAAAATCGGATTATAATGGGAGAGTCACAACGTAATTAACACACACACACAAACAAACACACACACCTACTACTACGGTATCCACCTGAAAGAACAGTTAATTAACGAAATCAAACTGCAAAGTGAAATGCTGTCGAGATGTGTCTTCTTCGTCACCTGGCTGGCGGCGGTCTTGATAGCGACTGGAAGGAGTGAAGACGATCAGTCGGTAAGTTTAACTTTGGAATATTAAAAATTAATATTATTAAAGTGAAATAACATGAAAATGGAAAGTGGAAGAAATTTGGGGGAGTTATTAAACATTTAGGGAGTTGTTTTTGATTTTTAAGAACAAAGATCTTATAAGAGAGGCTTTAAAATAAGGTGTAACTACGAAATTTGTCAAAGAAAGAATAAGATTAAGTTATATTGTTTAGGATTTTGACTTTTACAATGTGTTATTTTAACTTTTAGCTTACAAAGGGGCTTATTATTATGTTATACCAGGGTTACATTTTCTAATTTCTTTAATTTGATATTTATTTAATATCAATTCCGGTTACGAAAATAAAATCCTACTGAATATCTGTAAACTCCAACATTTTGAAAAATATTAATTTCTATAGATCTCAGATCAGATTATTTGTTATAAAGAGATCCAAAGTTAAGCTCTGATAAATTTATAATGATATCACATATAACCATCTAAAATAAATCTCTCATAAGAGTATAATCCCCTCAAAATAATGATTATACCCTGCAAAACCGCACACACTCAAACACTGATCACTTTGTAAATCCCGGGAAAACACTTGAATATTCCAGGTATCAAAAGGTACCCAAAAAGTCAGACAAAGAGAGTGAAATGAAGAAGAAGAAGCAGAGTAAGAAGAGGCAAGCAAAGAAGCTGCGATTGCGCTCTTCCTCTCCTTCTCTCCCTCCTTCGTTTTCTCCTGAGCTCAGCTTGTGCGCCGCCGCGCAGTCTGCCAAAACTCTAAGAAGAGAGTCTGCCGGCTCTGCCCTTCCCCGCCTCCCACTCTCCCTTCCTCCCTCACTCACCTTGATTTTTGTTTTTGTTTCATCTGACCGACGAGGGACGAACGTGTTTTGTGTTCCTGCAGAAAACAGGGAGAAGGAGAAGATGAAAAGTAGGAGGAGAGGTGCAAAAAGGAGAACACAAAATGGTCACAAGTCAAAAGCGATTGCTTTTGCCAGCCGCCTCTTGGTCTTTTCTTTCATTCTTTTTTTTAAGCCTCTTCTTAGGCTGGTTTTTAAGTTTTTATTTTCTTATTTTTTTTTGCCAATGCCACTAAGCTGGCTGATGATGACAAAGTGTGAAGAAGTATTTAAAGTGTGGAGCTTCCAGCTCCTCCCCATCCCACCCCATCCACTTTCCACCTCTTCTTTGCCTATCACAGCCTCCGCTTTCCCACCTCGTTCGGCGAGCGTGAGAACTGTCAGTCAATAATTTTGTCGTTATCTTGGTAACAATCCTTGAGCTGTCTCCTTTTATAATTTGTAGCTTCTCTCCAGGAGAATCACAAGGAGAAAAAAAAGAGAGGCAGCAACAGGGTGCTCCAGGTGTGAAGGAGATTCTCACTCCAGGCACGTTTTCGGGATAACGCCCTATTTAAAGCTTGGATAATCGCTAGCGAATATGTCATTTGCATTCCCAATTAGAAGAGACATTCCCCATACAGGGAGGGCTTAAGCTACACAGAACAAAATTATTACCAAAAAATAAAATCTATAACCTATTAAGATTAATATTTCACTTTTGAAATATTTCTTTTTACTGATTAACTGAATTTCTTTAAGAGTATTATACTACTCCCATAATCTTGACTCTTCCCAAGTCTCCAAATAATTATTTCGCCACCCATGATAGTCTCCAATTCCCAAATTTCCAATTGGCCAATGCCAGGGAATCGAGTTCGAGTGCTTAACCAGATGCCCTACGCCCCACTTCTTAGAACAGCCATCCGATCTGCCGATTGCAGCATTATATATAAATAATATACCTATATCTTTATGTGTTTATATATGTACCCCATTGGGGGGAGTCGAAAATCACCTGCGCACTCCGATTTCCAGGCAGCGCGTGCTCGATGCTCACAGAAAATGAAAATGAACTCAAATTGTTTACAGACATTCTACATTATTTGGGTGTATGTACACCCCATGTGTGTGTGTATGTTGTGGCAACATTAAGACAACACTGGGACAGGTATAATTGCTGCTACTCATAATTGTATAACATTTCTTATAGAAGGGGCCGAGAGCTCCCGGTATTTAAAAAGTCAGCAAAAGGGAACCCACTTTTATTGACTTTCCTGGGGTTTTGTTTACTTTAAGGCCTGAAATTACATCATTTTGATATATATATATATATATATATATAGAGGAATACAAGAATTTATAACTGGTGATATGGTTAAATATTTAGTTTAAAAACGCTCTCACTGACAAGGGAAATAGGAACCAAAAAACATTGTTTGTTCTTAATAATTTCAATAAATCATACAGAAATATTAACTGTTCCCTTGTTCGCTACTGAACAAAACTGATAAGCTTTTGTTACTGCTTTGCTTGTACATTGCAGGCAATAGGCAACACTTCGTAGCTAGACAAGTTCAACTTTAGCCAAAAAAAACTCACTCTCGATTACTTATATATGTTTGTTCATATATAGCATTATAGCAAAGCAAGAGCAGCACCTCAATTAGTATCCTCATATCTTATCCGAAACATGTTTCGGTTATGGGACATTTAGATGGCTTGACGCATTTCACTTTTCAATAAACAGCAAAATCTAATTAATGTCCGAGAGACACGATACATAAATATCCCGTGGGCCGTGGGCTTTGCCCGCAGCAAATTGGTTGCACTGGGCCACCTCCTCCGCCACCTCCTTGTATAAACATACAAATATATATAGATATAGATACAGATATATATCTCCGATTTACATACACGCGCTTATGTGATTTTTTGTGGGCTAAACAAGAATTTGAGCACTCAGCCGGCAGCCAGTTGGTCGCGAAGCTTGCTTAGCTATTTTTTGGTTTTGTTTTGTTTGGTTTGGTGCGGATTTTGGGGCTGTGTATGGGCCTGACAACTTTGATTTTCGCATTAGCTTGGAAGCCACCCTCCTCCTCCTCCAACACTGTCCCCGTCTGTGTCAATATTCCGAATTCGTATTCCAGTCAGAGCCGAAAGCCCAGACGCTTGGCGGCGACTGGCAGCAGACCTGGCCATAAGTGCAGTAAATCATTTTACGCGTGTTCGCCATACCCGCACCTCACCACAGTCACCTCCATTTGCTCCTCCCTTCTACCACCAGATGAAGCTACCCGCCTGTGCCGCCAAGCAGGGCGAATGCGATGATAACGAGGGTCCCGTCTGCGGCACCGATGGCCAGACCTATCCCACCAGGTGTCACCTGCTGCGGGCGCAGTGCGGTGGCCACCAGGTGAGCCTCAAGTACCACGAGTCCTGCAATGGTAAGAGAAGATTAGCAACAAGAATCTGGGTTAGAACCTTAAAACCTAAATACAAATCTTTCCTTTACAGCCTGTTTGGAGGCGGTGAAATATGCTCGAAGGCAGCAGGCTCGGGATCCAGATTACTTTGTTCCTCGCTGCCGGAAGGATGGTAACTATGCGGCCATGCAGTGTTATGGCAAGACAGGACCCTGCTGGTGCAGTGACAGTCAGGGCAGGCCCATTGAGGATACCTCGACGCCAACGCGACGGGGTAAGCCCCGTTGCCGAGCCTATAGGCGCAATCGTCGTCGCCTGGCCTCGCATCAGATGCGCTATAGTCCGGATACCTCTGCTGCCTCCAAGGGCAGCTCAGAGTCGGGAGCTGCTGGTCATCGACCTTGCAGCAAGACGGATCGGTCCATGTTCAATGCCAATCTGATGCGTATGTTCCGCAACGAGGCCCAGAGCTTCCTGCGACAGCCATCGCTTTCGGATGCCGCCATCCTGGAGTGGAAGTTTGCCAAACTGGACACGAATGGGAATCAGTTGCTGGATCGACAGGAGGTGAGGGAGCTCAAGAAGGTCCTGAAGAGGGTGAGTACATAAACTGGTGGTTAAATGGCTATCCCCAGGGTTATCCTTTATCTTGATTTTGTTTAGAATATAAAGCCGCGTCGCTGTGGCAGGACCTTTGGCAAATACTGTGATGTCACCAAGGACGAGAACCTCAATGGACTGGAGTGGAGTATATGCTTTACCAATAAGTTGAACAATCGTGAGTAAATAAATAAAGAAAAGAAATGGATAGGGGATTATATTAGAGGTAAACAAAGTAACTAAATATTAGAGATTAAGTCTGAATTACTAACACAATTTGGGATTAACCAATTCTAAAGAACTTCAATTAAAAAGAACTTTTAACTCATAGTGTTCTTCTTAACTAACCCCTAACCCATGACCCATTTTCTCAAGCATTTAATCCATCTCTTACACGTGTGTATGTCTCACCTGTGTATCCAGGTAGTGCCGTTGTTACCCTCCTGGCCAGCAGCAGTGCAGCCACCGCTCCGCCGCAATCCACCCATTACCATGTCCACAGCACCTCCACCAAAGCCAATGGCAATCATCGCGATCATACCAACACCAATATCATTGGGAGTGCCAGCGGTCATCATCCGCACACTTACACCGAGGATGTGAGTGGCAGTGAGGATAACGAGGATAACTACGAGGACGCTGGAACGGGCTATGGCGGCGAGGAGGATGAATCGGATGGAGGGGATCTGCCCAACTCACGTAGCCACATCCCATCATTATATAGTACGTAGATTTTGTGTGTACAAACTAACCAAGATCAAGTTTTGTATATGAAATAAGATCAGATCCTCATTTCATATCATTTCTTTTCGTTGGTTCATGTTCATTTGTCATGCTTCCAAAGGGCAGAATAGAATGTATGTTAACGCGCATATCTTGACAGTGCTGAACTCCAAGCCGGAAACGACGAGCCAGGATACTGAGAGTGAGTCCAACTGCTGGATGGATCAATCTGTGGCTCTGGAAGAGCAAGGGGTAAGTGTTGGCATCTCCATTTTAAATTATATTCCTTTGTAATTATAATTTCCCCTTATCCCCCAGCATGGTGGCAAGTTATTTGTACCTCAGTGCCTCCCCGATGGTCGCTATCAGCGTGTCCAGTGCTATACCTCCACATCCTACTGCTGGTGCGTCAACGAGGATACGGGCAAGAGCATTCCAGGGACATCGGTGAAGAATAAGCGACCTCAGTGCGAAGAGGATGTGGTGGTGCGTCCCATGAAGGGTTGCACCGAGCCGCGAAAGACACAGTTCCTCCGTGAGCTAAAGGCCTTCCTCAACACATCACTCCTGCCCAGCAGCACCACAGCGTAGGTTTATACTTTAAATATAAGAAATGAATTATATTTTAAATTGTAATTTATATACCAGCGCAAATTCCACCTTGTGGAAATCGGAGGATGAAAGGATTGCCACCTTGAGCTTTGTCTATCTGGACAAGAATAAGAACAAGTCCTGGGAGCGACGAGAGTGGAAAGTCTTTCGCGATCTGGTCACAAGTGCCAGGTAAGAGCTTCCCCTTGAGAGATTATATAGAAGACTGTTCTTTAAGTTTGTACCTTCCATCCTTTAGCAATCTACGCAGATGTGGCAAGAAGATGCCCAGATACTGTGACATCAATGGCGACAAGAAGATCTCGCTGGCCGAGTGGCTCAACTGCCTCCAGGCGTCACCGCGGGAGAGTGCCACCACTGTCAAGCCGGCGGCACAGTCAAGTGAGAGATTCATCCTTCCTTTCCTAGAGATTTCCATGCTAATCCTGATCTCTCAACTTCCAGATGAGACGGCCAGTCCGAAACGCCAGGGATTTAATCCGCTGGAGCGATATCTGAAAGATTAATTAACCGGGAAATCTGCTGTTTACTCACTTACTCATTAGATGTCGTTGTGCCATGTCACACACACCACACACACGCAAACACAACAAAAACTAAGGGTGAATCGATATGCTTTGGACTAGTAAGGATATCAAGGTCCTGGGGCAAGAATTCCTATTCAACTCAAAATTTGTATTTTGTTTGTTTTTTTCAAAAGATCCTCATTAAATTAAATTGTATAATTAGGAACTTGGTAACTTGGTTTCAAAATATAAAAAGAATATCAAATACGGCCAAGTTTAATACAGGTTTCTGTGAAAAGTGCCCTTAGTTTTTCACCAAGCAATCGATTCATCCAACACCCTCACCCAAAAACACAGACACATTCCTAGCATATAGATTCTATGATTTACATGTGTATGTTACTAATTCTTAATTAGTGTTGTAAATATTATCGGACATAAATGTTTAAGCATAGCTTTGGTCAAAAACTCTTACTTCGGCTTGGCGTTAAGTGCCTCCCAGTGGATAAGGCGCAGTGGCAAGGTTAGAATACTCTCCCTGGAATGGGGTTGCAGCAGCAACTTGGCCACCTGGGCAAGGATCAGAATTACCAGTGTGGTCACCTCCATGATGACAAAATGCGATATGGACGAGCCAATGTCCAGCCAAGAGCCCTGATTGCGCACCAAAAACAGGAAGTTCAGGCCCATCACATCACAGATTAGCAGCAAACAGATGTAGATCTGCTCCTCATGCTGACGCACAAACTCACTGTGCGTGTACACCACCGCCATGATGAGGATAACGGGCAGGAGGAGCTTCAGCAGCACCAGACCCATAATCACGAACGGTGCAAAGTGACTGAGGTAGCACCGGGCGATGTTGGGATCAAAGGAACTAATCGAGGCTATGTTCCCTGAACCAAACAGCGAGTAGAAGGTGTACAGGAGCAGGGTGAAGGCTAGCCTCAACACAGACTTCTCCGCCTGACCACTCTGGGCGCGCAGCGAAAGACTCAGTTCCATGGTCAGCAGCTGAACGAACACCGCCTCGTAGGAGGTGCACAAGGTGGCGTACAGGCATCCGAAATTAAAGCCAATCTGTCCCAGGCGCAGCTCCAGCTTTGACTCCTGGTTCACCACAATGGCAGCGAAGGCATAGGCCAGGTACAACCAGCTGGCCATTTTCATAGGCAGCAGAATATTCGTGCCGCTGTCGTGGAGATAAGCACACACTATGGTATTGAGCAGGATCAGGGCATTGCAGTACTTCATGTGATTCTCAAAACTCAACCTTGCCTTGGCACTCCACAGGCAGTTCACGGGGATTACAATAACACCAGCCAGAAGCATAAACCAGTTCTGATAGCCCACCGAAGACGGTAGCAAGGGAAAGCCCGCCAGGATCAGGACCAATGCAAGCCAGCGGTAGAGTTCCCTGGACTTGGGCTGGAAGTTACTCCAACTATTGTAGCACGCAAAGGCCACAAAGCACAGCGAGATCAGGCGGCGATCGAAGAAGGTGAAGACCATCAGCTCCGCGCAAACGATTATCATCAGGTATTGCCACATTGTAGTCTTCAAGGCCGGAGCACTGTACGCCTTTTCGGGCTGAGCGGCGGATGTAAAACTGCTCCAGGGCTGAGCAGCCTTTAGCCAGACAAAGAGGGGCAGCATCAGATAGAATTGAATGTCCAGCGGTGTTCGTTGTAGCAACAGAAACAACATCAACATAACCACAGAGACAACTAGACTCGTCCTCAGCAGATTTGCATTCGCTGCAAGCGCCAGCTCCACTTGGCTTCCCCTGTTCTTCGCAAGCAAGCGATAAAGATAGAATATCCAGCCTAGGAAAGTGGCAGTGGTGCTCATCAAGAGGGCACTCCGATAATATCCGTGATAGTATTCGATGCCCTGGAGAGCGTGTTGCATCATAACTTGGCTCTTGACCTGGTAGAGCACATGTTCCTCTTGCTTGCGCAGCTTCTTGATATTCGTCTTGTACGTTGTAATGGCCAGCGGAGACAGGGATTCGAACGCAGGCAAAAGCCCTGCGAATAATCCCCTATTGTGCTGTCCTTGAAGGGTTTCATATTGCTCCAGGAGTTGCAGAGCATTCAAATATGTAGCTATGGCTTCGTATTCAACGCTGACATTCATGTAACCAATGGGCAGCGTTCCAAAGTTGTTCATTGGCGGCGGCAGGCCAATCAAAGCTGACATAAGCGGCGTTAGCTGGGCCTGTTCCAGTGTGAGCAGCGGCATCTTTGGACCTTGATCGTTGGGCATGAATTTTCTAAGGCCAGGATTAGGCACCTCGCGAGCAACGCCTGCTCCCCATAACATAAAGGGTGTGTTTGTTTCGTGTGCAGTGCCAGCACCATGGGAACCTGTAGATATAAGAGCACGTGTATCAGATAGATTTCTGTGAAGAGCAAGTATAACAAGCACATTACCCGAGTCCGTCATTCCATGATCAGAGGTCAGCAAGTAGGCAGTTCTTTTATCGGGAAACACACGCTCAAATTCCTTGTAAATCTCATGGATGCCACGCTCCGTCTTGTCCAAATTCTTGCGGAATTGTGGCGAACCCGGCTTGTGGACATGCCCCACTGTGTCCAGTCCCAGGAGATGCAGGAAGAAGACCACAGAGCTGGAGTTCTGCAGCTTGTCCCCCTTGCGTTGCAGCAGCCACTGGGCCCGCTTGAACACCCACTCATCCTGTTCGTAGCTCTCGTAGCCCGGCGAGAAGTCCAGATCATTGGTGTAGGATTGGAAATGCAATGTGTTCGAATTAACGAGATGCTCAAAGATGCCGATTATGTCGCTTGCACCCCAGGCATAGATGTGGGAGCTCCGATTAAATAACGTATCAAAGTCGACGGGATTCTTCTTCCAGCCGCGCAGCACCGCCGACGGATCCTCGTAGAGGCCAGCGAGCAGAGCGATGTGCCCGGGACGCGTTTCGGTGGGCATACGGGTGCGGGAAACACCCACGAGGCCCTCCCGCATGAAGATCTCTCGCAGATGCGGCACATACCGGCATTTATCCTCGAAAAACGATTCGGCGCGCAAGCCATCGGTCACAAAGAGCACCAAGCGCTTTGCTGGTGGCTCCAAATTGTAGTCCTGCAGCTGTTTCTGCGGTGTCAGGCCCTTGATCACCGGCGAGCGGAAATATATGACGAAGATTGAGCCCAGGAGCAGTACGTGGACCACTAGGGCGAACACCCACATCGCAGCGAGAAATTTGTTTTTGAAAATCAGCTGAGAGTGAGTAAGCCTGCCAGTGTGACCGTATCACGGCATTTTCAAAAAGCCAACTTGATTGAAACCCATTGATAGCTAGAATTTCTTGAAAAAAAGCTAAAACTAAAAAATTAATAATTTTAAATACGTGAAATAGATTTAAAAAAATAACTGAAGCATTTCAAGAGGACGGAAATGATAAGGAAAGCATTTTAAAATATGTGATTTAAATACCTTTTAATATTACCTTCGATAAATTCACAGCTGTTCTGTTATCGGTTTGTGCGGCGTAACAAAAAAAAAAAAGAAATGTCCGCGGCACGTTTGTACACAGGTTTTCGGTTATTTTCCTCGAATCCCGTTGGCGGCCAGCGCCTGGTCGAGGCCGTAGCGGTGACCAAGAACGGCCGCACCATTGTGGCCTGGCATCCGGAGCAGTCCTTCCCCTACGAGAACACCCAGCCGCTGCCCAAGATTGTCGAGGCACAGAGCTCATCGGTGGTCAAGGAGACGGCGCTGAACTCGGCAATGCGGGCATTCAAGAGCAAACATCCGGAGGTGGCACGCCAGGAGCTCATGAAGCTGACGCACACCACCAAGCACCGATGGTTTCCGCGTGCCCGCGACAACAAGGCGAAGAAGACGCCGATGGACCGGCCGTACCTGTAAACACCAACCATTTACCGCAGCTTCACCATGTGCATTGCATAATGTCCAAAATAAATTCGTTTACGTTTAATCCAAGCGTTGTCGCTTAATGAATACATTCAGCAGATCGGAGATGGGAATGTCGGCGGGTGGCTGAGCGGGCGGAGCACTGACAGCGGTATTATTGCGGTGCTGCGGGAAAGTGGGCATCATGCGGGGATCACAAGCTGTAATGGGAGCAGGAGAATCTATAGAGGTATTATCCAAGGTCCAAGAAAGCGAGCTTACCCTTCGGCGTATCCACAAAGTAATTGCTGTTTAGGCACTCCTCGGCAGTGGCTCTGGTTAGGGGATTGTATATGAACAGGATGTTCAGGAGATTCCTGCCCGACTGTCTGATCGAGTGAAACTTGGTCTTGAGATTATTGTACGGCTGCTGGCTCAGGGTGAAGTTCTGCAGGGCGGGCATGTCGGAGAAACCGGGCCAAATAGACTCGGACGGTGCTCCAAGCAAATCGATAATCATGTTAAGCTGTCCAATCTCCGAGTTCCCGGGGAGCAGAGGTTTCCCCAGCAACAGTTCGCCCAGAATGCAGCCAAATGCCCACATATCCACGGCCGTGGTGTGTGTGCGACAGCCAAGGAGCAGCTCCGGTGCCCGATACCACAAAGTAACCATCTGCGGCGTCATGGGCTTCGGCGGATTGCTAAACATGCGCGCCAGTCCAAAATCAGCTGTGGATTGGATCGTTATTAGCTAAATTAGATCTTTAAGAGCTCGCTAGACTTGCCAACTTTGATGCAGCCCTTGTCGGTCATCAGGAGATTGGACACCTTCAGATCCCGATGGATTACATAGCGATCGTGGAGGTACTTAAGGGCGTTAAGCACCTGAAGCGTTATACACTTGACCTCGGATTCGGTAAAGGGTTGTGACATGTTGTCTAGTACGGAGGCCAGGTCCTGTTCGCAGAAATCCATTACCAGGAAGATGCTGTCCAGGCTCTTGCCTACGACTACTTCGCGCAGACGGACAATGTTCTCATGCTTGCACTGCTTCAGGATCATTATCTCGCGAAGTCCACTCACAGGCAGGCCATCCTTCTCCTGATCCATTCGCACCTTCTTCAGGGCCACTATCTCATTATTGCGGGTGTCGCGTGCTCGATCTGGAGAATATTTCTGTATGAAATTAGAGGTTTTTAGTGCATTTGGAGATCAACTTACACACAATCCCATAGCTGCCTTCACCCACGCGATTGAGTTTCTCGAATTCCGAGACGGGGCGACAGCGTCCATACTGAAATTTAGGCATTTAATCAAAAATTCTGCACGGGACTGGACATAACTCCAAAGCACTTACCACATTCTGCTCGGGAATGGGCATGGGGGTGCCGCTGTTCAGGGACATGAGGAAACCCTTGCGGGTGATGGGCGCCTGGGGATCCGGCGCCGGATTGCTGTCCAAGTCATTTGATTTTAAGCTAGACATGGTTAAAAAACCGGCATTAACAAAATCAAAGAAATATGTTTACAATTGCCCAATTAGGGATGGCACTGAGCTGATAACCGCCAGTCGTTTTGCACAATCGATAACTCGCTAGAACTTTGAGGTAAGGTCATATCTTGGCGCATTTTACATAACTTTTCAAATTTTTGGTTCTCGGAAAGTAATTATTTTTTTTGCCACCTGACAATTACCTAAAAGGAAAATAGGCCCAGGTTTCGTAATAGCCACTAATTTAATAAACAAAAGTGGCTAGAAACGCGAGCACGACTCATGAAAGTGAAATTGCACCAGTTTAAAGAAGAAATTTCAAATGCATGTCTTAGGCATTAAACTCCCATCTACGGCCTCTACGCATGTGTGAAAATCTGCGCGCAAAGCCACAACCACCAAACATTCAATCAATTATCACCCCTGAACTTGGAGCAGATCTCTCGAGATGGTATAAAAGCTGGAGACCCGGCTTGGAGCTGCATCATTCAGTTCTGCAGTGACCAACCAAAGGGATACCACCAGCTATCAGTTTTAAATTAATTACCATCCACAACCATGCACAAGAACACCATTTGGTATGGAGCCGTGCTCTTGGTCCTATACTACACTCTGGTCTTCTGCGAGGAGACGGAGAATGCCGGAGCTCAGCCTGCTGAAGTGGATAACCAAGCGGAGGATACCTGGGAGAATCTTGGACGGGAGCTAATGGAGTTCGAGGGACGCACTCGCCGGCATCGTCATCACATGTTCTGGTGTAAGTAGATCAGTGAAAAGTAAAGAAAACTTTCAAGCTGAGTTCTGTGATAGTGAAAAAGAGATATACAATCGTTTAGATTTAATATAATTTACTAAGCTTCGGAAAATGAAATACTTTCCTAGACATTATGCTTCATTCTTTCGAATTTTCTTTTTGTACTAAAAGTCTTTCCCTTTAATTAAATCTCTTAAGAGGTAAACAAAATAGAATTCAACCTGGAAAATGACTAATTTATCTCTCTCTTCAACTCTTCAAAGTTATCTAATATCTCTATAAAAACATTACTTACACCTTACACCCCAAGATAAGATTAACCAATCCTCAGTTTTTTTTATCAAAACAGCATAATTTACATAACAATTAGCAGGTTGACGGGTTATTGCTATTATTCTGATCACTTTGGGATTACCTACCAAAGCTTGGTCGTGCTCAGCGCCACTTTCTTTGGAAAGTTTTTCCATATGGTTCAAGTTACTAAATTGGCTGATCACGAATCCACTCGCTCAATTAACACTTTTCACTTTCAATCTTTGGGCATAGATATTGTTTAATAAATTGTCGTGGACTTCTGTTTATGAAAATTGTAGAATTTCTAGAGCAGTGAAAGTGTCTGCCCCCTCTGATGCAATGGAAAATTATTTAATCTTTTGAATCCCCTCCTCACAGATCGCCATCTGTGGCCCATTGCGATTGCCTACTGGATCAAGGTGAAAGTGGTGATTGTCTCCTTCTTTGTGGGCAGCGCCATATACTTGGGTCTACGCTACTTCTGGCCACATGCCAAATGCAATCAGGAGATTATCCTGGATCATCCGTGAGTTAAATTGGAGTAGGTTTTGCCTAACTGTTTGCTAATATTTGATATCCTTTAGTCCCTCATCTTACTCCCATCACGATCACATTCCTTACTCCCTGGATCATGATCACTCGGACCATTATGTGTCCGCACCCACTTCCTTTGACTCCAGCTCCAGCTTCGAGCCTTACTCGGGTTACAGCAGCTATGCCGGCTCGGACATTGTCTCCGACATACACAGCGATTACCATGGCGAGTCTCCCTCAGGTCCTGCTGGTCCTAGTGGTCCCTCCGATACGCGTCGTCGTGGCAGGCGTAGCATTGAACAAGATCAGGATGAGCAGGAGGAGGAGCAGCAGCAGCAGGAAGATGAGGATGAAGCTGAAAATGAGCAAGTAGAGATTGTGGATGAGGAGATAACCGAAAGTGTGGCCCGGCAAATGCCCGCTGAAGAGCAGTGAGTAACCCATCTAAACTTACTCCTTTAAATCAATTACAGTTCCTTAATTTTCCTGCAGGATTGCTGACTTTATGTTTGCCTTTTTGGGCCTGGATTCCATTGCCTGTCGCCGTCGCTTTGTCTGCGAAATGGAGTTCCGTTCCAAGCTAAATCCCATGACCAGCATGGCCTTCCGGATTGTGGGTCGTGGCTTCTTTGAGAAGTATACCAATGCCAGGAATCCTCAGTCCAGGGCCGCCAACTTTGGTGAGTGTGCGGACGTGAATCCCGAGTGCATATTTGTGGAGAATGGTGAGGGGGAGACGCAACAGGAGGAACAGCAGGCCGAGGAGCAGGCTCAGCAGGCGGAACAGCAGGCAGCAGCCACCGAGGAGGACTCCCAGAACGAGATCAATCTGCAAGCGGAAAGGCGCCATGCCAAGCACAAGACTCGCAGGCTTAGCTCCATCGCCGAGCACATCCTGATGCAGTAGAGCTGCCTTAACTTGTATTTATTTATGTTTTATTTATTTATTTTAACTATAAGAGTGGAGAACGAACCTAGAAACACAAAAAATAAACTTGCCTCAATCTATTAATTTATGGAAAATGAAAAAAATATTGGTCTTTCTAAATGCAAATTTTGTAAGTTAAAAAAGGGAATAACAAATTCTCACAATGAAAACAATTCCTAAGGACTGAAATACCTTCCGCAAAGTACCTAGAAAATGTGACTAAAATTGTATTAAAGGCGAGACTAAATCAGGTCTATATCTTCTTGGTCTTTTCTTTTTGATGGCATTTATCTGATCGGCCATCTGCTCGATCTCCCGCTGATTAATGGGTTCGTTCTTGCGCACCTGCTGCGCCTTGCTGCTCTTCTGTCGCTGCGCCAGATCGGCGGCCAGGTCGTTCAGCTTGCCCCACACAAAGCTGAGGAAACTGGTGGCCAGATCCTGCTTGAAGAAGGCAATGGCCACCAGAGCTATGAGCACTAGCGCCGAAATGGAGTTCTGATTGAGATCCGCCTCCGCGGCACGGACTTCTGGCTTGAAATCCAGCTGTAAGAAGACAGATCCCCGATCCGCCACAAACGTGGCCGATGGGAGCTTGTAGGTGTAGGTTTTATCCGACAGCGTGGACTGCAGCTCAACCACATAGCTCTTGCCGTCCAGGGGAATGCGCGGGAAGAAGACCGTAATGCCCGGATTGAGCTTGGCCTTCGGATTCACCGGAGTGCCCACGCGTTGCGAGAAAACAGGAGAGTCGGAGTTGCCCTTGCGGTACATCACAATACGCAGGGACTTGTAGTGTTCGTTCAGCGTGGCTGTCACTCGAGCGGTGATATCCACAATCTTCAGAGGGCTAATGGCCACCAGATTGATGTCACGCACATCCTCATTGGCCACCTTCACCGTGTGCTGGGCGGGAATGGATCGCTCCACGTTATCCTTATCGGGTACAACGAGAACGGAGTAGGTGCAGCCGGGCTGGAGGCCACGAATGCGATACTGTCCATTGGCCTCGCTGGTGGCCTCCTCCTGCTGCTGCGGACAGCCGTCGAGAGCAACGGCTTGGACATTCACACCAGCAAAGGGATCGCCGTTGAGGGAGGTCACTGAGCCAAAGATGGAGTAAGCAAAGCGCTTGCCACTAGGGAAATGGAAAATGGGAAATTAAAGACAAGATGCTTGACTCTATAGATGTAATACTTACGTCAAAGTTACAGGCACTGTTTCGCCATCCTTAATCTCAATCATCTTGGAATTTGGCTCAAACTTGTACTCCTTCATCATGGGACGCAGGTAGTATTGCGATGGTGACAGCGAATGGAAGTTAATGGCTCCATTGTCGCCGGTAACAAGGTTCTTGCGATAACTTTCGCCGCCGCTCAATGACAGGAGAACACCGCTGAGCGCTTGACCGGCTTCATCCTTGACCACCACTGTAATTTCGCACAACTTGTGGGCACTAAACGAGGCCGACTGCCGGTTATAGTCGCTGAACACATACGATTCCTTCTCAGCCTTCAGGTCAAAGTTTAAAGTCTCATCAATGGGTCCGAATTTGAACTCTCCAGTGACAGAGGTGAGCGCTTCCAGGCTCTGCAACTCCGGTTGATCCGGGAAGGAGAGGGTTATCTTGGCATCCTTAATTGCTGGCACCACCTTGCCGCGCAATATCAATCCACGGGTGGCCACAAAATTAAACGCAATATCCACACAATCGCTGCTGCCAATGATTTCCTGTTGTTGCGGCGCAAAGAGCAGGACATCGCTCACTGGCGTCACACGCAGCACTTGCTCCGGCTTTAAATAGGTGTCATAACGATAGGCAAACTTTCCATCCACCTTGTGGGACTCAGCCACGGGCGTGATGACTTCCTGGCCAGAGGATTCCGATTCGAGGATCAGTCTTATGGACTCAGCCGTTGGCTCGGTGGACAGGACACGAATGCCAGTCTTGTGGGCCACTGCGTTGATAATCAGTGTTTGCAATTGGTCAGGTTCTGGGGTGATGAACTTGCTAGGCAGCGAGCTATCATAGGTGTGGCAGCCCTCGAGCTTAAAGTCATAGCTGCCGTACTTGTTGACGCAGAAGGTGTTCACTCCAGACTGTATCTTCAGGGTTTCCGTAGAGGCCTTGGGCTCCGAAGGTCCCGTCACGTGGGTGTATCTCATCTGGAGGAGAAACGAGTTATAAATTTAGCTTACTTTTTCTTCTTAACTCAGCTAGAAACCCACCAAAGCGCGATGACTGGAGATGATGGACACCTCGTAACCCTTGTGCACGAATGGTGGAGCATCCTCCTCAGCAGAGGCCACGTTAAGGAAGACACGCGTCGATTCGTAGCAGAGGTTGCCCTGTGGTATGGTCAGTTCATAGGGTCCTGGCAGCATGTCCTTGAAGACATACTTGCCACCTGGGCAAAAGAAGAGAGATAAAGACAAGTGATAAAGAAAATCAAGCTATAAACTAATAAGTAAACAAAGAACCTTAGAGGCCACGTATCTATAACATAAATTTACGATTCTTATCTCAGAAATCCAAGTGAAAAACGTGGTAAATTATAGGAAATCTTCTGTGGATTAGATTTTTTTCGGGAATTCCTCTAATTTCCTTTCAAAGCTCGTAATTTATACTTCCTAATCCTAAATTAATGAATCTCAAACCACTTACGATGTGCCCTGGCCTTCCATTTGCTCTCCGTAGGCTGACCGGTGGCATCCAAGGCCTGCAGCGTGACTTCAGCAGATGTGCAAGTTCCTGTAGCATCCGGCAGACACTGCAATTCTCCACGAATCTTGGCGCGCAGCTGAGAGAAGGTAATACCATTCAGGGGAGCATCTCGCACTTCCGCCTGCAGCTGCACGGGGAAGAACTGCACACCGGCGGCCTTGTCAACATCGGTAGTCAGCACCTCGATGGTGTATTTGCCCACCGGGAGGAAGGCACACCAGTTACCAGTCTCTGCCTTGGTCACAGCCGTCGTATGGAAGGTGGAACCGCTCTTGGTCAGACCCACATTATGGGATTTGGGGGACACCACCTTGCCGCACACTTCATAGGCAGATGGCACAATTGTGGGCAAAGATGCAGTATTAATCTGGGCCTTGACTTGCAGGGGACTGAATTGAAGCTGCGGGGACTCCACTTCGATATTGACGCTTCCAGCCTTTAGGTTTTCCAGTGTGTAACCACCTTGGGCATCAGTTTCGGCCACCTTCTTGCCATTCACCTTGATAACAGCTGACTTCAAGGGAGCTCCACCCGCTGCGGCTAAAACCTGGCCGGAAACCGTGAAGCCTGTGATCTGGAATTCTTCCTTCAACTGGAGAGTATCCTTTCCCACTTCCAGCTCTAAAAAGTCGGGGCTCAAGTGCAGCTTAAGCTTGGCATCTAGATTAATGGCTTGTAATAGGTATTTTCCAGAGGGAACATTCCTGAAATTGTATTCTCCCGATTTGCTGTCCAGCTTAGAGAAGCAGGCGGCAGATGATTCGTACTCGGTCTTGGCACTATTCGCAGGGACTGAGGCGGATGATTTGTCGCACTTTGGCACTAGAGATTGCTGGGGAAAAGAAAAGGAAAACATTAGAAAAGAAATCTTAGGAAAATCTTGATAAATCTCTCAACTTACTCCTTTCTTTTTGTACAGAGCCACGCCCAGATTGCCGGGCAGCTGGGTGCTGGTATCAAAGCGACCAATTACATCGAAACCAGAGACCACAAGGGAGTTGGCCGGCAGCTCCGTATTCCCACTGACCACAACGACAGTGTGCTGCGACTTGGAGAAGTGCCAACGGGCATGAGAGGCTGTGACCACATACTGACCGGGAATGATGGGCGTAAAGGAGAAGACACCACTGCCATCGGTCTTGGTGCGACGGACTTCACCCTGCTCCGAACGCAGCTCAACGTCCACGTCACGAGCACCGCCACCGGTGGCCAAAGCCACCTGGCCGGTGATGCCGAAGCCCTTGAACACAAAGTTAACGTCGCGACCCTGGCTGCACACATCGGTCTTGCCGTCAAAGTTCAGCTCCACCTGCTGGGGCTCGAAGCTCCAGCCGGGCGGCGGCGAAATGCTGAGCAAATAGTCGCCTTTGTCGTAAATGGGCAGAAAGTAGTAGCCGTTGGACGGCGAACAGTCTGTCTTATCCTTCAGCGAGCCCTGCTTCGTCAGCCTATTGGGAAATTAGGTTAAACATATACGATACGGGTTAATTTATTATTCAATTAGCGGCACGATTAACGTGCGACTGTCTTATCAGGTCATCCAATTTTACAACTACTTACAGTTTGATCTCCACCCGCGAAAAGTCGATCTCGGCGTGGCTCTTGATGAAACCACCACAGCCCACCACTTCCACTTCACCGGCGGAGACATTTTGCAGAAGTTTAATTAATAAAATTAGAAAAACGCCGGAAAAAAACCTCATTTTGACAAAGAAAACGACCGCAGTGTGACCAAGTGGCCGCAAAACACAACCGGTATCGATAGTACGAATGATGGAGAAGTCGATTAACCGAAAATAAAACGACCGCTTTACACGACCGGTATCGATAGTACGAATGGTGTACAAATCGATTAATCGATTTCTTTTTATATCGAGGTGTTTAAATTCAAATTACTTAAATGCAATAAAATGAATGTAAATTAATAAACTAACTAGAAAAGATTTAAAAAATAGATAAAGAAATATTTCAATTATCACAGACTATAATTAATCGGTGAAGTTTGATTAGCGTTGACTCAAACCTATTTTAATATTAAATTTAGCATTTGAGTTGTGATTTCATAACGGTCATTATGGTTTAAAATTTGTTTATTATTAAAATATTTGCACAAATTATAATATTTATACAAAATGTAGCTTTTAATTAGTATATATTTGCTATAGATCCCATTTTCAATCCCTACCCGAACCAAAATATTTTCATATTTTCAACAAAAACACAAACATGTTGAACTTTATCTTATAAATATAAACATTGTACGACTTTTTGGTTTTATTCTTGCAATTGAAGCAATGTGATCAACTGATAATGTGGATAACACTATCTGCAGGCAATTGCCATTAGCCGTTCCCCAAAAACACACTGAAAACACTTTATTGAAACAGATAATAGCTTGTCGTATATTAATTATCGGAACGAATTTCCATTACCCCCAAACGAGATAAAGACGAGTGTGAGTGTGCGAATCGATTCCGATTGTGAGTAAACCGATCCGAGGCCGAAGATATATACAGAGAAATTCATTTCAAGCATCGTTGCTGCTATTGCGGCGCTTGTCTAATAAATTTCTTCGATCATCGCGCGATAATCTGGCTGGCAAATAAAGAATTCTCAATATGGAAGACATACTGAGCTCGCATTTCAGAACCTCGTCTGCGATCCCCAAACAAAGCCCCACAGCTGTGCAGCTCCGTCACAAAAAAAAATATGAAGGGAAAATTATTATATATGTATGTATATTGTGTCTGAACAACGTCAATTGCCCCCCTTCTTGGCATTGACTTTGAAAAGTGCGCCTTGAGACGGCCCCAGCTCTTGGGGTGCTCGCTTAAAAAGTTCCAAGTCGAGTCTCATGGCCAAGGGACATACATATATCTTAAAGGGTTCCTTACTAAACATAATACATATATTGTCCTTCAAAAAAAAGTGATTAATTTAAATTGTTTTCCACAATTTTTTAATATCTTTCTGATCTGGAATGTACACTGTATAACGCATGAAGGACTTTCGCTGGGAATCATACAGGAAATCATCCTGGTACCATAATATCCAACAAAGTCGAATTTAACTGAATTTATATAGCAATCTATATGATGGGTTTTAAGTGGAGTGTTCAGGATAGAAGCAGCTCTGATCACTACCTAATAATAATTAAAAAGGATTTTAGTTTCAATTAATAGTATCATTCTATAGCATGATACTATCCAAAGAAAATTGTTATTCATTAGATAGACTGATTGAAAAATCAGATAAAAATAATATTGGCAGGAATAAAAAATACTACAATACATTTACGAATATATTTATTAATAAACAAATCAGATTCTATTAGTTAGTTTAAGTGCCACACCGGAAGCGTGCCACTCTCCGCTCTCCCGCTGATCTTGATCAGTGGTCTACCTGCTGCGGCTACCTGTAGTCGCCGTCGATTCAAAACTAATTAGCCGACCAGCGCCGGCATTTGCATCTTGTACAGATTTACAAATAAATATATTGTATGTATAGGTACGGTAATGGTTATGGGTTAGGGGTTTCTCGGACACACAGACAGAGTGTCGCGACGGTAGCAGCAGAGGGTCGGATCGGATCGGATCGGATCAGCATTAGGTTTATGGCTTCCCTGCCGTAATTAGAACCCGTACGTAGACAGTGCGCCGATAAGCCGACGACGAAGAGCACACACTAAGTAATAATAAATACGATTTTAATGAAATGCTAAGAGTTCATTCGGCTTATCTTGCGCTTATGTCAGCGATTCCCAGTCTTCTTTACAATTCAATTAGTTGCGGTGATCGGGGATCGAATTTGGTGGAACGGAAAGCAGGAGTCGAAAAAAACGCACCCCTAAGACCGGGTGCAGATTTCAAAAAGCAATCAAGCCAACCCCTATTAATAATACCCCATAGGGGGGAGGTTTTAAGCAAGCCAAACAACTGACGGACAAAAGAAATAAAAGAAAACTGCGGACAAACACTGCGCAAAAAGTCAAACACGCTTTCCTACTTACGATCGCCATATGGACATGAGCAATGGCAGTACAGTAGGCATTGCCTAAGGGGAACTTGCACATTGTGATTTTATAAATCTATTTTATTTTTATTTACATTTTTAATAACTTTATAAATTTGCAGAGATGCCACAGAAATTGCTTTGATTTTGAAATCAACACAAACTATTAATAAAAGTATGCTTCATAAGGTAAAACCAAGAAAAGAGTAGAGTATTTTAATATTTATTTTAACATTTATTTTTTCATTCCTAAAAAAAATTTGAATAAACTGTGATTTATCAAAATCAATATTAAATTTGAATTGAAAAATTGTTATCCATAAATTAATATTTTAAATACTCGAAATATCCTGTCATTTCACTTAGTTCTAATTACAAATATTAAATAATAAATAATTAAAAATAGCTTATTATTACCAGCTTTAACATAATATTCAAAAAGGGTAACAAGAAACATAAAATTTCCTTTTAGTTTCATTTCAAATTTTCTTCGAGGTATAAATCAACGAAGGCATAAATATTACGTATACGTAATTCGAAACCTAACATTGTATGTCATGGCGACCCCTTTAGTGTATAAATTATAATTTCTTGTAAATAAATGACCTCTATAGAAGGTATCACTGTGCGGTAGCTACACCACCACCCCCTGCGGGCGACAGCCTGGCCAAAAACAAAAAAAAAAACAATTACACAAAGTAAATGGCGCAGGCGCCCTTAAGTATGCCCCGCATCCTCGCCATGCGCCAAAGGGAGACGGGCTGATGCTGAGAGCAAACTCTCCCGCTCTCGCTCTCACTCATTAGGCCGTTGGCAGGAGAGAGAGCAAGTGCCGTTGGTTGTATGCTCTTCGGCTCGATTTATTTCAAATCGGATCGCCGACGTGAACGGACGTGAAAAGCGAAAAGTGGAAAAGCTAAGAAACCGAAAACAGAGAACAAGCGCGTGCGTGCATGCCAAGCGAAAAGTTAACCGTTGTCGCTTTTAACTACCAAGATCGTATTTCGCCATCGGGCAAAATTACTACAAATAAGTGCAAGTTGGCCTGTGTCTGTTTTTTTGTTATATTTTTTATCGAAGACAAGAACTACTGATAAAACGAGATAATTGTATCTCGCCAAACTTGTTCTCGCCGGAGCCCGAGCAGGCAGCATCAGCCGCAGATAGCAAGTGCTCTTGTGCAAATTGTCGATTGTGGAAGGGAAAAACACACAAAGAAAATCGGTCCGGTCTGTCGTCTATAAAGAATATCATCATCTCAAAGGGCAGCAGCCGCGGCGAGTGGTTTATCTAGATGTTGTCGCGTCTTATCTCGAACAGTCGGTGAGGGTGTTTTCCAGTGAATCTAAAGTACATAACAGAGTACATAGCATATAGTGTGTCTGTGCCAAAGCTCGTTGTCGAGTCAGCGAACAGCTGTCGAGTGCCCTTGAGTGGGCGGCTGCGTGATCATCTGCGGGGTATAGCAAGTCGGATATACATAGCTGCTCCGATCCACCGTGAACAGTGTGTCATTACAGCAATTATGACGGCCGAGACCCTCAAGCCGTTCATAACCCCGACAAGTGCCGGCGATGGCTTTCCGGCCATGTCCACGAGTGCGGCAACTGCCCAGCGACGCACACGCCAGCTGATACCCATTGTCTTGGCGGTCATCGGTCTGGTGTTGGTTACCGGCATTCTCAGTTTAACGGTAAGTTATTTACCAGGTTGCAGGTTGTCTCTACAGAGATCAGCATATCCATTACCAAAACAAATATAAAGTTATATATACAGTTATCTTCAGCAAACAAGCAGAGATTAGACTTGGCAAATAGGTTGCAGATAATGTGGGGTTGGTTACCCAAAAAAATTCACATTAAAAAGAGGTTTTTTTAATGAAATTATTATAGATTATAATAATAAAATACATAGAAATGAATCTGTAACTTATTCTTATACTTTCTTACTACCTTATATGGCGGAAAAAAATCTAATTATTAATTAGTCATTCCGACTGCCTATCAAGAATTCAAACAAAACCAATTACTCAATGAGGTATTATATCTATGATATGTCTTATATACCAAACCAAAGATAAGAAAAATAGTGAAAATAGAAGATTTACAATTGTCGTATCAATAAATTGTGATATTAAAATACTCTTGAAGTTTATAATCGTAGTTAACAGTTAATTAATAATGATTTTTGACGTGTATCAGTGATCTATGGGAATTCGTTGAAATTCCCCAGTTATATCAGTTATTACTGTGTGTTTTCCCCGAATCGCGATATGAATGAATCGCGTTATTGGCCAATGTTGTTAAAGAAATGAAATTTTGTATGATAGCTTTTAGCTAGTTCCAGTAACCATTTCATTAGGAATTCTGAGTATTTCAAGTATGGTGCCCATAAAACTTAATGATATCTTAGTTCCGATTTCCAGAAAGTCTTGACAATCTTTGTTTTTTATTTAAAGATACACACCTCTAACACCCAACGAATATTTAATCTTTTATAACGAAACGAAACAAGATTGTACAGCTAGAAACCCTCGTTGGAGATTCCATTTAAAGATTTAGCCCTGAACCGACTCTATGGACTTTGCAGAGACTCAAATCACAGCCACAACGAATCTTTGGAAATGTTTATTTCAGTAGCAAGAATAAATGGCGAATAAATATAAATGCAAATTGGACTTTAACATACAGATAGAGATAGAGACACCCCCGAAATCGCAATCTAAAAATGTATATTTAACCTCTGGCCACGCTTGTCACCGGAGGATGCCAAGTCTTCTTTTTTTTGCGGATGAGCCAAATTAAAAACGAAATATGTATACCCGAGATGCATAAATTGAAATGAAAACAGATTTTATGATCCGTGACCCCCGACAGAGCTAGAGATACGTTTAACTATAATTTTTGGCATCAAACTATATTTAGATCGTGGGACGTCGCCGTCTTTTGGTTATGGTTTCTGTCTGATCAAGCGATGTCATCACCGACACGTCTTTAGGCCAAATCGGTTTCTAATGATCCCAGCTAATCCATAAAGAGCGGATGCAGATATACATTCTTTACATATACACAAGATACTTTCCGTTTTGTTTTGTTATTGTTGAAAACAATTTAGTTGCCTCTCTCTCTCGATAAATCTTTGGCGACGACTTCTACTTGGTTTGATATCTTTGGGAATTGCTCTAGAAACTCGTCGGGGGATTTGCATTGCTAAAGATATAGGCTCCTAGAGCTACCGAGTCTTGTCTTAAGTGAACGGAAATCGTACAATTGTCAATTGACTTGTAAATTTTTGGTGGTGTTTTTCTTTTTTTTGCTCCCCCGTAATAAATCTCTGTTGAGTTTCTTTATTTAATTTTCCCTATCCTGACGTGCCACCAAGAGTGACCTCCTCGCCTGAACTGGAGAGTGGTGACCCTCATCATGAGGGGCCTCTCTCCGTGAAAGTGACAAACTGCAGGCGCTGCGATCGATCTACAGATTGGCCGATAAGCCCTAATGGAAAGTGGTTTACTTGAATCAGAAACAAGTTTCTTGGGTGCCACACAGTGTACTGTCCATAATTTATACAAGAATTCAGTACAAGTTTTTATTTATATTTCTTTTTCTCTTTCGCGTCTGTGTGGCTTAAGCCCATTCTTTGGGTGTTTCTTATTTTTCGGGTGGCAGTCGAAATATGAGAAGTGCGTATAGTATATAAGGCGCGTTTGCTGGTTGCTCGCCCCGAATGTTAATGATCCATTAAGCAGATTATGTGCCTGAGTGGCAGAGCGGCGATGTCTGTACCGCGTTGTATTTCTTCATCAAGAATCTCTGTCTCTCCACGCCTCTTTCCCTATCTGCTATTTTTTGTTTAAACTTTTTACGGGTGTCAAAAGTTCGCGCCTATCGGTAGTTTTTTTACTTTTATGAAGTGATTATTTTGCACCAACTAAATACGTTTAATTGAGTCTTATTAGATTAATTGCCCCAGTGCTAATGATTAGCCAAGTCTCTCAATTAAATTGTATGTGTGTTTTTATTATTTCTAGATCTGGCAGACAATGCGGGTCTCGCATTTGAACAGGGATCTAAAGAGCCTCAGGCGAGTCGTGGACAGTCTCCAGCAGCGTTTGGGCATCAACTATCTGGAGGAGTTCGATGAGTTCCAGAAAGAGGTGAGTAATCCATACATAAATCGAAAAATAGCATCAATATTTGTACTGTCTGTAACATTTGTCTGTGGCAAATATAAGCATCTCACAAATTGTTTACCAAGTCGGAAATAATATTGCTTTCTTTTTTTGTTTCTTTATGAGGCGAGTGTTTATTTTTACTATAGGTGTGTATTTTGGGGTGGTTCTTAATAAGCAATTCTTTTTCAAATTAGCTTTAAAATGGGTTTAATTCAAATGAATTCATTAGGAGGAATTTATTTGTATTTGAATCTATAAAATGCAAGAGCATTTTTACTTTCCTTTTTTTTGAGAGGAATATATTTTTCGAAAAACTCAACTTTGTATACAAGTTTTGATCAGAAAAATCATCATAACTAAGTCAAAAATGCATTAATTTCAAAACGGTAAGTTTTTCAATGCTAGTTTTTACAAGTCTAAGAAATCTGCATACTGAGTTTTTCAATTTAAAAAATTCTATTTTTTGTCATATTTTTTGTGACAATTTTAACGTATAAAATTTAGAAAAAAATTTTAAAATTTTTTTTTTGTCCGCACATGCCTAGATTAACTCAGCTTTTAATGCTGATCAAGAATATATATGATTTATAGGGTCGGAAATGATTCCTTCACTGCGTTTCAAGCTTTTAACTGAAATTATAATACCCTGACAAGGTATAAAAACAAAGTAACTAAATATATTTTCACTAAATTTTTTAAAAACATAAACTCTCATAAGAAAGATCTTAAAAATGCTTCTTCAAAAATATTATTTAAACTTCGAAGGGAAACAACTTAGTTGCAAAAACATTTATGATTCGTTTTAAAAAAGCACATTCCTAAGAAATTACAAAAAAAAGACCTAGATATTTGTAGACATTGTGTGTGGGACACACACATATTTATAGAAATATGTTGCTAAAATAAAAATATACAAATAAATGCAAAGAATTTTCAACAGTATTTCCTAGTTTTCTGTTTTTTGCTTGGGGAATAGTGATAGATTATTTTAATTATGATATCTATGGCCCCTAGAGAAACACTCAATTAAACTATATATGATATATAATGTATGGATGTGGCGGCGCCAGCCGTCCAAGTAATTTATGAGATACAAATCCCCAAGTGACACAAGGCAAAAGCCACAATAATTTCTAGTATCTCGGAATGGCATATAGGAGAGACGGAAATGTACAAGAGTTTATCGGCCGATATATATCCGTTCAAGGCAAGGCGAACGCCGCTATAACCCAAAAGTGACGATTGATCTGATCTCATCAAAACGGCCTAATGGCCAGAGATCATTTTAAGATTTATTTATATTTTTAATGCCGGGCATCTGTGCACGCAATTCTCCCAAGAGTTTTTCCTACGCCTTGCTTTCATTTATACAAAATATATATTTATATATATGGGGTATATATAGATGGATATAGGGGATAGTATGTGGTGTTATGTTTTGTTTTTTTTCCCGAGGCGCCATCAATTAGTGGCAATGACGAAACAGCTTTTTGCGGCATCCAAAAATATGAGTCTGAAATAAAAAGACGCGGGAGGATTGCACCAGCATTGCTGCAGTCACGTACTTGGCCAAGTGTTCGTTCTGACCCAAAATACTAACTCTCCATAATCATCATCGTCATCATCATGCTCATCATCTCTGTTGCAGTACGAGAATGCCTTCATCGACTATCCTAAAAAGCAGGAAGCCCTCACGGATGCCGACATGAACGACGACGACGATGATGACGATGTCTTGAGTCCCATTGAAGATGAGGATGAAAATGAGGATGGCACCGTCGACGAGGACGACGATGACGAAAACTATTCCTTTATGGAGGAAGATGGCACAGATTACGAGGACTATACCGACATGCTAAACAAGCTAAACTCCAAGCTGACCACCGAGGAGGAGGAGGCTGCCACCACGCCCACTTCGGATCCCACCGAGGAAACAGCGGCAGATGGAGGAGATTCTAGTAGTGCCTCCAATGATGACAATGTCTTTGATGACTTTACCTCCTATAATGATCGCAAAAAGAAGCAGGAGAGGTAATATTCATAAATGATATAATGAGTATATAATATATAATAATATTGTTATTATTATTTCAGGAAATCTCGCTCTATTGCCGAAGTACGTAATGAACAGCAGACTGTCCAGGGAAATCAAACCACACACACTGGGGAGAAGAAATCCGATGAGGCCGTAACCAAGGAGAGGTGAGAATTTCAGTTTAAACATTAACAGAATGTAAATAAAAACAAATAAAACATATGGTCAAAGACCTGGCGGGAATAAACTATAAATAAGCCTAAAATATTTCATTACTTATTAAAATCTATTGTTTTGTTTAATTTCCAGCTCCACCCTTCATCATCGCCGCAAAATGCTTTCCCGTTCGGGTCGCCATCGCATCCTGCCCCGCAAAGGTGTGTAGCCTCAACCACAATTGGCAATAAATGAAGAAAAATCGAAACCAAAAAAAAACCTCTCCATTTGCACCTCTGTTAATTTGCAGGTGAATCTCTTATTTCAGCCAGATCCGGTGACTTGTTCGCCGCCGTTGCCTCCAAGCCGGCGGCCCACTTCCATCTGAGTAGCAGGAAGCCGCACCATTGGCCGCCAAGTGAGTACATCATATATATATATATATATATTTATACATCAGATCTATATTATTAATAACTCAATAATTCTCAGGCTACAATGGTGACATGTACATTGGCAATGCGCCCGAGGAGAGCAAGCGCTCCTGGCAGGGACACTTCAAGGTGGAGGATGGTGTACTTCAAGTGCTCGAACCGGGCCTATATTACGTATACGCCCAGATCTGCTACCATAATTCGCACGATCAGAACGGCTTTATAGTCTTCCAGGGGCACAAGGCCTTCCTGCAGTGCCTGAACACGGTGCCCACGAATATGTCCCAGAAGGTGCACACCTGCCACACCAGTGGCCTGATAAACCTCGATAAGGATGAGACAATTCATTTGAAGGATATCCACACCGATCGCAATGCCATTTTGCGGGAATCGAATAACCGAAGCTACTTTGGCATCTTCAAGGTTTAGAATCTTAAGACAGATGTGAATGCGTTGCCAGTTTAAGCTTTAGTGAATGCGATTCATCTCCAGCGTGTGGATCCATTAGTTTGTAGTGCCCTAGTCTTAGTCACACTCATAATCTAATCTCAATCTAAATCTTAATCAGGCTCACTGCTATGAAGAGGCAGGAATCGCATGAAAATCATATTTATTTTGTATATATATTTCTACGAAAAAAAAGAATCAATAAAAACCTAGTATAACTTAAAGGATTTTATTTGAATGGGAAAGTGAGTTAGGGTTCAAAATGTGAAAGTTAAATGTGATGTATGTATTTAAAATAAAAAGTACGAAAGCAGTTTAAAAGAAAATGTTATCAAAAATCGAATTCTAGGATATTTTTTAATAACTTAAGACCTTTTTCAGTTCCCCGAAAAATATTATAATATTTAGGGAATATATATTCTCAGAAACCTACTCCCTATTTATACAGAAGAAAGCAATTCCCTAGATATATGTTTATTAAATTCCAAAGTGCCTCGTTTTTATTGCTATGACCTGCTTTTTTTCAGGTTTCTATTAAAGAGCCTGCTTATGGCTCTCATTATTTATGTTTTTTAATAATAAATAATATAAATCTTAAAGAGAAATTGCATCTCAGATTTATTTCAGGTGCAATGCCTTCTCTTTTTTACTGCTGTGCCAGATAGCAAACATGTAGCCATGACAACCGCAGGAGCAGGAGATGCCAACGATTCCAGGATGTTCCCATTCTCTTGAGATAGCCCAATCACCTGGCAACCTATAGACCTGAATTTGGGACATTCAGTGGGAGTTGGGGAAAGAGATTGACGCAAATCGATGGCTGCAGCCGCCAGAAATGGAAATAGACAATGACCGAAAGTACAGTCGTCAGTACATAAATAAATCAAACATTTGGATGCACATTTTGAACCTATTTGTGTTTTTTGAGATTAAGGTGGTTTCTTACAGAGTGTTTTTATCATTTTTTGAAAATGAATACAAAATAATATTGCATTTTATATGCTTGTTGAAAATCTAAAGTGATATTACTCATACGCAGTGTGGCGTTTAATTAACAAGCTATTTATACGCCGTTTTATTTTATAGTAAATAATATAAATAAAAAAAAAAGTGTATTCAAGCTTGTTTTATTTAATATATTTAGCAAACTTCGATTAAAAAATATGTTTACATGGCGTATGCGCAATATGTGGTTAGAGTTTATCAATTGAAACTGTTTTTGTGAAAAGTATATGGAATTTTATTGGCTAAACAACATTTTTATCAGTTTATGGATTTAGTTTTAATATAAAATTAAAACCAAATTTGAAAATAATAATTAAAACAAGAGGTTAATTAGAGAGAAATTTAAGAACTTTCAAAGTAAAGATTAGGTCCATTCACTTTCTGTTAGTTAATACAGAAATATGGTTTAGTTTTTATTATTGGGATACAGAAATATCTGAAGTATTCGGAAATATAAACAACTTTAGCTTAAAAATAAAGCTCAATCAAGTAAATTATACAAATTAAATGCCATAAATCTCTATCATTCAAGGTAATGCATTCTAATAAAGGTTTATAAAAGGTTTAAATGGAAATAATTTAGGTTTACAAATTATTTATAAAGGAGTGAATATAAGCTGTTTTACTACCAATTAAAAGGCAATAATCAATTCCTTTCAAGGCAACATCTCATCGGAAACAGATTTTTAATTACGTCCACCCCAGGCAACAACAGTTGGCCAATATGAGGGCGCAAGTAATTGGCGGAATGGCAATTGCAGGCCATATTTGTCGAACCGGGCAGAGAGTAACAGGTGGGCACTAGCACCAGGCTGAGGCTCAGCAGGCCCAGTCTCAGCTCCGGATGGGAGAGGAGCAACAGTTCGTTCCCGGAATCAGTATATGTATAAACGCCAGAACATGTGTACATAATGCCTACCAGCTCCATCAGCCTGGCCATGCGCAGTGTAGCCGGGGGAAGTCGGAAATCAAAGTCGAAGTCGAAGTCGCAGGGGAAATACCAGAGACACAGTAAGCTTTTGCCTATTTACCTGTATAACCTGCTATATTTATCTGCTCTCTGAATGCAACCCACGCCTCGAGGTGCATTTATTTTCATGCGCCAGAGCCAAGCTCAATTGCAGTGCGTTTCGGGCAGTGATGCAGTGAGGTTTGCCTTTGAGAAGCTGCAGGGATTACAGCTTAAAGTGCCTGGAAATGGTGAGTCCTTGAAGGCAGAGTACAGTCTGACAGGTAGTTAAACAAAAAAATCAACAGGTGGCAATTTATAGGATTGTATACCCAGGAGGTTCTTTATAAATAGAGCTTTATCTAGAAGAAACCATAGTAAACCCTAAAATCTGATATTTATCCCCTATAAAACAAAACCTGCAGTTCTTTAGTTTAATATTTACATATATATCGATATAGAGTTAAATAAAAATACAAAATTAATAATTTGATTGACTAAATATTCAAGATATTAATCCAAGTAAAATAAATAAGTATTTACATGAGAAAAAGCCAATGAGAGCCACTACTTTCTCTGGCCCTCTACCCTACCCTCTCTTCTCGCCCAGCTTGGCTGCGATCTCGTCCAGAGTCTTGCCCTTGGTCTCCGGTAATAGGATCAGGACTAAGATAAAGGCTAAAGCAGCAATGACGGAGAAGATGCCAAAGCACACAGTGGGTCCAATGTAATCGTTTAGCAGCGGAAATACCATAGTCACAACGAAGGCGAATAACCAATTGGTGGTACCTGATACCGAACCGGCCAGGGCTTTGACATCCTCGGCAAAGAGCTCACCTATCATTAGCCAGGGTATGGGTCCAAATCCCACCGAGAATCCAATGATGAAACAGCAAACATCTATTAAAGCCAGCCAGCCAATGTTAAACGTGTGAAGGTATCCAAACCCCAGGGACATAAGCAGGAGACTGGTGCCCATCAGAAATGCGGAGAACAGGAGCAGGATCTTACGGCCCAAGCGTTCTACCAGAAGGATCGAGGGCACAATGGCCAGCAGCTGCACCACGCCAATCACAATTGTGGAGAACTTCGGTTCTATATGGGTTTTGGCCATGGCAAACATGGATGTAGAATAGAAGATGACCGCATTTATGCCGGTGAACTGCTGAAAGAACATTAGCATGATCGAAAGCAGCAGTCCCTTGATGGTGCTCTTTCGAGAGAGCATCTTCCCAACACTCTCCTTCTCCGTCTCCTGGACACCGGAAATGTCCTTTATCTCATCACTCCAAGCCGCATTCTTGCCGTGCAGGAACTGAAGGGACTTTTTGGCTCTTTCGATTTTACCCTTTTGCGCCAAAAAGACCGGAGACTCTGGCATCCAAATGAAGAACAGGAAAAATATCACAGGACAGATGGCGCAGGCAATGTTAAAGTAGAAACTGGACACAAAGGCGCCCATTATAAAGGCATACAGTATCCCAAGGACGACCTGCAGTTGGAAGAAGCAACCCATGATGCCGCGTGCAGAGAGCTCTGCAATTTCCGTATTGTACATTGGAGCCGACACGCAATAGGATGCCCCGGAGAAGCCCAACAAGAAGCGTCCCATCACCAGCATGCCCACATGCTGGGCAAAGATGATGAGCAGCCAGCCGATCGTTAACGGTAGCACCATCGACAGCATCGTCACCTTCCGTCCCATCCTGTCTATGAGGATGCCCGTGGGTACACAGGAGCAGGCACCGCCCAGCGTCATTAGGGATCCGATCAGTCCCCATTCCACTATATTCGGCTTAAATTTATAGGCACTGCCATCCTTGATCGATGCCTCCATAGGACCCGACCATCCGATCACAGTGCCCAAGCAAAATGCACCCTGAGTGGCCAGAAGGCCCGCAATGTAAGCAATTATTCGGCCCATCCTTAAAGGGTCTCGATACTATATAGTAACTATTATATAAAAATTTAAAAACACAACTTAAACGTGATAAATAACATTTTAAAACTACTGATTTGATGGTGACAGAAAAGCAACTTGATTGCTTGGATGAAACTTTTAAACTTCGGTTAAAAATTAACCAGCAGTTAATCTGTTAGGAGGTACAAGTTAGTGTTCTTTTTAAGAGGGAATAAATGTGTGCCAGAGTTTCTTTCATCAAATGTAGGGATGTACATATATCGAGAGAATAAATAGCATATAACATATATCTAGAAAAAAATTAATATATATACTGAACATTCAGAAAATAGATAATATACTTAACAAATAAGAAAACTTCGGGAAGCCGAAGTTGATATACCCGTGCAGTTTTTATCTAAAAGAAAATTGGTACCTATAAGAAAGAAAGAAAGAAAACGTGAGTGTCAAAAGTTGCTAAGAATATGTTGAGCAACATGTTGCTTAGGTCAGAACATAAGCAACAACTTATTCGGCATTTATGCTAACACTTTGGGCAAGAGTATATAAATCCAGGTAATAAATATGTATAAAAAATAATATATATAAAGTAAATATAAATATATAAGCAAGCTAAAAAAGATTGGTATAAATCCGGGGAAAAAAATAATATAAATAATGTGAATATGTATATATTAAAACAAGGAAAAAATAATAATATCAATATGGAAAATATATATAAAAATTAAATAAATATAAAAACAAGGTAAATAAGATTGGGGGGAGATATATATATAAAATATAAATCATGTAAATATAAATATAAATATAAAATCAAGGTTAATAAGATTGGGACGAGATGTGCATTTAAATAATATTTAAAAATAAATTAATAAAGGGGTTTCATTAATTTTCACATAAATTCCAATTACGGGATCTACTTCCCGTGAGAAATTTAACGGGATCTACTTCCCGTGAGAAATTTTTCGTTTGTTTACATTTCATTTTCAAGGGCAAATATCAGAGACACAAACCCTAAAGAAGAATCGCAACAAATATAAAGGAGGTGGGGATAAGAAAGGTCAAGAAAATGATCTCCACGCAATATTAATAAATAAAATCAATAGAATATATAGAGAAATGAAAGAGATCGTCACTTACCCCCTTATTTGTTGATGAAAGCTTAAAATTCCAATAGTGCTTTTCTTCTGCTTTGCTGAATTTCTCAATTTCCAAAATTTATTTATTTATTTAAATATTGGTTCAATTTCCAAAATATTTCACACAAACATTCACAAAAAAAAAAATTTAAAAAAATCACAAATAAATACACAGCAAAAAAAATCACCAAAAAAGGAAATGATGTGTATACATCCATATACACATATTCATTTACGTGTTAAATCACCGAAAAAAAAATAAAAAAAATAATTTTTTCTTCACTTTTCACTCACTCTTTTAATCGCTTTCCTTTTCTTCCTTCTTGCTTTCCTTGTGTAGGCATACGCCGCATGCAACGGCTTTACCGATCGATGGAAGGAGAAGCTTTTAAAAGCGACTCGAAAAATAGCGGGACTTAAAGCACTGGCACTTTTGGAAATTTTCCATTCCACTTGCACAAAAAAAACAATAAAAAAAATAACGGCAGTACACATCCCGCGCGTAGATATTTACGGCTTGCACTTTTTCCGAGGTTCAAGGCGAATATCACTTTACACGTTTTCCGCACATTTTAGTTCTTTCATTTGCCTGTCCTTCATTCTCCCGCGCGCGTCACGCGACCGAAAAACTGTAAGTTGGAGTCACTCAGACTTTCTGGCTCAGTTCTCGCTCTTCTTCTTCTTCGCTCGCTGCGCAGTTTGATGGCGATCGCTGGCTTTGTTTATGTTTTTAAGGTTATTACCATTAAGTTTTAGCACTAATTAATCACTTGTGCTACACTAAAGGCCCGCGGAGCTTCTCATTTTGTTTAATTGTTACTGCACTGCATTTATGTACGAATTGTGTACCTCAATTATGCAGCTGCGAACCGCCAATTCCTTTGATCCTAATTGCACAATTAATTTTCGTAGATACACATGGTTTTTGATATCCAATTGGGACATTGGGTTGTTCTTGTTGTTGCACACACTTTTATTTCACAATTGGATCAGTTTTTCACCGGCAAATTGGATTTTTCTTTCCGCAAATTTTCCGTGGCCATCATCAGGTGTTGCCATTTCTTTTCTAATAACATGCTGTTATTTAACATAACGTCTACATAACATTCTCGTTACATACATACATGTTAACAGATACATGGGGTCAAATTCTCTCATTTTGGGGTAGATCTCATGTAGGAAGTAGAACTCCCATGTAGGAAGTCAAATTCCTTGACAGATCTGCTCTCTTCCAGAGAGGAGAGCGTAACTTAACAGCGTGTGAGCGTTACTTAACAGATTTCACTGGCTGTCAGGTGCAAGGCTGTAAAAACTCGATAGTATCGATGCAGCGATGTATCGCTGTTGCTGTTTATCGATATATCGTGCCGTATGGGCAATATTATACAATTATCGAATTTAATGAATATTTCTTAAAGGGATTTATAAATATAATTAAATTATGGAAAAATACCCCATAAAAAATAAATAAAGCCTATATCTTCTATTAATTTAATTTCACCAATACAACATTTAGAAATAAATAAATAAACAACAAGAAAATATATATAAATTAGAATTATTTAACTATTAAGTATTTTTGTACTGTTTTTTATGTTCAGTGTTTAGGGTTTATTTATTTGTACCTATTAAATTAATAACTACTTATGATTTTATTTTGCTTGTGTTAAGACCTCTTTTTTTTTGCGGTGTTGTAACTTCTCCTCGATGGACTTTGTCCAAAGCGAGCTTGACTGCAGCTGAAAGCTCCTCCGGCCGCTGTCCCTCTCTCCTCCCGCTGCCACCGCCCACACGCGAGGCTCTCTCTTACCGAGTCTCCTTCGTGTGCCTCGCGAGTCCTTTCGTCTGCTGTCGGTTCCTGTCGGGCCTCGCGGGTGCTGTATAAAACGCGGAAGCTCGAGAGACTAAGCGTCACTCTGGGCTCCGCTTTGGCTTCGAACTGCAAAAACAGAGAGAGGTGGGTACACAGTGGCTCCTGGCCAACCAAGCGACGAGCGACGGTGGTCCTTTGTGGCGTAGGCGTGACGCCATGTTGTGAAAAGTGTCTGGCAAAATTAAAATCCAACCGAGCAAAAAACAAATAATACAAGTGAAAATTCGCGAACACAAAAACTGCACTCGAACGGCGCGCACTGAAAGTTTGTCCAAAAGCCAAGTGAGTGTTGGGGGAAAATTACGCAAATGCTGCGCCAGGATTTTCTACATTTCCATTGATTTCGCCTCCTGATGTGAGTGTGTTTGTGTGTGTAGGCGTGTGTACGCATACACACATACTATATACGTATGTATATTCAAAGAAGTGTGTCCTGGAGGGGGAAAAAATAATTGCGTATAATTTATTTGCAACTCTCTGTTGTCACTAATTGGACAATGGATGTGATGAATTGTTTGCTGGCCTGTTGACAAATACCTCGGGCACACACACATTTCCCTGTAAAAAGGATACACACACAAGCAGGACACAAACTCCACAGAAACGCTAACTTGGCTAACAAGTTAGCTACAAGTTACTTCTTGCCCCAAGGACTCCAGGCTCTTTGCTTGCCTTTAAATATTTTAAGCCAAAAAGCTCCCCTCTAATTAGATCCAGTTTTTTCCCAAGCCAAACAAAGTGCATTCACTTAGTCGGCCGGCACAAAATGCCGGATTCAATTTGGTCCAATTTGGTTGGTCAAAAACAGAGAAGAGGAGTCCTCTTTTTATGGCACACTGGGCAATGAAGCTATATATATATATATATATATATATATATATATATTCGAGGTAGGATCGTGTGCCTGGGTGTATCCTTGGTATCTGCGACAAATTCAATTAGGACGCTAATTTAAATGTCCCGCTGGCTCTGGCAGTCTGATTTTGTGGGGCAAACTAGGACCTGCTCTACGGAAATTCAATAAATTATTAGCACCAAGAGAGTCGGAGAGTCCTTTTAATGTGGGGTAAAACAGTACGGCAAAGGCACAGGCTATCAATATTAATCATACGCCCTGTAGGACACTTAAAGGAGGATAAAGAGATTACAAACTAATTTAGTTTGTACTCAAGTATTTGGAATATTACTTAAAATAAAATAAAAATCTTATAAATAAAAAATATATAAAGAAGAAAACAATACCTTGACCACCTGTTAGCTCAATAATATAATGTGTAAATGTCAAGAGAAAATCTGAATAAGAGTAGAAGTAATATTAAATCTGTTAAAAAATATTAACCTATATTATATCAATTCACAAGATTGGTTATACCTTCAAAACTTACCTATAAAACCCTAGATATTCCTTACTTTTCACACAATACCCAATTAAAACTATTAACCCTTTTGAATTTCAACCTGAAAAACTGCATCACTCCAAGCAACAGGCAGACAAACCCTTTTCAAACATTATATATATATATAAATGATGCAATTGAAGGAAAATGAAATCTGCTTTGTGCAGCTGCTTTTAATCCAGATTAGAGTCACCAGAAAAAGAGAACGACGAAGACGAGGACAACTGGGGGACTCCACAGACTGCTTTTCCTTAGACAAAAGTCAGCCAAGCAGCAATAATACAATGAAAGGAGCAAAAACAAACCAACAGCTGCAGGCGAGACGCAAATAGGGTCCTTTTACAGGGGCGGCTACAAAAAAAATATTAAAAGCAAGAAAGGAAACTCACTTTTATAAGCCGTAGTGCATATACCCTTGCCCTAACCCATAGGATCATAAGCTCAAATATAAAATGAATTAGAAATAAGCCAAAGATGCAATAATGTTAATTTAGAAAGCATTTCTGTCTAGCACACTATGTTTTTAGACTTTGTTTACCAACAAGAAAGCCTAAAATATGTGTTTTTTAACTATATTAAATTGATATTTTTATATGCTTATTTTTGGGGTAAATCAAAGTTTTTCAAATATCATTACTAAGCCAAAAATGCACCAATTTCAATTTAAATAACTGTTCTGTGCTAGTTTTTATTAGGTTAATAAATCTGCATACTGAGTTTTAGAATTAAAAAATTAAAATTTTTCTTCAAATTTTTACCATTTAATTTATAAAAATTTCCCTTAAAAAAATTGGAAAATTTTTGGAAATTTTATTTTTTCACCGGACATGGCTAGATCGACTCGGCTATCAATGCTGATCAAGAATATATATGGTTTATAGGGTCGGAAATGATTTCTTCACTGTCTTTAATGCTTCTAAATGGAATCATAATACTCTCAAAAGGTAGGTCTGATTCCTCCTATAGCCTCTATATATACAATATAATTGTCATGGTTAAGACTTACCGGAATAGATGACACTCGATTATTCTTACTTAATTCCTTCCAGAGTTATATTCAGGGTGACTTCCATTAGCCTTGGCATGCTATCATCCAAGTAAGCTTCTTCTTGGTCATCCAGTTGCATTCCAATGGCCAGGTGATCATTTTGATCATTTCGAAGGGTTATCACTATCACTTCCATTATCACTGAAGATGTGAACAGGGAGACGGCCACGTACACACTAAGGGCGGCCGGCCGGCAATGCCTGGTATTTATAGTCTCCGAGCAAAGAGAATAACAGAGAGTAAGAGTGGAGAGCGCCGCGGAGAAAGTGAGAGTTCGGGAGAGTAAGAGCTATCTCTATAGATAAGCAGATACGGATCTCTTGAGAGAGGCACACAGAGAGTTGGACATGCATTTTACGATCGTTTTATGACAGCTATATGATATAGTCGTTCGATCTTGATCAAATTAAAACCGAAATTATAAAATAATACAAGTAAACGTTATATCAAATTAAGTACAAATATGTTGAAAATTGGATAACTTATTATATGATTTCTAAACATTTTTCGATTGTTTATATGTCTATATATGATATAGTCGTTTGATCCTGACTTATATGTATACTAAAGAGAACATATAGAAAACTAAGTTAATTCAGATATTCAGCTGTTTGGATGGATGCTAATCAAGAATAAATATAATTTATATAGCTTGAAAAGATTTCTTCACTGCTTTTGCAAACTTCTAACTAAAACTATAATACCCTGCCAGAGTATAAAAACAAAATCTAGAAAAAGCGCAGAGGAACGGCAAAGAAAAGCCAAAGAAAAGCGACGGCTGCCTTGACATTTAATAGCACGGGAGAGAGAGAGCAGAAAAAATATAAAAATGAAAAGCAAACGTTGCCACAGGTACAAGCTAACATAACTGAAAAAAACTATAGGTGAAAAAGGATGAGAAAAAGAGACAGACAGAGCTACGTCTCCTATGATTACCATATATTCCTTTTTCCGAGCCATATATTTCCTCAACCAAGAAATTCGTAGCATACTTAAGAGCGTCGACATAAAACGAAAAGGAAGTACGAGTGGGAGTCAGGACTTGGTTGAGCATTTCAATGGTGAAAGTAGGAGCAGGAGCAGAAGCAGGAGCAGGACCAGTTGGCATCCAAGGCAGCAACTCAACATTCTCATAATTGTCAGCTCTCGGCTTTTGTCAGCGACCAAGAATGCTAAAAGTTTCCTCCCTCCACTAATTTTGTGAAAGATGCTGGGAATTTGCACGCACATTGGAATTTTATTGATTTATATATATATACGGGAGAAGGCTCCTTTATATAGCCAGAATTCCCTTCATTAGTTAGTCGGATGCGATGGCCGGATTATTCAAATACCAAATACCTTTTGTTGGCCCCTGAAATTTTTGGGTTACCTGCTTGCCGGCTGCTGCTCGTTTGCATAATTAATATAGAATTTCACACGCCATCAACTGGCCGCGAAAAGATGACACCTACACACACATACTAGCCCCACCTGTACACCTACACACTCACTCACCGGAAGTTACACACAAACATATATAAGACCTTGCTTTAGAGTGCAAATGTAATTAAAAGTTTTTTTTACGCACCTGCTCGGAAAACGTGTCGGGCATTAAAATCAGGTTTAATGCCTTAACTCGACCGTTTTCTAAGCCAGTTTCTTACCTTTTTTTGCTTAAAAAACGATTTAGAAATGGTTGCAGGCTTTAAAATATATATTAAACAACTTGAAATATGAATAAATCATATAAAGTTGGGTTAGTTATTATAATGAGTGAATTATTTAATACTTAAAATATTTATACGAGATTATATTAACTTATTTAGCTTAAAAATAGTTTTAAGGCATAGGAAAAACAGAGTCTTCAATAGGATTTTGTATATATAATATCTTTTAAATAACCCTTTGTATATCCCCTTTTTCAGTTTCAATTTTGAACCCAATTTTTAGTGAGCAGAAGTGGGAGACAGCTGCTAGCTTACAAAAAAAAATGGCCAGCAGTTATTTGGGATCACAGATCCCCTCCTGGACGATGATGCTGCTCCTTGGAGTGATTATCCAGTGCATCCAGGCGACACCACAACGCACCGCTGCCTATTCCCTTCAGGCGGCTGTGGACGAACTGCATCGACGGGAGGCGGCCAAGTATCCATTGAATGCACCTCCACCGCCATCCCTCGACGACTGGGACGAAGGTGAGTGATTCGTTTTAATGGGAAAATGGCATCCCTTTGGGGTTAAATGGGAATAGGTGAAGCCTTAACCTTGCCAGGATAACCTAATCAAACAATATTCCACGACCCCCTTGAGAAATATGAACTTTGATTAACCTTTTAAGTGAAAGCGATAGGCGAGTCCTTAGTCCTTGTATTTGCTTTGTAGTTTGTCAATATTTTGAGCAGCATGTACTTTTATTTATTTGTTTATTAATTACTATTGCTTTTGTTTAGGGAAATTGAAGTTTTGTAGAAGAGAATTTACTGCAGGAGAAATATTTTATTATATAATAATTGAAATTTACATTTTGCAAACAGTTGAGTAAGTTAGAAGGATTTTAGGGAATTAACTTGAATTAGTAAACCTTTAAACGAAATTTAAGTAAAGCTTGGAAAATGAAATTTCCGGAAAATAGCTCTAAATTAACTATTTAAAGTTCATTTAGCTGAAATCAACAGGTGTCTTTATAAATGAAGTAAAGAATAAATAATAATGTCTGTAATAAGAAAACCTGATAAAACTTTAACGTTTTATTTTATTTATATTAAATGCCTGAATTCTTTCAATTTATTTTGCAGAAAATAATTTCAATTGTTTAATTAACTATTGTTTTGTTGAAGTTTAACCTAAAGTAAACATTATTTTAATCTGAAATAGTTATAGTTAATATAATCCACCCACAAATAGCTAAACCCCCTAGTTAAAACCACAAAGAAATCCCTCATTTTAGACAGGATAACACCTTGTTATCCCTTCAAACCAATAGCGTTTGTGAAATGTATCAATTTAGAAATATATGCTCAATATTATTATTAGATTCATGTGGCTGAGATGTAGATGATGAGGCTGTCAACTGCATGCATAGATTTATATAAAGACCCCGTCGTGTCCGAGTTCGAGCCGGAATCTGTAACTGAAACGGATATCCTTCACGGGCAGAGGCATACAAATAATAATAGCAAAGAAAAAAGAGCAAGCGGATAAGCAAAAGTTGACCCGCATGTAGAGTGCACGTGCCTTTGGAAAACCGAATCCCTCTAAGCACACAGATTTTTCCGGATTTTCACCCCCTCTCCCTCACAAGTCACATTTCTCCGTTTGCTTTTCTCTCTTTTGGACACACCAAACACCCCACACACACCCCACACACACTCCACACACACAGATGGCGATTTATTTGGCAAGAATAGGAATCGGAATCGCCATCGAGTTAACAAGGCACTCGGCAAGTACTTAGAACGCGAGGACGAGGACAACTACGGTCCGGATCACAACCTGGGCCTGGGCATGGGTCTGGGCCTAGGTCTGTCCATGGGACGGGGACTGGGACAGGGCCATGGTGCGGATAGTGCGAATAATAATCTGCTTTTCGCCGATGAGAAGAGAAAGCGCTTCTCTTCTTTTCGGGAACGTGACGAGCAGTTTGGTAAGTAAAGAATCACAAAGCCCCCACAGAGAAGCACCTCCAAGCACTAAGAGCACCCAAAGAGCACTGAAAACACGCACCAAGAAATGGACACCCATAGTGGAGGTCAACTCATTAGCACTGCACCAAATAAAATATTCAAAAATACATTAATTAAGGAAGAAAGTTTCATTAGAAAAGTATTAATACTGATATTCACATAAGTATAGAAAAATAATAAATATCAATAAATTTATTAGAATATTACAGAAAGCCTTTCCAACATTCCCTTGACCTTTAATTACAATTTATTAGCATAGTTCTAGACAACTTTTTAGATGATTAATGTAGCATTATCAATATTCTGACCTATAAGTTTTCCTTTTTTAACAGATTTAAATAGATTAATTTATTTAGTTTTGATATTTCGAAAGGATTTTAAATAGAAATACCTAAAGAAGCTGTATGAATTATATTTTACATGAAAATAGTTACAATAATTATGTAGTTTTAGACCTAAAGTTAACATAAAACTTCTTTTAGATATGAAGGATACCACAGAAATTGTAGATTTAAAATCTTCTCAAAACTTGTATCCTTTTGAGTTTCCGCTTTAAATTCACACTTTTATGCACATAATTAATTTATTTAAATGCCATTTCTGTGGCATCCTTCCATACAATTTATTTCTAACTAGAATGGAAGCTTTCTTGGGAAAGCCGAAGTTGATATACTCTAGTAGTTTGCAAATGAATTATAGGACGGAATCAGAAATCGATCATTAATAAGCTTAAAATATTTGGATTTTTATTTATTTATCTATATTTTTATATGACAATTTTTTGCGACACTTCAAAGTTTTAAAGAGTCATAACTAAGCCTAAAATGCATAAATTTTAATTCGGAAAACTGTTCTGTGCTAGTATTTTAAAGATTAATAAATCTGCATTCTCAGTTAAAAATATAAAAAATTTAAAATGTTTACCAAATATTTGAACTTTGTTTCAAGCTATAAAATTTTGAAAAAAATATCAAACAAATTTTTTATTCCCTGTCACGGCTAGTAGGATTCGCTAGTTGATGCTGATCAAGAATATATATGGTTTATGGGGTCAAAAATTACTTCTTCATAGCATTTCAAGCTTCTGACTGATTTTATAATACCATAATTTAAGTTGTTATTTATCTATATTTTTATATGAAAATTTGATCGATAAATCAAGGTTTAAAAAACTCATAACTAAGCCAAAAATGCAACAAATTCGATTCGGAAAACTGTTCTGTGCTAGTTTTTAATAGGTTAACAAATCCTGATACTTTATTTAAAATTTTTAAAATTTAAATTTTTTTGTCAAATTTTCGGACAATTTTGACAACAAAATTTGGGAAAAAAAAATTCTAAAAATTTTTTTCTCTCTGACATGGCTAGAAAGATTCGCCTGTTGATTCTGATCAAGAATATATATGATTTATGGGGTCGGAAATGACTCCTTTACATTCTTTTAAGCTTCTGAATGAAATTACAGAACTCTGAAAGGGTATAAAAAGGAGAAGAGGTCAAAGAAAAGCTTGATTTAGGATCAAACTAATGGATTTCCCTCCTTTACACCCACCTCAAAAGTGTTGTCCTGTTGAATGCTCATCGTCTAGAATAATTTATGGAGATGCCCCCCCAATAAAAATTCCCAAGTGCTATTATCCTGGCCCAAACTGTGCGTTTTGTGAGCCTCAAAAGCATGTGTCCACTTGAGGCGACCGAATAGTGAGAGAATTGAGTGGATAAGGCCAACACAATGGCCTGGCTAAAACCACTTAGCTCCGATTAACTTGTGAGTGGGCGAGTAGGGATGCCAGGATGCCCGATGCCCGATGCCCGGGATGATGAATGCAATCAGCTGGAATCGGGCCCTATCCAAGTCGACAGATCCTGTCCGCTGGCCGCCTGTCTTCCTGTCATTTGATTTAATGGCCGGGCCAACAACTTGATGCATGTCCCTCCTCACACACACACACACACTTGGAGGGGATTTATAGCCTTCTCTTGGCTGCTCCTCAAGGTCAAAGTTAAGTCATCGGGCAGTCCATCAATGAGGGGAAATGTTCTGCCAATAATAATTGAGTTTTAATTAATTTATTATAATGTAGGGGGGAGAGAGTAGGATCTATTAGTCAAGGATATTGATTTCTTAGAGAAGGAGATGAAAAAGTTATTGATTTGAAAACCTTTAAGAGAAAGTTAAGTTATAAAATACTTTCTAAAAACAATTTTAAATACATTTTAAGATGATAATTATATTTATTTTAAAACCCACTTAAACATTTTCCTACTAACCCCACAAATTATCTTAATTCCATTACCTTAATTACCCTTTTCGAGCTCCAAAACCTAATCCTTTCCCCTCCAAATCTTTTCCAGATGGACCCGTGCCATCGGTTTTCCGTGAGCGTGAGAATCAGCCCTTGAATGCCGAACCCGCACACAATGAGCTGACAGAGCAGTTTCTCCGCGAAATCGAGGAGGCCAGGGAACGGGATGCAGTGCGTCAGTGGTGGCGTCATCTGGACCAGGCCAAGAACCGCGAGCAGGACCTGGAGCCAGAGTCCTTGCCACAGGATCCCGAGCTCTTCGAGCAAAAGAAGCGGATGCGAGTGCCTCCCTACTACCTGTTGATGCAAAAGAAACGCTCCTATCCGGTTCTCCCCTGGCTGCCCTACAACGGTGACAAGCGGAAGCCCTTCCCTGTGGCCAAGCGAAGCACCTCCAGCTCCAATCCAGAGTCTCCGCTGGGCAGGACCGATGAGCGAGTGGCCCAGGAGCTGAGCGAACTATTCGGCAAACCCAGCGAATCGCAGTCACATCCCGAGGAGAAGCGCAAGCGTTCGGCGGATGAGCATGTGTCCAAGGCCACCACCACACATACCCCAGAATCCCCGCCAGCCACGGCCACTGCTCTGGGTGATATGCGTCTGGAGATTAACTTTCAGCGTGTGAATGTGACCAGTGTTACGCCCACATCAGCTCCTTCCACCGGTGCCGGTGAGATGGTCCAGCATGGCGGTCATGCCGGACACCATGGCGGTCATGTGCCTGGCATGTTGCCGGAATATCGCCACCGGAAACGCAGTGAGCACAATCATGGCGATAATGCCGAGGAACCAGAAACCGATGAGCATGACGAGGAGGGTGAGGAGAGCTCCGATGAGGATGATCACGATGAGTTCGATGAGGAGGAAGGCGATGGTGACCTCGAGGCCGAGGAAGCTGAGGAGCGGCGGCGAAAGAAGAAACGTGCTGCAGCAGGAATCGGGGAGCACTCCAAGCACTTGCATGCCCCCACTGTGGGCCATTTGATGCTCCGGGCCAAGAAATCCATCGATTGGTCACAATACTTTGGGCTGGATCGCAAGAAGAAGTCCCAGGCTCAGGGAAATGAGTGAGTTTTTCAAAGATTTCTCCTGAAATTAAATCATATCATCCTCTAATCTTTCCTTATCCCTTCAGACAACTAAAGAAACGCAGTGAAGCGGACACCAGCCACGACGAGGATGAGGACGATGATGATGATACCGAGGATATACCCGAGTCGGAGAAGAAAAAACGCAATAATCTCGATGCCGAGAAGCTGGAGAGTATGGACAAGAAGCTGCAGTCCATCGAAGACTTCATCATTGACGAGACCATCAAGTATACAGGAGCCCATGAGGGTCTCAATAGCCGGGATGATATTCGTCGTATCAAGGATCATGTCCTCTCCCGCCTGGCCACCGCTTACAGTCTGGAAAAGATGCGTCGTGCTCTGGACAAGCTCCGGCGATCCGTGGACACTGATAATCATCTATTGCGGAATGCCATCGAACCGGAATCGGAGGAGAACTCACTGACCTCCAATTATTGGCAGGCCAAGAAGTCGGTGAAGAAGGACCAGGCTGATGAGGAGGACACAGACCAAGAGGAGGCAGTAAGGCATCCCAAGGATATGGAGAAAAAGAAGCGCAGTGGCGGCTATCTACGATATCCGGAGCAGCCAAATACCATGGAGGAGACCCTCAGTCTGGGCAGTGCTCCCTATGAGACCCTTAACGATGCCTATTTGGGCAACAAGAACTACATCATTGGCTCCAATCAGTGTCCCATCATCGAGTCCATGGCAGAGCGCTGCCGAGGAGTTGATCTAATCTCCGGGGACATTAACCAAGAGCTATTGCCCCTTTGTGGTGTCCATCAAATTTGTTATCTCTGTGTAAGTGATAGGTTTTAATAGCTTTTAAATTATTTAATTATTATAAATGATTAATTTTCCAGGGCGCCTCGCAAGTGGCCTGCGATTACCAGTATCTGGCGGAGGCGGATGGCATCTGTGGCGACAGCAACGAGTGCCAGTCGGCGGCCAGATCCATCCTGATGATCCTGCGGGGATCCCCCGGCCGGCAGCTGGGTCCCAGGGAGTGCTTGAAGAATCCCTGCCTGTACAGGGCGATGCGTGAGATTGGGCTTTAAGCGGCTTTTCCATGCAGACTGCCGCCCAGCGTTTTCCTAACGTCTTTTTGTGTGCGTTTAAAAAGAAAAACCAAAATCGAAACTTTAAAGAGAACAAAACGAAACTAATGCCAGAGAGAGAAGATATAAAAATGAGCCCAAAACAAAAATGATATATACATATATATAAAAAAAGGATGAAACCGAAAAGCTGAACTTAGCAAAGATCAAATATTTGATTCAAAACTAAAATATTTTGATGGATTTTCCTGTCTGCCTGTCACCTTTCCGGCGAGGGGCAGCAGCAGCCAACTAGAGTTTACCAGATACCTAAAGAGATCATTTATATATATATATATATTATTATATATATGTATACAATTACAATAACGATTCAGTTTAACGCAGTGGATGCCGTTCAGAGCGGCCCGATAATTAGTCTTTATTTTCAAATATTCCATGTGAAACAGAATTTTTCGAAACATATTTGCAAGTTATATATGCATGTTTAAATGTACAAAACGTGATCATAACCGAAAGATATAAATGTATATGTATGTGCGTGTAATTAATCCACAAGAAACCGCTTCTTAAGTAACACTCTTAATTCGCTTGACATTCTGGAAGGAAATGTAAAGCCCAGCTCACATTGGCAGCTAGTCCCCAAAGATCAAACTTGCGAGCAGCTTCGTTTTGGTTTGACTTGGATGTGCAGAGAACATACATACCACATAATATACTATATATATATATATCGATTTTAGCATACAATACACTGGGGAATGATGAATAATAAGCTAGAGCTAAAAGGGGAATCCTATCCAACTCGAACTATCAGGAAACTCTCTCTTTTTCTTTGCCCCGTGAATGTGTTTCAAAGTGCATACAATAAACAAATGGCATGACTAAGACAAATATTTAATGCTCTTAAAACAAATCTATAGATGTGATTATATAATATATACACGCGACGGGAGTTTAATATATGTGTAAATCTTTTAGTAATGGCAAACAAAAACAACAACCAGTCTCAGCAACATCCGAGACCTTTCGGTTGCTAAATCAAAATATTATTAATGTGTATTTACATATAAACGAATAAATATATATATATATTTGAACTTGATGTATATGCTACAGTTTGCGAAAACAAAAATGAAAACCAAAACCAAAAGAACATTTGAAAATATTTATTACTATACAGTTATCATAAATGTCGAATATAAATGTGGGATTGGTCCCTAAACAGTGATTGTTTTTTAACTTTGGGAGTTTTCGGGGGAAATTTCCAGAAAGTTGAAATATTAAATTTATTTATTAAAAAATTCCGTATTGGATCATTATAATCAGTTAATAGCTTCACCACCAACGTCACCGAGTCCCGAAATTCAAAAAGTCGTTAAGCACATCCTGAAAAGTTTATCTAGCCTCTAAAACAGATCACTTACCCAATTTTACGCCGCCATAAAGTCCTTGCCAATTGTCGACTTAAATTTGAGTTTAACGGAAAATTCCACCAAACTGTAGGTGAGTCGTTATGCCCGACAGCGGTTAGAGTCCTTACTAACAGGTTTCTGTCACCACTAGAAGCAAAATAAACAAATTGCCTAAAAAAAGCCACTTAATAGCCATAATGCGTTTTCAGCTCATACTCTCTGGTCACACTCGCGCAGCAACAAAACACAAATCTGGCGTAATTAATCTTTTTTATAAATAAACCCACAAACTTGGCATAAAAACCCTCAAGTGTATAATTAAACAAGAGCAGTAAGAGAGAAGTTAAGTCGCAGTTATTGCGTAAACAAGTGCCGCCGACTTCCGTCACATTTACGGATCACGTACCGAATAACACCACCCTTCCTCTGCTTCTGGTAAGTATATATATGTACGTGTGTATGTATATATTTATATATGGCGAGATAATTCGCATGACTCATCGGACGTGAAACGAGTTTATCAGAGTGTGTTGTTTGCCTTTCCTCTCTTTTTTTCGCTGTAAATCACAGACTGACGTAATTACTTGGGCGCAAAAGCATGAAAACCCCCGTATCCGCTGCTGCTGCTGCTGCTAGCAGTTCGGTTCCAAACACCGTCCAGATCATACCTAAAACGGAACCCGTCGGTGAAGAAGGTGTTGTCGCCGCCCCAATGTCACTGGACTTCCCAACGCCCGGACTAGCCACCTCCACGCCCAACAAACGTCCCGGCTTCCTTGACCTGAATGCAAAGGGTGCCAAGAATAAACGGATTATAGCTCCGCTGGTCATCAACTCACCGGATCTGCAGGCCAAGACCCTGAATACGCCCGATCTGGAGATCATACTGGCCAACAACCTGATTCAGACCCCGCAACCGGGCAAGGTCTTCCCCACCAAAGTGGGTCCCGTCACCGTCGAGCAGGAGGCCTTCGGCAAGGGCTTCGAGGAGGCGCTGCAGAATTTGCACACCAACTCGCAGGCCTTTCCAGCCGGAAGCCAAGCTGCCGCTGCGGCTGCTGCTGCCGCCGCCGCCGTTGCTGCCGTGGGGTCCACAGCCACTGCCGTGAACAACGGCATTAGCGGCGGAACCTTCACCTACGCCAACGAGGCCAACGGTTCGTTCATCATCAAGGACGAGCCACAGAATCCGGTTGGTTCACCCACCGTTAGCCCCATCGACATGGAGACGCAGGAGAAGATCAAGCTGGAGCGGAAGAGGCAGCGGAATCGTGTGGCCGCCTCCAAGTGCCGCAAGCGCAAGCTGGAGCGCATCTCGAAGCTGGAAGACCGCGTCAAGATCCTCAAAGGCGAGAACATTGATCTGGCGGGGATTGTGAAGAACCTCAAGGATCATGTGGCTCAGCTGAAGCAGCAGGTGATGGAGCACATTGCCGCCGGATGCACAGTGCCCTCGAATCCCACGGGCGCTCTGCTTACAGACAAATAACATTTGGACATAGCCGCCGCGGAGCCGTTGGAGTTGTCAGCTGAAGAGGAACTAGACGACGATGACGACGGCGGCGAAGAGGAGGAGGAGGAGGAGCTGCAGCAGGAAGATGTGGCGGCGGCACTGGACAATGAAACTTCATCGAATTGTCAACTATTAGAGCAGTCCATGCCGCTGGAGCTCTTCCTCAGTGCCGCCACAACAAGTGCCTTGGAGCTGGAGGCCTCTGGCGACTCGCCGGAACTCTCCTTGAATGGCAGCGATTTGCTGGAGGAAGAGGATAACGAAAACGATCAGCCACTGGTGCTCTACATCCTCTCTGACGACGGAACCTGATAGGAATGTGCCTTCTTCCTTGACTTCGTACAACGGCTTCTGGTTTTTGGCCTTTAGTTGCAATATATCCGGAATGCTTCTCAAGTGTTTTGCTTACTTAGTTACCTAGATTAAGCTATGATTAATCGAGTATTATCTGTGTTGAACGTAAGATAATATATATATATAGTTTATATATGATAAAAAATATACGTTGTATATATATATTTGCATTACTTTATATATACATACAAAATTAATTCTAAACCTAAAACTAATTTACTCATCATCCTCCTCTTCATCATCGTCATCATCCATAGCTTCAGTGGCTTCTTCTTCCATGGCGCTATCGGCCTGCTCCTCATCATTTACATCATCCTCGACGTGGAGGTGGAATCCTTCGCTCTTGGTCCACGAACACTTCATTGTGAGCCTGAACTTGGCCATGGGTTTGCCCAGCAGCTTCAGGATTCTCGCCTGTTCCGGTGTCAGCACTTTGCCCTCCTCGCAGACGGTATAATCACTGTAGATGGTCACAATGCCCTTCTCCAGCTTGGTGGGCAGACCCAATGAACGCAGATGCGGTTCCATGGAATGGGCAAACTCCTCAAGAGGTCCAGCTGGCAGGGTAACAGTCTCCGTGGCCACAAACCCACTGCGTGCGTACTCCACAGCCCAATAGTTTTCGGCCCACTCCAGAACTTCCTTCTTGGACTTGTCGGTGAAGAGCAGACCCACCTGGCCCGTGAGGCGCTTGGAGAGCTGGAAAAATAAGCAAGTATGAGAGATGCCTTTAAACAATTGACGGAGCACCTTACCTTGTGCAAATCCGGCTCAACTTCCTCGCTCTTGGTGCGTCCCAAACCGATTTGCATTACGCGATTTTTGCCAAATATAAACCTGGAATTCTGTTTCCACTCCTGTCGCAGATCCTTTAGCAAGCTGTTTCTCATATTCTGAACCTGGAACACGAATATATTTGGGTATTTTTCCACACAAAAGCGAATGTCGTCCACAATTCGCTGTTTCCATGCCAGACCCTTGCGGTCGGTTTTGGTCAGGGAAACTAACGGAAAATAAATAAATTACTTTAGATAGCTGAAAAGAGTTGAGGAATACTAAAGCTCTTACTTTTCTTATCACGTTTGGAGCGCGGCATGTCTATTTATGTTTTATTCGACGATTTTTAAAGTTATAAACCAAGAAAATAATTCCCACACAACAATTCAACACGTGCGGTTTGCTAGAGATGATAAAGATTTATCGATTACTACCATTGTGATTTTGGTAATGTTTTTAAACTACAAAAATATTAATTAGTTAACTAAACTTTTATTTCAAAACACTTTGCGTGGAATAAACACGAATATTAAAAATATTAAAGACAACAGAAAACCAATTAAATTATATGTTAAAACTAACAAATAATTTCAAATTTCACAATTATTACGTTCTGATTAAGTAAAGTTCCCCACCGAAAGAATACGTTATCGTAAATTCTGCCTTGGACTGGTATGACCAGCTGCCGCGGCGGGAAAATACCACTCAGAAGAGAACAATTTCGGAAGCTTGGATTTTACTTTAGTTGTCGAGGGTCACACTGTCCGTAAGAAGGTGAATTAACTAATTATTAAGTTTGTTGCTCCGTTTTTGTAAACTAATTAAAATAAGAGTGTTAAGTGCTGCAGGAGCATATCGGTCTTCGTATTCCGCCCTTAGAGTTCCAGGCGCAGTGAGTAATTTCACCTTGCGCCGCCATATTGTCGGCGAAACCCGAAATTTTCCCACAAATAACTGCGCCCACACACACATTTATTGATTCCGAGCGGCCGCTAATTGGATGGCCGCCGCCCTGAGGCGTTCAATATGTGTTGCGTGCGGTATTCGCATTGCGAAAATATAACTGCAAACGGAAAAGCCGTTTTTCATTACCACTGGCAAATAGGACGCCGATGACGTAATTTTTCTCCGTCTTGAGCAGTAGTAAAAAGTAGAGATGTGCGCGTGCGAAAAGCTTCACGCACGCCGCAAGCACGAGTCACGAAAGTAAATTCTTTTACTTCAGGCATACGAGATATGAAATTTTAATTTGGAAAAAATAACACAAAAATTTCAAATAATATGAAAGAAAGATTTTAAATCTTGTACAATTTTATTCAATTGGCCTAAAAAGGCCAAAATATCACCATTTTATGTCTTTGTTAAAATATAGTAATTAAAAAACTATAAATACTTAAATATAAATACTTTAAAACATTAATATACAAGTTGTGACTAAAAACAATTCCTGTAAATATGGCATTACTTAAATTGTTGCATTCTCACGACACACGCTCATCTCTGGTAGAAAGCATAAGTGGCGCTGATATCTCGCTTTTTATATGTGTGCGCGCCCGAATTCAATGAAATCCAAATTAGAATTAAGGCAATTTACCGCCGCCCCCCTTATCAATGGCATACATCTCCCGATTAGTTTCCTCCTTGCGGAGTAAAGTCAAGATAAACGCGTAATCTGGGTGCTGAGATAAGCGCCCGTTAGTTTCAACAGGTTGGAAAAACTAACTATGGCAACTTGACGAATATTACTTAACTACAATTTGAAGGGTAAATGCGCAGAAACAAGAAACAATGAAAGCTTTAGCGTTTGCATACGGTCAATCCAGAGAGTTGCTAATGAGTTTGTTTTGTGGTGGTGGCTCGCTCGTAAATAAAAGTTTAGGTTTTTAAATTTTACCTGCACACGCAGCACACCTGGCAACTTTACTGCCGCCGGCAGGTTGGCAACCCTGAAAAAGTCGCGTTCGCTCTCTCGCGCTCTCCTTGCGGCGGCGCATGTTTGAGCGTGTGTGTGAGTGCGCGAGGCAAAGATACAGATACTTTCCGTCCGTCATTCTCATTCGTTCGTTGGTAGTGTTCGTTCGTTGTCGTTTCAGTTTCAGTTAATCGAGAATGTAAGTAACAGAATTTTGCTGCTGGCCAGATTGTATCTATGCATCTGTGTGTGTGTGTGTGTGTGGTACGTGCGTTTGTCAGTGTTGGAATTATAAAACGGAAAATTGCTAAAAATCAAAGGAAAAAACACGTGTGAAGCCGCCCCAATGAGTAATCCCCATTACATGCATCTATACTCGGTTCACAGGGGAAAATCGATCCCAAAACCCCGAAAAAAAGTTCTACGCAAAAAGTCAAAAGTGTGAATTTGTGCAAAAAAAAAAAGGAGAATAGAATGGACAGAAAGAAAGAATAAAAGAACGTTCCCGATTTGACCGAGTATTGGTGCATGTAGTATGTAGGTGATGCGGTGAGATTCGCTTGTAGCTTCGTATTTCCCGTCATCTTCATCAGCTCATCATCGGTTAAGTTGTAGGCGGCAGCCGACTTCTATATATACGTATATATAGCCAGCTCTATATGTGTCTGAATATCTACACACAGTACGCAGTATATTCGTATATATATACTTATATATATATATATAGTTGGACACGCGGTTAGGTGTGTTTCTCACCAGAAACTCACCACACTTGGCGGCCGCCTGTGGTAGATACATTTCCTCTCTCAGCCAGCGGCGTTCTTATGCGAATGTATTTGTGGGAGAGCGGCGCGGCTTTCCCCCTTGCTCTCTTTCTCCTCTTTGCTCCACGATTATTTTTATAATTCTGTAGCGCCGCACTTGGAAACACGATTTGCCGCTGCTGCTGCTGTTGCCCCACCATCACCACCCAGAACGCAATACGCACCCATACTCACGCACACACATACACACACACACTCTCTTGACTAATAAAAGTTAGTAACTTTTGTCGCCCCGTGTAGAGAAGGTGGTGTACACATGTAGAGGAATTTCTACATCATCGGCTTTTTTCAGCTACTGCGCATGCTGTGGCCAATTCACCGTTGGTTGGCCGGCACACACACACACTGCCACACACACACACACTTGCGCAGCGATAAAATTTAAAGTTCCGTCATCGTAAAAATTTTGCCCATGGGTTTCATAGAGATTACACTACTTACTAGCAGCCGCAGCAGCTCTCTCTAAAATGTATCACAACCTGTGCCCACCTGTGTTGTTGTCGTTGCCCTTTTTCCATTTATTTATCCACTCAAGCAGATGAGCAATGTTGTTTGGGCTTTCTGCGTGGTCGGAACGAGTTTTTTTTTGTGGCAAATTAGAAAAAACTACAAACATTTTTTGCCCATTTTGGGGTGTGTTTTGTTAATTTACGTTACGCCTGGCTTGATGTTTTGGCATTTCCCATAATAACAAAATAAAAAAAAAAAAAAAACATGTCAATTGACCTACAAACGCGTTGGCAGTATGCCGCGCCCACCTACCTTGCTCCCCGCCTCCTGCGATCCACCCCTTTGCCAAGCCCCGCCCCTGCCGCCTTTATTTAAACAAAGGGTCAATGCTTTCTATTTTGGCGGTCGATCGGTTTACAAATATAACAAATAATAGGTTCTTTTATCACAAGACATTCCCAAAAACTGGCTTTTAAGCTTAGAATCCCTTTTTTTTATTTGGGAATTGTTAGTCTAATTTATTTATATTTCTCTGTGAACTTTTCTTGACCTAAACTTGAAACAATATCATTTTTAAGGTCTTAATTATTTTCTATCTCATGTGTAAAACTTTAACTTAATATTTCCAGCTTAAATAAGATTGAATTCGTATTTAAAAGTCTCTTTCCTTAAATTAAATTAAGAAATCAGTTTTAACCGATATATAATTCTTACTTTCTTAATATCTGATTATGCTTGATCTCTCTCATTAACTTTAGACTTGACAGAAATAACTAATTACCACATTAAAACATAACTAAGTGGTGTAAAATAGTAGTCTTCAATTTACTGACTTTTTAAATCCATAACTTGTGTTTTTCAATTGTAAATATTAAAGTCTTGTTCTATACATTTTAATATGTTTTAAAAACTCGTTTTTCAATGTAAAAAATATTGTAATTATAACAATATCTTCATAAATACTACATTTTAAAATTGATTTATAAAGAGTTGTGTGAAAAAATATTAAATAGTATGGGTTATGGTCTTTTCAAGTTATAGTTGCTCGCAGGAGCTTTAAGAATGTCAGAAATTATATTTCTCCAGTTAGAAAAATATGTTTTTCTTGCTCTTTGAATGACACAATTCTTGTGGCATTTAGCCAAGCTACACTGTAAATCCAATTGAACGCGGTATTTGTGGTTGTGGGTTTTTGGGTGGATGTGGATGTGGATGGTACGCGGTGGTGGCTTGTTTCATGACGCGTTGTGTGGCGACGGCGGCAACAGATTTGTTTTTTTCCATTTCAATCATCGCTCGGTGCACTGGCATTTCGAGGTTTCAGCGGGTCGGTTCGGTGGGCTGGCAAACAAAATGTTTCTTGTCCAGCGGAGACCGCCGCAAGTAGTCTAAAAATACCAACAGCACCAGCGCCCACATGCATTTCCACATACACATACACACACACACATACACTCACGTCTGCCGCTTTTCCCCATTTCCATTCTTTCCTCCTCTCCCCTGCAAAAAATTTCCCTTTCAAGCTCGTTCCAGGTCGGGCGGAAATTAATCGATTTTCCTTCACTTTCCTCTAAAAACAAACAAGAAGAAGAAGAGGAAAAAAGGAAACAGGAAATTGATCCTACATTTGGAAGTTTGGATAGATCCTATCAACCAAAGAGACTCTAATTGGATTACGTGGGAGGTGTAATTTAGGAGGTGGGAGGGATAATTTAACGACTGTCGCTGGTAATAATTACTGCAAGTTTAATCGATAGAGAAGTTCACCGAGTGGGCAAAATAATTTAGTGCGTCACTGTACGGGGGGGACGTACATAAATATATTTATCTATCTTTAACACACACACACACACACTCTCCTCAGACATCTGACTTTTGCTCCATTTCTCCCTCTCTCGGTCTCTATCTCTCTATTTTCTTCACACTCTCTTATTCATGATTTATTTTTAACACAGTTTGTCGAACAACATGTATTTATCGGATCTATCTGTTAGATACTCTCAACGTTCGTTCATCGGCATCCGATAAGCCATAAACTTGGCTTTAAATGTTGCATAGTTTATTTAGTTAGTTTGACTTTCGCACGTGCGGCCATGTCCACTGTGCCTGGGTTATTTTTTGCATTTTAAATTTAAATTCCGTCAGCGATTAGTCAATAAAGACTTGCTGCTGCGGAGTAGTGACTCATCGGAGCTTTAAATTCAACACTTTCGTCCAGCGGCGGAAGCATGACAACGAACTAAATTTGTACGACAAGTCATACCCAGGAATATTTAAAGCAAATGCACAGGGGGGTATATTGGTATTGACGGGAGTTTTGGTTTTGAGCAAAAGTTATTTGCAAATGCAATTACTTCTCTGTGAAAGAACCTTAACTCATGTTTTAAATGTACATTTTTGTTCAAAAAAGTATTTAAAAACTAGTAAATTTAGGAAGACATACTATTTTTATAGCCCAAAGTTGATAAGTTTTAAATTTCACATCAATTTATAGTAAATTTAATATTTTAAATAATGTAAATGAGATTATTATCACCTGGAAACACTTTGTGAATAAATTAAACTTGGATACTCTTTTATTTTACCTTAAGGTTTACTCATCCCAAATTTCAGATCAATTTGTAGTAATTTAATCGTTTTTAAAACTCTTAAATGAGGTTTATGTCCCTTGGAAAAGTATTATCAATAGTATTAGCTAAGGTGTGAAGTAATTATATCTCACAGTTTCCCTGCACCAATTTGAACTTTATAAGTATATAACTTTGTAAAACCTACAAGTGCTTATATACCCCAAGAACTGCGATATTCCTCACTCCTTTAGCAATTGAGTAACAAAAATAAACGCAGTGCCTTAACATTGCCTGCAACTGTGTTGTGCAATTTCCGCTTTTGTGGTGGAATTTAAGCTGAATAACACTAGGTAATCCGTCACAGAAGTCTGTTTGGACTGTTGTTGTTAAGTCAGGTGTTCCCATAAGCAGATAGATAACGGTTTAGGGGTTTAAGCCTCATAAACTAACGCCTTGTTTTACTTTCTAATTTATTTGCAGAAAAGAGCCATTTGAAAGCAACTTTTGAGCGGCATTATCGAACTGTGTGTGGCGTATTTTATTAGTTTTGTGAAGTAACCGAAAAAAACAAAAAAAACAAACAAAATGTCGACAGTCGATAAGGAAGAACTGGTCCAGAAGGCTAAACTGGCCGAGCAATCAGAGCGGTAAGTTGATAAATTAATAAATAAGATCACTAGGAGATGGTCTTAAGTAGATTTTGTCTCTTTTAATTACAACTTTATAGCAGTGTTCCTGCTTTATATATATTATATTTCAAAAATAAACAAAGATATCAAGCCAACGTTTTTATTTTTATCTTGAAATGCATTTTTCTCCTCTTAAGATATAACCTTATCTTTATATAGTCTATGATTTATGTATATATTAATGACTAATGGAATTTGTTTTATGACATTGCAGCTACGATGACATGGCCCAGGCCATGAAATCCGTCACAGAGACCGGCGTTGAGCTTTCAAATGAGGAAAGAAATCTGCTCTCCGTTGCCTACAAAAATGTGGTCGGTGCCCGCAGGTGAGTCCCTCCCATCTAATTAGACTAAGCGCCATATTTCATACCCTTCCTTCCCCCTTCCCCTCTCCACCGGCTCTTCTTTTTGTGTCCTTAACAAACCAGGTCATCGTGGCGTGTCATCTCCTCCATTGAGCAGAAAACCGAAGCATCCGCTAGAAAACAGCAGCTCGCCCGTGAGTACAGAGAGCGTGTGGAGAAGGAGCTGCGGGAAATCTGCTACGAAGTTTTGGTAAGTGTCTGCGCAAGTCTCTTCTCCATCAGACTCGGAGTCTGATGGATTTATGGGGTTGTAATTGGTCCATCTAATTATTTTTTGATACACACACACAGTGGCTGCCTTTGCCTGGGTTAAGCCTGTCCTGGGAACCTGTCCGTCAGTCAGTCGGTCTTCTAAAAATATATGTTTATGTATATAATATATGAAAGCAACCCCCAGCTCAGATGGGGTTCTGATGGGTTGGGTTTTGGGTGTGAAAAAAAACCTTGTTTTCTCGCCCCCTTTTCCTGTCTTGCTCTAGTGAGAAATATAAAATTTGTTACAATCAATAAATCTATTTTTAAAATGAATACGAGAAGAGCATTTCCCATATATTTTCCCCTCCTATACGGAGACAGTATATGGAATTTATTGCCATCAGAGAAAATAGACCACTTCCCAGGGTTAAACTTGGCGACTGACTGGATATATGTATTCCTCCCCCTGATCCGCCCTCTGAATGGTGTTCTTATATTAGATTAAATTAGATTTTGAGCCTTTGATGGGTTTTTGAAAACGGCGGGGGAAATGTGTTCAGGATCTTACCATAACTAGGTGGGCTTACTTGGTTAATTCTTGTGCATAATTGAATGGAAATTAATTGAAGAACTTGTTTGGTTTTGGTTACAGGGACTTCTGGACAAATACCTTATTCCAAAAGCCAGCAATCCCGAGAGCAAGGTGTTCTACCTGAAGATGAAGGGTGATTATTACAGGTATTTAGCCGAGGTTGCCACAGGAGATGCACGCAACAGTAAGTATCAGAAGTCACTCAGCAAAACAAAACACATATAAACAAACACCAGACGATATATGATAACCAATCTTATATATATATATAAATCAATCTTGCAACCACAACAGCCGTTGTCGATGACTCGCAAACCGCTTACCAGGATGCATTTGACATTAGCAAGGGTAAAATGCAGCCAACACATCCCATCCGTTTGGGTCTGGCCCTTAATTTCTCTGTTTTCTACTATGAGATTTTGAACTCGCCAGACAAAGCTTGCCAATTGGCTAAACAGGTTAATACCACCACAACGAATCGAAACGAAATGTTTATATATTATGGCAAAGCGGCGAAGGCAGACACCTTCACATTCTCCATTGATCTATTATTATTACTATAAAGTGTTGATTTGTTTAATTAGTTTCTTTCTAACCTTAATTTTCTGGTATTTGTTTCTTTACTTTCAAAACAAAAAACGTGTGAAAAACGTGTGTGTGTAAAGCCGTCGTTGAGGACTCGAAAAAAGCCTATCAGGAGGCGTTCGATATTGCTAAAACCAAAATGCAGCCAACACATCCAATCAGATTAGGTCTAGCACTCAACTTTTCCGTCTTCTATTACGAAATAATCAATTCACCAGCGAGGGCTTGTCACTTAGCTAAACAGGTTCAGTTCAAACTTATACATATGCCACTCTTTTGCGATGTATACTTAATACACTTAACCCGCTCTCTTAATTCCCTACTAATTCAATTCAAATGTTGTTTTGTGACTAAACCGAGTAAGATTTCCAGAGCGTTTACTAAAAGCCAAGTTTGAAAAGTTTTTAAAAGCCTTATTCCTACCTGCTATCACATTTCTCTGTTGATTAATGGTTATTAAAACAATATGAGTTTCCTTGGAAACTTGGAAACTTGAGAACTTTCAGCAAATTCTGAAACTTTCTGAAACGCCTTTACTTAACCTTACCACCCCGCATGATAAATTAAAACAAATAAAGTTTGCCTGTGAAACAAACTTACCTTTGCGGCCTTTGCTGGTGAAACACTTTATCCATCTTTTTTTCTTATTTTATTTAGTAGTTATGGTTAAAAAAAAAAGAAACCGAGGAGCCACTGAAATTGGCAAGGATATAAAATCATTAAAAAAGGCCAATCAAAAATGCTTTAAAATTGGTTAACTGAATTTAAAAAGCCTTCTTAAATGATTTTAAATCCCTTGCTTTATATCTGTGACACTGTTTCTATATTTTATATACACAACACACTGTTTTTCTGCTTTAAAGTTAATAAATTTGTTTTTTTAGTGAAGCCGATACATAAATAATTAATGTACGAATGATGAAACCTAATGCCAAGTTTGAAAATGCTTTTGTTTGCATATTCCGCCTTGCCAAAAAAAAAACATTTCCTTTTGATTTTACCACCCCAAAACCTTATAAGAATATCATTTAATAATGCTTTTAATTATACAATCCGATATGTAGGCATTCGATGATGCGATAGCCGAGCTGGACACACTCAACGAGGACTCCTACAAGGACTCGACACTCATCATGCAACTGTTGAGGGACAACCTGACCCTCTGGACCTCCGATACCCAGGGCGACGGCGATGAGCCACAGGAGGGCGGTGACAACTAACCAAACAACTAAGCAAAAAATGTTTCCTTTTTGACTATGCAAATATTATTCAGTAATACAAAAACAAACAAAACCAGAAACAACAAAGAGAAACAAATATTATAAAAAACAAAAACAACAACAACAACAAGAAAAAACAAAAGAAACAAACGCAAAACCAGCAAAAGCAAGCAAAAACAATTTGAATTGAAACGATAATCCAGGCGAGCGAAGTGAGCAGAGGTGCAGGCAGATTTGAGATACATTTAGATCGACGAATTCGCGAGGATGATGAGCGGCAGGACTCTGTGCTTCTGTTCATTTGAGGCCGTTCGGCTGGCCACTCTCTCCTCCTCCCGATTCCCCGGATTCGGATGTTCCGGATAGTTTTTTTTTGCTCGCAGCCGAAGGAACTGCTGCTTCCGCTCTTCTCCTCTTTGGAGGAGGGATGTGTCGGCTGATCCGATCCGATTCTGAAAATGTAGCCGCAAAGCTGCAGCCAAACTGCTTGAGATGAAATACAGAGAGAGAAAAACAAAATACAGCATCGCATGAATGTGATGGAACGAGCGCCGATACGGAGTGTCTTGGAGTTTTTTGGCGATGGGATTTTTTTCCGGTTTTTTGAATCAAATTAATCTAGCAGATAATTCGTCGTAATTGTATGTGTGTTTTTCTATCCCCCCAAAAAAACTCTGGAGAGGCTTCGTCTTGCGCTCGCCCATCGTCTGCCCGATGCCTCGTTGTGGATTTCATCCTAACAGAAACAAAACAAAACAAAATTAAATAATATTCCTAACTGTATACACAAGAAGAAATGAAATGAGATAATTCGGTTTATTATTATATGTTTTTTGCAAAGAGTCCAAATTGATTAATTTAATTGAATTTTTCGTATGGCAAGAACAGAAAGAATAGCAAACAACAACAACAACCAAGCGAACCAAATGAGAAAAAAACAAACAAAAATAAAAACAAAAACTTATGTATTATTTGTAATTCTTTTTCTAAACAAATAAAACCAAAAAAAAACCTAATTTCCAATTCTTTATTATTTTTGAATTCGAATTTATTTCCCCCCCAGCCCCCACCCACTCACACCACACACACACACACACATAGTGACACAGGATTGCATTTGCGAAAATTGATTTAAAAAAAGAAAATCCAAAGAAGCATAAATCACAGCAGCAGGAATCATATATCTGTTACGAGGATCGATCGCGGAGAGAACGGATGATTACAGATACAACAGAAAAATAAATATAATAATTGTTCATTGCTATTTTTTATACATGTCTTACATAAAACAAAAAAGGGTTAAAATCTAACAATTGCAAATTTCTTTGTTGTTTTCTCTTGGTATAAACAATTGTGAAAAGCATAACTCATTATAATACATACATATATACACGCATATTTATATATCCGAAACAAAACTGTGTCTGTCAAAATGAGATTTTTTGTAAATCGAAGAAAGAGTCCGACCGGAAGTCACTGGATTTTTTAATTATTTCCGGATCTGTGCAACATGGCTAATGGCACGAGTTTTATTGTGCGTAAAATGTCTGCACAATTTTTAAAATTATTTTAAAATACATATGTAATTCCCACTTTATCGCCACACTTGTTCCTAAACGTCTGGCATTAGTTTTCACACATTTAAGCATTTTTTTTAATGACTCCCGGCTTGAAATGGATTTTTCTTCGAAGTAATTACGACACTTTGCAACCTGCAGCAAAAATCAGCAATGAAAATACTAACAAAAGGAAAAAAAACACAAGATTGAATCAAAATACATAAATATTGTGAACTAAAAACTATTCAAATTTTTAATTTATACATACAAGACAACAACTTTGCATGTGTATTTGAAAAACACAAAACAAAATATATATATTATTGTCCAACAGAAAACGGTAATCATAACATACAGAGCATATGTATGTATGATAAAAGTAAATGTATATTTTCGCAATTGAATTTATCGCTATATTATGAATGTGAGGAATATAAAACCAAAATAACAAAAAACCAAACAAAAAAAATATATATATTTAAATAAATGAAACACTTTTTTGCCGCAACGCTAATAAAGTCGAAATCCCAGAAATATATAAAACTAATAATAATAATAAAATATTGTGAAACTGCAATACACATTCATACAAAAAAATGAAAAAATAAATTAAAAAACTGAGTAAATGACAAAAAACAGATGAAAAATGAAATCCGGGTGTAGGCGTAAATTGTATGCATATATAACAGAGGCAAAGATTGATGTATGAGTGGAATATTTAAGTTTATTGAAATTACAGTTTCTTAATTACCAACAAAAAAACAAAACAAAAATTAAATAAATAATACAAAAAAAAACAAGCAAATGTTTCTTTTTGAGGGGGTTTCCCTTGATTTAAAAGTCAATAAAAATCAAAAATTCGAATGTAAGAAATATAGGAATATTGGCACAAAACCAAGCAAAAATGTGCGATATTTAGGATCAAAATTCATATTTGGCATGCATTTAATTAAATTTCAGGTATTCACTAAATTTAAAACCATGTAAGTGGCTTTGATTTTATATAAAGTTTAGTTTTCTGAAAGATTTCTATAGCCGCCTTTTAGAATTAAATGGGCGGTTGGTAATAAAATCGCACAAACTTCATGGAACATTGCCATACCATAAATACTTAACTGGAAACACAAGCCACGGTGTCCTTTTAAAGCCAAAGGTATATATTATATTAATATATAAAATATATATAGTATATATATTTTATTTGCTAGTTTACCCTTATTAGAACTGATCACTCATGGATACGAACTTACACAGGACATAGCACTTTCTTGACCTATGGAATATTCAATCTGTAATTTTTACCAGCTTTATGGAATTTATCTAAATTGATTTCATCTTCAGAAAACAAACTCAATTTCTGATAAACACCAAAAACCAGGAAATATATCAGTTAAGAAGGTGCCACAGTGAAAACTGCAAAAATAACTCTGATAATGACAAACCCATGGCCAATTGTGTTAAGAATCTTAGCCTATATAATATGGCATATATCCATCCAGACATTATTAAGGATCTTAAGAAATGTAGAGGAGTTAACAAGAGAAAATGCGGTGAAACACCTGAAGAGTTGAGAAAATGTTTGAAAACCATGCAGGACATTGTTGATTTTGTGCATCCCATAATTCCTTATGTAAGCTAAGATATTTTTTAATTATTTTATATTTTAATTTAAGCACTTGTCATCTAGCTTTTGTATCTCGATGTTGGATTAAGCACTTTTTTAAATTTAATTTTAAAACCGAATTGTGTTTTTATTGAAATTAACTTTGATAATTAAGAACTTAAACCTATCTTTGTAATTTTACTAACTTTTGTTTATAAAAAAAACGCCTTTTATATTTTAAAGATTTTGAAAGAATTTAATTCTGTTTTTTACAGTATTTATTATTCTTTAAAGAAGAAAATAACTTTTATCTAAACTTTTACTTTTTGTGGAAAAGAGAATAATATTTAAAGACCTTAATTAAATTCAAAGGTCTTAATTTGTAATGTATATTCTTAAATTTCCAATTGTATTTTTTTTATCAAATATTTTTTCCGGATTCTGATCTAGCTAATTAATTAAAGAACTAGTAAAGAGCATAATTCCGCTATTTATAATTTACTATTTTCCATTTATTATTAGTTAATTTTTATTTTCATTTAAAGAATTTATAAAGTGATTAAAAAATAAAGAAACGGTCAATTTATCGATAACGCACACTCACAATTTCCTCGCCCAACGGTGAAAGCTTTCGAGCTTTTACTCGCCCACCGAGGACCAGCTGATCAACAGCTGATTTCGCTGACACACATACTCGTGAGTGGGTCGAACGTAAACAAACCGAGAGCCAATTGCTTAAACGCCTTTTTCCGCTCGTTCTGACTCGCGCAAAGTGTTTTATAACTGATAATACCTGCCCGCATAATACCCACCTTAAATTACAATAAAAATCGGTGAAGTTTTGTGGCTCTAAGGATTTAAACCACGCAACGGTGGCATTGCATCAGTAACGCACTCTTACATAGCCATAGCGCCCGCGCGTCCCTGTGTGTGCGTGTGTCTGTGTTGTGTATGCGTCTGGCCAAAAGGTCGTTTCAAGGTTACGTCAAAAGCAAAAGCGAAACTTGTGAATACTCGTGAATATATATCGCTAGTAACTGAAAAGCCACGGAACAGAGCGGAAAGGAACATTAGTATTTATAGCCACTTTGGATATAACATTGCCCAGCTCCAGCTGTAGTTCTCGGCTCATTCGGGGAAAATAGTTTGGAAAAACAGGGAAAGCCTGTGTGTGTGCTGAGTGTGTTTGCGCGCGTGTGTGTGCGTTACGTTATATACCGTTAATAACCGAGATACAGATAGCGTAAAAGAAAAGATAGATACGAGTGCCTAGAAAAGTTACAAAAGAAACCATGAATTCGGAAATTAATCAACGCTTCCTGGCCCGCGGCTCCCAGAAGGACAAGGGCCTGGCCGTCTTCACCAGCGGCGGGGATTCCCAGGGCATGAATGCAGCAGTTCGCGCCTGTGTCCGTATGGCCATTTACCTGGGATGTAAGGTAAGTGAGTGAGTGAGTGAGTGATGACCTCTGTCAAGTACTTTCCACCCCCAAACAGGCCAAGCCAGCATCTCCCCATTTAACCCCTTTCCATATTAAGTAGCCGGAATTTACTTACTATACGATGTAGGTGTATAGTAACTACCTTATCAGCCGGTCGAACGCAAAAAATAAAAGGTGTTAAGCTAGTTAGATAATCTGCCTCTCTAATCGTTGCCGAAATAAACGAAAAGAAATAGAAATTTCCCTGCGACGACGAATCAAGAAAATATATGTGTATATGCGCACATTGACATTGGGGTTTATTTCGGGCCACCTCCACATGCGATTTCTTCTCAGACTTTTTGGCTAATTTGTTTCGTTTTAAGTTGTTGTCGCTCTTAATTTCTATTTGGTTTTATTTTATTTACACCCTTTTGTGAGGGTAGTATTTGTTTGATAAGAAAGAGAAGCTTTACCTTAAATATTGGAATATTATTTTAAAATATTTTAAAGAAATTGTGTTTAGTTTGAGTCAGTTCTAGTTAGTTTCTTGATTCTTTAAGGCTTAACAAAGTTCAAAGACCACACCAGGCGAGTAGATTTAGTCAGGTCCTCTAATTACAGATGAAAGAACATTTTCTTATCGATTTAAATTTCCAATTATGTAAACAAAAGCATAATTGTATTTGTTAATAGTTAATTTCCATTTGTTATACCCTTTAGTCAGTCGGAAGCTTAAAAAACAGTGAAGGAATCATTTGCGACCCCATAAATCATATATATTCTTGATCAGCATAAAAAGCCGAATCGATCTAGACATGTTTGGAAGAACAAAATTTTTCGAAATTTTTTCAACATTTTTTAAGGTTTAAATTGTCAAAAAAAAAAATGATGAAAAATTGAATTTTTAAAATTTTAAAACTTAATATGCAGATTTGTTAGCCTTGGAAAAACTAGCACAGAAAAGTTTTCCGAATTGAATTTAATGCATTTTTGGCTTAATTATGAGATTTTAAAAATTTTGATTTACTCAAAAAATGAGCATATAAAATTTTAAATTGAACTTCATGCATTTTTTTGCTTAGTTATCTTATATTGTAAGGAATGGCTAATGGCAAGGGTAAACACACTTCGGCTTTCAAAAGTAACCTTTTCTTTCTTGTATTTTTCATTACATCTCTATTAAGTTCAACTTTTAGGATCCTTTTTTTGCCCTCAAATATGCAAATATTTAAGCAATTGTTGTTGATTGAAATTGATTAAAATCTATTTCTTTGAATTCAATTGAGGGTCAATGAAAGTGAAAAATTATGACACGCGACAAAGGCAATTTGTGATAGCTATACCGAATATATATATACATATATAAACATATATATGCATATAAATATTTTATGAGCTTTGGCAAGACAAATTTCCGATTAAAATTCTGCTGAAACGCTAAGGTTATTCAGATCTGCTAACTACTTGTAGAAATTTTATAATCTTTTATTGATTATTCATCGTTTGGAATTATTTTTAAGTATCAATCCATTGAGTTGTTACTACCTTGTAAAATTTTATTAAATAAACTTTGCTAATTTTTAGAAATTGTCCCGCAAATTTTCTAATTTCATTGCCTTTCTTTTCACCATGTGTAATTTTTAAACTTATTTGTTAAACTTTTCACTCTGTTAATTGAATGCCAGAGGTTTATGAGTGTGGAAATTAATTAAAATTAGTTTTAACCAGATAAAGCTTGGCCGTAAAATGTGATGATGTCATTTAAATATTTAGACTCTTTAAGACTTACACAATATTTGAGAAAATTGCAAAACCTTTGTATACTCATAAATATAATATATTGTTTGGATTTGTTGTGTAAGATGTTACTTTAATATGCTCAGATCTTTGCTTCTTTAATTTAAATTTAATTTTAAATAATAAAAATAAGAAATTAATTAAACATTTACGGTTTTCCATAATGTTTTATAGAATTTTTAACAAATCTTCTAACAGTTTCTTAACTGTCTGTAATTTAAGAAGGGTAAGCCTTCTTAAGGGTTTTTAAATATATTTTTTCTTAGTCATCTTAAAGAGTTTTAGTATATTTTCCTGTAGTTAATGAGTTTTAATATATTTTCATAATTTTATTTACTTATTTAAAGTATTTTTCTTGAGCTTTAAATTAATTGAAACCCCTTGAAAGATCCCTATAATCCCCAAGCTCATTTATTAATTGATTTAAATAAAATCTTTAATTAATTCCTATTTAAATATCCTGCTCCCCTCAGGTGTACTTCATCCGCGAGGGCTACCAGGGCATGGTGGATGGCGGCGACTGCATCCAGGAGGCCAACTGGGCCTCTGTGTCGTCCATCATCCATCGCGGTGGCACCATCATTGGCTCTGCTCGCTGCCAGGACTTCCGTGAGCGTCAGGGACGCCTCAAGGCCGCCAATAATCTGATCCAGAGGGGCATCACCAATCTGGTGGTGATCGGAGGCGATGGCTCCCTGACCGGCGCCAATCTGTTCCGTCAGGAGTGGTCCAGTCTGCTGGAGGAGCTGGTGAAGAACAAGACCATTACCACCGAGCAGCAGGAGAAGTTTAATGTCCTGCACATTGTGGGATTGGTAAGAGGAAGTTGTTTTCTCCTTTGAACTGAATAATTGATATAGTTATTTATTAGGTGGGTTCCATTGACAACGATTTCTGTGGCACGGACATGACCATCGGCACGGACACGGCCCTGCATCGCATCATTGAGGCAATTGATGCCATTTCCAGTACGGCGTACTCACATCAGCGCACCTTCATCATGGAGGTCATGGGTCGTCATTGCGGGTAAGTTGACAGTCTTGCAGGTTAGCCTAAGGACACCTTAAGTGATTAAATGGGGATCTCAGCTAATAAACCTGCACCTGAATATATATATATATATAAATGCACCCCTAGCTATCTGCCGGTGGTGGCTGGCATTATCTCCGAGGCAGACTACGTCTTTCTGCCCGAGTATCCGCCGCCTCAAGATTGGCCCGATCGACTTGTCCTCAAGTTGGAACAGGCAAGATCCCGAAAGAAAATGGATATATCTGTTGAATGTTCATCGATCTTTAGTGTCCCTAGAATACCCTTTCCCCTTGTCTCCCTCCCTTTTTGACTAATATAAATTGTAATGTAATTTTTTGCAGCTATTTAGCTCTTGTGGGCGGACTGGCGTGCGAGGCGGATTTCATATTCATTCCCGAAATGCCGCCCAAGGTCGACTGGCCAGACAGGCTCTGCTCCCAGCTGGCCCAGGCAAGATGCTGATCTTATAAACAATTTCATGATGCACTGAGATGCAAAGTTTTGAAGTTTTAAAGTAGAGGGATAATATTTTTGAAATTTTAAGGATTTGTTTCTGATTTAAAAGGATTAAAAGCTCTTAATTTTTATTAAATAATCATTTAAAATATAAATTATTCATAAAAATTACAAACATTAATTCAAAATAAAGTCATTTAGATTTAAAATCAATTAAAAATGTGCTTAAAAGATACTAAGAACTAGGAATTTCCTGTTTTTCAAGGAGTTTTACCTTTTATAGCATACTTATGAGCGCAATTTCAAAAGATATTAAAAGCAAAGCTATCTCAGAGCCTTTTTTAAGCACTTTCTATTTAAATTTTAATTAAGAAAATATTAACAAGCAAATATAAACTATTTTTATAGTTCTTAGCACTAAAAAACTTTAAAATTCCCTTGAAAATATTATCCCCCAGTAGAAATAAGACTTCAAAACCCAACTCAGTTTAGCTATTGTGGCTTATATATTTCTAGATAAAAGCATATGTAGTGCATTTTTGGTACTTTTCAGTACTCTTTCTTATGAAAAAGAACACACACACACGTCATACAGAAAAGCTTTTTCCTATTTTCCGCTTTTATCTGCACACACGAATGTATCTCAATCTCTCTTCGAATATGAATACCAATCGAGATTTGGAATGAGAATTGCACTGTTAATGTCCATTTGTCCCAGCATCCCCTTATCATATTGTAACTAATATTAAGTTTACTCCCTATATCCCCCCCGATCGAAACATTTGTGAAACATTCATTTATTATTTCTGTTTTGTATTTAATCTTTTGTGTTTTTTTAGTTACTTAGCCATATCGGCTGCCATAGCCACAGAGGCTGATTTTATGTTCATTCCGGAGGAGCCGGTTTCGGTGACATGGCAGGACGAGATTTGTCTCAAGCTGCAGCAGGTCAGGCTTAGAGCGAACTTGGTTACAAAACCAATATACTCTTTCTCACACCCTCTCTTTCTATATTTAATCCTAGTCGAAAAGTTGAAATTTCCTAAATTTTCTATTGCTTTATTTTTCGACTGAAAGTTTTCATGGCGATAAAAACAGCTTCAACAGCTATTTGATTTAATATTTGTTTCTGGGTCTTTGGGTCTATTTTTGTTATCCTTTGTGCTCCTCATGATGTCATCGAGCTCCTTTATTAACTTTCCCAACTCCACTAAACCACTCATCCTCGTTTAATCGACTTGTATATTTCCATCTTCATTTAATTATTTATTTTTCAATGGATTGTGCGAGTGTTTTAGTTATGTGAAGTTTCTTTATTCACAAACCAGTGCTATGAAGCTTGAAAATGTTTGGATAAATAAATATATTGGAAGTATTTTACTCTTTTGGGATAGAAATCGATATAAGGTATATATCAATCAAAAGTCAGATCTTTTTGAGCAAATACCAACATTTTAAATATCGAAAAATATCAAATTTAATTGTAAAATATTTGTAATAACCCTTGAAGTTGGTATTTAAATTCATGTAAAAATTAATATTCATAAGGAATGATAAGAAATATTCATATATTTAGCTTGAAATTCTATATTAAAATCGATATTATACTCATTTTCATATTTCTCATAAAAATATGAATGGTAGCATATGTAAATATACATAACCAATCATAAACCTCTTCATAAGATACTTAAACTTATTAAATATAAAATATATATGCAACTGGTTATGAAACGCACTGTAAACATTAGCTTTTTGTCTCAGAGTTTGTCCAACATTATTTAGATATCAGCTGACACATTCTATAAAAAAACACATCCTAAAAAAGATGATATCTTCATCTTCATTAGTTATATGTGCTATTGTTGTAGTTCTTGTATCATCCTCACTTTTGATTTTATACAAAATATATAATTAATTATTAAATTTATTTAAAAAAAATTCCAAAAACAGGAACGCTCGGCTGGCCAGCGTCTAAACATTGTGATTGTGGCCGAGGGAGCCATGGATCGTGAAGGACATCCCATTACCGCCGAGGATGTGAAGAAGGTGATTGATGAGCGTCTCAAGCATGATGCCCGTATCACGGTCTTGGGTCATGTGCAACGTGGTGGAAATCCCAGTGCTTTTGATCGTATTTTGGTGAGTGAACCCCGCATAATCTGATTATATATAAAGCTAAATCCTATAATTTCTTTCAGGCCTGTCGCATGGGCGCCGAGGCCACTTTGGCTCTGATGGAAGCCACCCCGGAGTCCGTGCCGGTGGTCATCTCTTTGGATGGCAACCAGGCGGTGCGTGTGCCTCTAATGGAGTGCGTGGAGCGCACTCAGGCGGTGGCCAAGGCCATGAAGGAGAAACGCTGGGCGGATGCTGTCAAGTTGCGTGGCCGCTCCTTCGAGCGTAATCTGGAGACATACAAGATGCTGACGCGATTGAAGCCACCCAAGGAGTGCTTCGATGCCGATGGCAAGGGCATCGAGGGCTATCGTCTAGCTGTGATGCATATTGGTGCACCAGCCTGTGGCATGAATGCTGCCGTGCGCAGCTTTGTGCGTAATGCCATCTACAGGGGCGATGTGGTCTATGGCATTAACGATGGCGTGGAAGGTCTCATTGCCGGCAATGTGCGAGAGCTGGGATGGTGAGTCTCTAAGACGTGATATAATAAGGAATCTATATTAATCTGGCAATGATTTTCCAGGTCGGATGTCTCTGGCTGGGTGGGTCAGGGCGGTGCCTACTTGGGCACTAAACGCACCCTGCCCGAGGGCAAGTTCAAGGAGATTGCTGCTCGCCTCAAGGAGTTCAAGATCCAGGGTCTCTTGATCATTGGTGGCTTTGAGAGTTATCATGCCGCAGGACAGATTGCCGATCAGAGGGATAACTATCCCCAGTTCTGCATTCCCATTGTGGTCATCCCATCGACGATTTCGAACAATGTCCCGGGCACTGAGTTCTCGCTGGGCTGTGACACCGGTTTGAATGAGATCACCGAGATTTGTGATCGTATCCGTCAGTCGGCGCAGGGCACCAAGCGTCGTGTGTTTGTCATCGAGACAATGGGCGGTTATTGCGGTTACTTGGCCACCTTGGCCGGGTTGGCCGGTGGCGCTGATGCTGCCTATATCTATGAGGAGAAGTTCTCCATTAAGGATCTCCAGCAGGATGTCTATCACATGGCCTCCAAGATGGCCGAGGGCGTCTCCCGCGGTCTGATTCTGCGCAACGAGAAGGCCAGCGAGAACTACAGCACGGATTTCATTTACCGCCTGTACTCGGAGGAGGGCAAGGGTCTGTTCACCTGCCGCATGAACATCCTGGGACATATGCAACAGGGCGGTTCGCCCACACCCTTCGATCGCAACATGGGCACCAAGATGGCAGCCAAGTGTGTGGACTGGCTGGCCACACAGATCAAGGCCAATGTGGATGCCAATGGTGTGGTTAACTGCAAGGCACCGGACACTGCCACGCTGCTGGGCATTGTTTCCCGGCAATATCGCTTCTCGCCGCTGGTGGATCTCATTGCGGAGACCAACTTTGAGTGAGTAGAGATGGGAGATTCTTTGGAAAATATATGTATATTAATGGTTATCCCTTCAGTCAGCGCATCCCCAAGAAGCAATGGTGGCTGCGCCTGCGTCCCCTGCTGCGAATCCTGGCCAAGCATGACTCGGCCTACGAGGAGGAGGGTATGTACATCACCGTCGAGGAGGAGTGTGATACCGATGCCGTCGCCTAAACAGGGGGGGGAGAAGTCCCTCCTCCCGCTTCCTGCTCCACGCTCCACGCTCTCCCCATCGCCGCATCCTCAGGCCCAACGAGTCATCTTTCTCTCTCTGTTTTTGTTCTCCTACTTTTCCGCACCCTCGAATCTTGTCTCAATGTTTGCTTTTTGAGTTGTTTTCTTTGGCACCGCATCTGCGCTATATATCTTTATATATATACACTTGTGTATCCGTATTCCGTATCCTTATTATGGTTTCACGTTTACGAAACAACGAGGAGGTGTTCCCATGACAGCAGCAGCAGCAGCACACATACGAAAGTATTTCATCATGATGCATACACACACACACGCACAAAAAATACATAATTTATTTATATATTTGCCGCCAGTCGATTTTCTTATGATTTTCTCGAATTTCTCGAACTCGAACTTTTGAAAAGCCGTTAAAAGCCCGTTAATAGTTGATTCTACATTGCAGGTATGTTATCTCTCGTACAACAACAAAATACAACAAATTAAATGTTAAAAGTATTTAAAAAAAAAAAACAACAAAACCGAAAATACGGTTCAATAATTCTCTTATCTGCAAGTGTTTTTCGAGTATTGTTATCGAACGAACTATATTTATATATCGTGACGTGCTAAAAAATACATAATCAAAGGACCTGTAGGCACCAATTTAAGTGACACTTTCGTTTTTCTAGCAAAGGTTCAAGGGAGGGGTTAATTTTCAAATTTCATCTGCAAGATATTTATTTTTGAAAAATTCTATAAATTAATTTTTGCCCGCCACTCTTGGTGAAAAACTTGGATAAGATGTACCTATATTAAGCAGTTGATTCTCGTCCGCGTAGTTCTTATTGGGACCTAACACAAGCAGTGTCAATCTGGTACCACAAAGACCGATAGAATTAAATATTTTATTGTTTCCATAATCAGCCGGTTTAGCTCCTTAGCGCCAAACAAAGTTCTACACGTTCACAGAACAACAGTGTAGAATGGCATAAGGAAATGTTAAGGCATGTTTAAATGGGATAGAATTTTCATGTAGAATAAGATATTTTTAATGTTTCCACAAACTGCCGTGTTTGGCGCCCAAGCACAAAACAAAGTTCTACACGTTTACAGAACAACAGTGTAGAATGTCCCAGGGGAATGTTAAGGCATGTGTAAATGGGATAGAATTTCCATGTAGAATGTATGTAAAATGTTTACAGACACTCCAGCGACGGGCTGCATCTGGTAACACTGCAGAGATGGATTTATAATTTTCCCACTTGCAGCCACACTACCGAAAACAAAAACAAACACAAAAAAATTTCGACGCGTTCGGTTGCGGAGCGCGGTTTCTTTGTTTGTTTTCGGCCGCCAACCGCTCGAAATATTCGAAAACTCGTAAAAATCAACTAAACTAAAGTGTGCTAAACTGTGCAAACAACCAGAATGCAAAAATGTGTGCATAAAAGTGACAAATAACGAAATGAAAAACCAAGTTCGCGAGCGGCGTTCCTTGTTTCCGTGTGTTTTGGTTTTTAACTCCCGCAAGCTGCTTAACCAAACGTAGCGGTGTTTCAAAGTAACCCAGTAACAGTGTTTGAAAGCAACCTTATTATAAAGTATGTCTTATTTATTATTATTTTTAGGCATGAAAATGCCACCCTCAACCGCGTCCTTTGCCATTGTGTGCGTGTAACGTGCACTCGCACGCGTGTATTTGTGTTCGTGTGTGTGTGAGCCTTTGTGTGCTGCAAACAAAATAGCCGCCAGCTACAACAAATTGTTTATATTGTATTTGCAACGAGAAAATTGCTGCACTAGCTTTACAGTTTACCGTTAGAGCAAGAGAGTGAGAGAGTAAACACATTCAACATGTTGCAGTCACTAAAACTAAAACAAAAGCAAAGCAGCAAAAACAGCAACAACAACAACAAGCAGAACACAGTGGATCAGCTCTGCCGCTCACTCACTCGCTCTCACTGCCGCCGCTCTCTCTCGAGTGTTTTTGCCGTGTTTTGTTTTGATTTTCACAAAAACACACTCTAACTGAGAGAGAGAGAGAGAGAGAGCAGCAGCGGTGGGAAAGAGGCACAGAGAGAGAGGGAGAGCACTGATTTGTTTGTTGTATTTGCAATCTAATAAAATTCTGCTCTGTTTCTTGTTGTTGTTGCAGTTTTTATTCGGATTAAAAGTCAAGCAATTATCAGTGCTAAATAAAAATAAACAAAAAAAATATCGGAATAAAATTGGATTATCGCCGAGGGGAAAGGAACTAAAAGTAAGTAATTTTTACAAAACTTATCGCCCTAATTAGGTGGTTTTATTATATATTTATATGCTCAGCGTGGGTGGCTGTTTGCATTTCGAAACCAGTTTTTGTGGTTTCATATATATTTCTGTTATATTTGATAAGACCTTGAGGCTGCGCTGCCTGTAGAACTTCGTTTGATTGATGTCTTTATGCTTGGGGCCTCGTTGGTTTTGTTCTTGTTGTTGTTTCAGCTTGTTTAAGCTCGATTCAAAGCTTGGCTTTGGCTTTAAAAATAGATCAAGACCAGTTTTTGCGCGTCGGCGCTTTGGAGTTGCCAAATAATTTCCTAAGCCGCTGCAGTTTTTGTATTTTGTGTTATTCTCTTTTATTTTTTACTTTTTGCCTGCATTGCCTAGAAAATGATGGATGTACATTGTACAATGCTGCGATCTCTATGCTCTCTCTCTCCCTCCTTTTCTCCCTCGTTCGCACTCATTATTGGAGTGCCTGCGGCTATCTCGCTTCCTCGCTGAAGTTGTCGGTTGAGTTTTTACGGCTATGTGTCTCTCCTTTATGCGTGTGTGTGTGTGTGTTTTCATTTATTTGCCTTTGTCTTTGGTCTGTTGACTTTGTTTTGGGATTCTTGTTGCTGCTGCTCCTCCTCTTTTGCTTCCACCTTCGATCCTTTGCCTTTGATTTTGATCCTTGTAGGTAGCGAGGGAGAAGGAAAGGACACAGAAAGAGAGAGAGAGAGCGAGCGAGAGAGTGAGTTAGTTGAGGGAGAGTTACCGTTGATTCATTCACTTCCAAATGTATCTCAAAGATACTCGAATCTTCTGCCTCTTCAAAACCAAATTCAATAAGTATTTTCGAGATGAGATTATGTTTAAGGGCAAAGAATTGTACTTTTGACTAATTATGCTGATGGAATTCATTATTCTATGACTTTATAGCTATTATTAAATAGAGATAAAAGACATTGTTGGTAAATTTAAAAAGGGATTTAATTAAATAATTTGAAATTTGCCTTTTTATATTTGATTTCTACACTTAGAAGTTAAATTTTTTGATATTTTTTAGAGATTGAGTATTAAAAATTTTCCAAAAATGTCAATTTGTAAAAATAGTTAAACGTTTTTTATTTAAAAAATAATAGTAAATATATAATTTTTATACTTTTATAGTTTCTAATAAAAAACAAATGATTAAGGTAAAACGAATCTATCTTTGTATCTTTAATAAGCTTTAATTCCCAGTATGTTCTGTTCTAAAACCAAATCTTTAATAAGTTCTGTTACATGGATTATAATTTATTTAATCTTGAAATCAATTGTATTATAAATTTAGCTGTATATCTTAGGAATATTCTTGATATCCTTATAATTTCATTAACAAATTTAAACCCAGAAATGCATTCTTCTCACCTTTCCACACAATGTTAAATGCATTTTCAAAGATACATTCCAATGGAATGCCACTGATGAAAAGTCAGCTTGTTAGGCAAATGCTATACCCAAGATATTTAAAGTACACTTTTTCTCTTCACTTGATAAACAGTTTTATTTGTCCGGCTTGTCAAATGTCTTTGTTTTTTTTCTTTTTTATTTATTTTTTGTATTTTAATGTTTTTTGCCCTCACCCTCCGTTCTCCGGGCATTTGTTTTGCCCACTATTTCGTCTCTGTCTCCGCTTTTCGCCTCATTCTTCGAGTGGTCTAACATGTAATGTATGCTTTGGTCTTTAGTTTCTTTAGTTCGTCTTCAAGACACCGGAAGTTGTTGCTAGGCTGAAGAAAAAAGTTGTGTTTTTTCCACTACATGCGTGTGTGTGTGTGTGTGTGTGTGTTGTGTGTGTTTTTTGTCAGCGTTCGCAGTCGCCATCGCCATCTCTCTTGGCAGCGCTGTATCGCCGGCAAGTGGCGCGTGTGAATGACCCAATTAAGCCGGAGATAACCCGGCCTAAGCTTCGGCTTCGTAGGTGGCTTTAAACTACTCGAATGGATGGACCGAATGGGTTGGGATGTGGCCAAGGAGAAGAAGGCACCAGAAGCACCAGAACCCGCCAGACGAACACGACACGACACGACAAACAAAATATAAAAAAAAAGAGTTCACATCGAATATCGAATGTGAAGTTTGAACTGTAAACAGGTTTACTTGGGGCTCTCCTCGCTACGTCTGCTGCAGTTGCACGGTACAGGTGTACTAGCCTAATGCGAATTGAGTGCAAAGAGCAAAAGAGTTATAGATAAAATTACAGGATATATTAATAAAAAATTGATCATGAAGTTACTTTAATTTGATAAATGATGATTTTGATACTGATGATATCACCATATATCCTTAATTTCTTTCTCTTAATATATCCTTTTTACACAAATATTAATTATTGATAATTGATTGTGTTAAAATTATACATTGTGTGTATTTGTTTAAATATTACATTAAAGAATATACTAATAATATTAGAGAGAAAAGAGTCTTCTAATAGGTATAATTTAATGCTGATTTTATTTTTTGTTTTAATATTTTCACCCTCTCGCTAATTGTTTAACGAAAAACAATATTGGCTATATTTAAATGTTAAACATTTATGGAAACTTATTTATTATATTATTATATTACCAGAGTTACTTGTTTTTAGAAGAATTACCATTACCTTGGGTAGGAATTTTAAAACTTTAAATTAAAACCATAAAACTTTAAAATCATTACTTATGTTTATCTCTACTTAAAAATTTAATTTAAAATTTATATTTATACTCAAAACTTAATTGATTAACCTGGATTAGTTTTTGAAACAATCATGAAGAATATAATTTTTGATTTATTGATATATATTTTAGCATTCATATTATTATCTATATGTTACATATATCCATATAGATATATATTATATATATTATGGATTCTATAACAAACATTGTAAATTACTCATTTCTCAGAGTATCTTCATTAGGAATTCCTTGTAAACATTTCCTTAGCTTCCATTTAAATTCATAAAACAATTAGATACTTAGTTACCTCACAAAGTCAGAGGTGAAACTATTAAAAAAACCACAAAAATATTTACGAGAACCTGTTTAAATTTCTTATAATTACTCAATTGTAACTTAAATACAGCAAATGTTTATTTATATTGTATGAAATTCATTAGAAAGTCTTATAAATCACTTATAACCCCCAATCTAACCTTATTGTTGGTCTTAGTGAATCCTCACTGTCTCTTGTCTGCTGTGTGTGTGTTGCTTTATTTTGTCAGGCCAAACTCCTTTTCAACATTTTTGTATTAAATATTTCGCACCATGTTCTGCATTTATTCGGATACGAGAGATCTCCCGAGGCTTCAGCTCCACCTCCATCTCCATCTCCAGCTCCAGCTCCACCTCCAGCTCCACTCTCGTGTCTCCATCTCCAGCCTTTGGCATATTTTGTCGTTGAGTCAGTTGGGGTCAATGCTGCTGCTGCTGCTGCTGCTCAAGTTAACTCTTTGCTCACTCACTCAAACTCACTTGGCTTGGTGGCCGAAAAAAACAGGTTTCCGCTTTTGCTGAGCTTTTGTTTGCTGGCTTTTTTTCGGGTTCGGGTTCGGGTTCGAGTTTGAGCCTCACCCACAGTTTTTGTATATTGTATATATATTTTTTATTTCGATTTTTGTTGTTGGAATCCCGATCCCAACCCTTGAGAGAAACATCCCTTCCGCCATGAACCGCCCTCGAAAGCGGGCAAAAGGCAACCTGAGACACTGGGAATTGCTGCGAGTGCAGATGGAACTGGGAATCGGTCTGTTATATATATCTATATATATATACTCCTCTCCAACTGTCAATGGGAATGGGATGAAGCTCTGGAGTTGGAGCTGGAGCTGGTGCTATCCCGAAGGTGGATGCCCCATTCCAGGTGTTCGTCCGCTGCATTGTAGCAGGCGCACAGGCAAAATCGCCGCGTGACTGCAATTTATGGCCGTGTTGCAAGTTGCTGCTGCTGCACCGCCTGCAACATTCGCGAAAGGTGGAGACGTTGCCATTTCTGCACCGGTTTTCCAGCCATTTTCCCCTCCTCCCCCTCCGGATTTTCTCCTTTACATTTCGCATTGTTTGTCCATTCGCCTTCGCTTTCTTCCTTATCGCCTGTTTCGCTGCTGCCACAACTTGCTGCTGTTGCCGCTGTAGATGTTGCTGCTGTTGTTGCTGCTGTTGTTGCTGCTGTTGTGTATGTTGCAGCGAATGTTGCATGCACCTTTGCGGTGGCAACAGCAGCTGCACATGTTGTCTGCCCCCAAAAAGATGCGGATATCGAAATTAAGTTAAACATTTCTGACTTCTGGTAAGGCAAGTTGTGATGGGAGAGTGATTTATTAAATTGTAATCACTTTAAACCTATTATTTATAAATACTTTGTTGCTTAATTGAAGCAAAAACATTAAGGTTATGTATGTGTCTTATTAAATGATTGCCTTAGTCAGCATTATATTATTTATTATACACTTTATATAGCTGGCTATAATTCTGGGAAAAGCTTTAATTCAAGTACTGATAACGCATAGATTTTTACATTAAATACTTGAACAGTTCAGACTTAGATTTCCCTCGAAAAAGCTTACTTTCTAAGACTTTTGTTTCTATAAGAACCCTGGAATATTTATAGCATTTTCTGGCAAAGCATAAAATGATTTTAAAAACCTATTTTCTTAGCAATCGAAGCACTTAAGAAACCCGAGAGACTTTTGCCTTAATCAGCAGAAAATTGTATGCGAAATATATGAAACGAAACAAGATCGTTTCAGATCGGCACAGATGTGCCCAAAGTATATATAGAGCCCTGGAACCTTATATAGAGCTATATGGAGCTCCATTTGGAGGCAGTTCGATGTGCGACGAAATGTGTGTGTACATTGCCCAGTGTGTACAGTTTAGGGAGGGGCGGCGGGGCGATACAAAATATAAACAAATAATTAACTGACATATCCGTATGCTTATCGCGCAGCAAACCGCAACAGCAGCAGCTACAGCAGCGGCGGCAGACGCA